AGCCTGCCCTCTCCTCTTCCTCAACAATCTCTGCTAGCCTGCCCTCTCCTCTTCCTCAACAATCTCTGTTAGCCTGCCCTCTCCTCTTCCTCAACAATCTCTGCTAGCCTGCCCTCTCCTCTTCCTCAACAATCTCTGCTAGCCTGCCCTCTCCTCTTCCTCAACAATCTCTGCTAGCCTGCCCCTCCTCTCCTCAACAATCTCTGCTAGCCTGCCCCTCCTCTTCCTCAACAACTCTGCTAGCCTGCCCTCTCCTCTTCCTCAACAATCTCTGCTAGCCTGCCCTCTCCTCTTCCTCAACAATCCGCTAGCCTGCCCTCTCCTCTTCCTCAACACTCTGCTAGCCTGCCCCTCCTCTTCCTCAACAATCTCTGCTAGCCTGCCCTCTCCTCTTCCTCAACAATCTCTGCTAGCCTGCCCTCTCCTCTTCCTCAACAATCTCTGCTAGCCTGCCATGAATTCAGCAGTTCTTAAGGTTTAAAATTAATGCATCTATTTTCAGAACAAACGGGGTGATGGACAGCGAGTACCGGATAATACTGAATGTCGGAGGCGTTCGGCATGAAACGTATAAACATACCCTAAAGAAGATCCCCGCTACCAGGTAAGTAATTCGCATGACCTTGATACCTCAACGATCCGTTTCAGGTTATCCCGATTAACCACCAGCCTGGCCAACTACGACCCCGTCCTAAATGAATATTTTTTTGATCGACATCCCGGGGTGTTTGCACAAGTGTTAAATTATTATAGGTAAGAAAGTTACGCTTTCACAAACATTATACTCGAATTTTCAAATTTCAGAACGGGTAAACTTCACTATCCACTTGATGTATGCGGGCCATTATTTGAGGAAGAATTAAAGGTGAGGCTAGCAGAGATTGTTGAGGAAGAGGAGAGGGCAGGCTAGCAGAGATTGTTGAGGAAGAGGAGAGGGCAGGCTAGCAGAGATTGTTGAGGAAGAGGAGAGGGCAGGCTAGCAGAGATTGTTGAGGAAGAGGAGAGGGCAGGCTAGCAGAGATTGTTGAGGAAGAGGAGAGGGCAGGCTAGCAGAGGGCATTTCAGTAACTTTTTCTACGATTTTTTCCAGTATTGGGGTCTTGATTCGAGTGATTGCGAGCCGTGCTGTTGGATGACATTATCAGCGACGCGAGATACACAAGAAGTAAAATAAATCAATTTAATGAAGACTTAAATTAATTTTTTAGGTCCTATCAACGCTAGACAAGTTAGATATTGATACCTCCGACAAAATCGATGGGCCGGTTGGTTTTTCTATGGTTTTCTAGCTCTCTCCCTCCCTCTCTCTCTCTTTCTATCTCTCTCTCGCTCTATGCCTCAAAAAAACCCTTTAGGAACTCTACAAACGCTTCGGCTGGGAGGACGACTACCACAACAACAGCCTCAGCAAGTGGCAGGTCCTGAAGCCGAAAATCTGGAGGCTTTTTGACGAGCCCTCGTCTAGCACGGCAGCGAAGGTAAGTTTTTACGCCTATCTCGACTCTAAGGTTCTCTTTAGATAATCGCCTTCATCTCCGTTGTTGTGCTAATAACAGCAATCACGGTTTTCTGTCTGAAAACACAGCCCGGATTCCGGATCCCCGATATCGAGGCGGTGCCCCTCAATCGGTGAGAATCTGATTTTCATGCGTTTTGAAAACTTCGAAAAGTAGCTTTTGAAAGTCATAAATTTTAATATCGAGATTTTGGAAAAATTGGCATCTTGAGACGAATTGGGAAAATCCATAAAGCGCAAGGAAAAGCAAAAACTCGGTTTTGGTTTCGATTTTCGTAAAAAATGATACGGGTTTCGACAAATTTAATTCGCGAGAAAACGTCGTTTTTAAAAAGTTAGTTTCGTAAGTATAGGTTGTGGCGAATTTTTCAAAAAATTATTTCCTAACATGCAACCTTACATAACATTCGAAAATGGTAGTTTTGAAAGCGATTTTCGAAATATGCCTTTCGGAAAACTGGCTTTTGGTCAAAATGATTATCGAAAAAGTAGATTTTCTAGAAAAGAATATTCCAAAATTAGCAAAAAAAATTTCAAAACGTTTATCGACAAATCGGTTTTCTCGATTGGTTTTTAATCGATAATGGGATATGGTGTTCGAAACTCCGTGTCAACAAACCCTTTTCAAAACATGGATTTTTCGAATGACAGCAACCATTTTTGACAAAATATGGCTCACTGAAAGGCTGGTTCTTCAGATCCGAGCGCTCCGTGGCCCATCACAAATACAAGGCCGTCAATTTTCCCGTGTACAAGACGAATTCGAAAGCCAGGCCTATATTCCAGGTATACCCAACCAGTTTTCATCAAGATTTCATTCTTAGTACATAGAAGCGGGTTGTAATATATGGTTTACAATAGAGATTTTGGTACGGTTAGTGTCCTGTCCGTCAAAGGTCGACTTCTTCAAGGTGGGAGTTTTGTGGAGTTTATAGTTTCTTGTCTAGGCCCCGGTGAATATTATCGATATTGTGGCGACGGCTACATTTTACGTCGATATGTTAACAGCGGCTATGGGTGAGTGAGTTAAATAAGTTCAGCCATGCCTAATGCTAAGTCTAAGCCTAAACCTAATCATAAGCCTAAGCCTAAGCCTAAGCTTAAGCCCAAGCCCAAGCCAAGCCTAAGCCTAAACGATTTTCTAGGCGCATCCGCCGATCTGGAGTTCTTCTCCATCATCCGCATCATGCGACTCTTCAAGCTCACCCAGCACTCGCCCGGCCTGAAAATATTGTTACACACTTTCCGGTGAGTAACAAGCAACCGAGCCTCAAGCTCAAATTCAGGGCCTCCGCGAAAGAACTCGGGCTGCTCGTGTTCTTCCTCGTGCTCGGCATCGTCGTGTTCGCCTCGTTGGTGTACTACGCGGAAAGGTTTGGTTTTCCGGCTATTTTTAATAACAAGCTCTTCTAGGGTCGAGGTGAACCCGGACAACCAGTTCCAGAGCATCCCCATCGGGCTGTGGTGGGCGGTGAGTGGCAATGAATGCTTGAAACAGCTTGATAAGGAACAACATTCTAAACAACCAGTTCTAGATCGTAACGATGACCACCATCGGCTACGGCGACATCACGCCGAACACCTACCTCGGGCGGCTTATCGGGTCGATTTGCGCCCTGGCCGGTGTGCTGACCATCGCCTTGCCCGTGCCGGTAAGCTACAACTTCTGGCGTTAGCAATTCCCCTCAATTTGTTCCATATCCTCCACTTCAGGTCATCGTCTCCAATTTTGCCATGTACTACTCGCATACGCAGGCTCGCGCCAAAATGCCGAAGAAACGGAGGGGCGTGTTGAGCGCTGAACAAGTGGGTAGAACAACAAAAAACCGAAAAACCTTGGCCAACAACGCCAAGCAGTCCATCATCATAGGCTTTTCCTAAAAAACGCCAATCACCCGTTCCAGGTCAAACAACAACCCCAGCGACCTGTACACGGCCACGGCCACGGCGCCCCGCCCACCACCAACGGCCCGAAGCGAATGATGGCCCACTCGCACTCCGGGAATCTGAAGGGCGACGAGGCCAAGGTGCCCCTCGTCCAGAGCAACAACAACACCGCCCCGCACACTTTCATTTGAGCAGCTCCCCCGCCGGCGAGCTGGAGATGTTTAGCGCGGATGCCCGGCTGCTAGTGATACGCAGAAGATAGCCTTATTTAATATGATTTAATTTAACAGAATTATGCGTCACATGCATTTTTTTTTCTTTGTCTCTTTCGGCAGCGCAGATTCGAAAGCACTATTTATTGATTTTTGTCTTACAAATGTTCTGAGGAGCTTCCGTGTTAGCGGGGGAGGAAGAAAAAACTTCAGAAAATAAAAAATCATAGATCTTGTAGCCTTGTTAGTATTTTACGACACTAAAATCTTTGAAAAGCTTCCCGAAAACCAGCAAAATTGAAAATTTTTTGACAGTTTTGACCATTTTTCACATTTTCTAAACGTTTTTAATTTTTATTCAGTGCTTCTAGACAAAAATTCCCCTCTAACACGGCAGCCCCCCTCGAGGAGCTGGTAAAAACCCTTCAATTCTCCCGCGCACTGAAATAGTTAGGAAAATGCACGACGACGGGTGTTAGACTCCAACGCTAGCCGTTATTAACGAAAACGCAGATAGAGAATCTTGCCCAGATTTTAATACTAGTTTCTAATGTAATACCCCGTTTTTCTAATGTAATTCCCCGTTGTTCATCTGCCAAAGATTCACCATCCCCCACCCAACCCGCGATACCGGTCCTGGTTTTTTTTTAAAAACATTTATCCTTTAATGCCGACACCACAAGAAATGTGATTATTTTGTTCAGCCAATAAAATGTAATGTAATTATTTCGAACATGTGTGGTCCCTTTCTTTTTTTACGATAAAACAATTTGAATGAACAACAAGGCTAATGGATGATGTAGATAAGGGGTAGAGGGGTGACTATCTTCTTTTTATACAGGGGTACAGGGGAGAACAAGAATGCCAGAACGGCCGTCACCTCTCCAAAAAAATTTGGCACACCGCTGGCAACCGTAATTAATCTAATTCGGCGTTCATTAGTGCGTAAATTTTGTTAGGGGAAATGGAGTGGGAAGTGAATTTTTGGGTGAAGGTAAATGACGCGCCATCCAGCGGACCCACGTTCATATCACCGATTTCTGTTTATGCACGCTGAATTGATTCGGTAGTTCGACTATTTTTTCATTACTAATTTGAAAAACTAGTTTATATTAGACCACAGATGGTAGGGCAAAGATTGAGTTGCGGCGTGACGAAAACGATAACTTCCGCTTTTGTAATTTTTTTTTATATTCGCAACTACGAAGCCGAATCAGCATGCATATACGGAAATCGGCGAAATGAACGTTCGCCCACCCAACAGTCACATTCAACAAGAAGGCCATGAGAGCAAAGTAGACGGGACGGGAGGGAATAAATATGTAGAATGTTGGCAAAGCCCGAAACCTGTGGCGACACGTATGGGAGATCCGTGAAAGTAACTATGCCATCACAATATCATCCTCGGGGCGGTCCTCGAGTTCGGGGTCCTCCTGTTTCACGACCAGCTCGTCGGCCTCGTCCTCCGGCTCGGGCTTCACCTCGCTCGCCTTGTTCTCGTCGTCGCCCTTGGCTGTGCCATTTTCTTCAGCATCCGAGCCCGATTCGCTTCGAGAGTATGACCTGAAATAGAAAATACGATGAGTCGAAGGGTTGTTTCAGACATATATTTCCGATTTTATCCCGACATAGAAATTGGTTTAAAGGTCGTTTTTACAACGACGTATTTCAAATATGACGGTAAGCTATTTTTGCACAAAATTCGTTAGCTACAAACCTGGAACGGTCGCGACGATTTCGATTGTGCTCGAACGCCGGTTCACGGGCCGGGGCATTGCCAACGTCGCTCATTCTAGCCTCGCGGCGACGGAGCCCCTCCTGAAAATTCACAACATAATAGAATTCTCCATTGATTTGAAAAAATTGCATTGGGGGAAAAAGGTAAAAAATAAGACTACAAAAACCCCTCACCTCTTCACGCTTGAGCTCCGGGTCGTTCTTGAGCTCGTTCCGCAGCGCCTCCTGGCGTATGGAAATCAATGCTGAATCCGGATTAGTGTCTAATAAACAGGCTTACCATCAATAGTTTCAGCGCTCTGCTTCTGGAGTTCCAAGCTGCGGAGCGTGTGCTTGGCGGGCACGTAGAAAATTGTTGGTTTTGTCGTAGTCTAAAATCAGAGAAAATGTGAGAAACAGGCAAAACGGTATACCCCGATAAAGTTCTGCAGCTGCTTGTAGTGCTGGATTTTCTGTTCAGACTAAAAAGAAAACAAGTAAAAGTAAGACTACAAGAATACTTACGTATTGAATGAGGGCCTTGCGGCGGGTGAGCGAACGGATCTCGCGCTCTTCCTCGCGGCGCTTGGCCATCAACCCCTCACGCTCGGCGCGAACCTAGATGCCTGTCAACCGCTCGAAAAAAAATATCGATACCTTCTCAATTTGTCCCTTCTTCTCCTCTTCCAACTTCGTCTCGACAGCACGCTGCTTGTCCGCCTGAACCTTTTCCACGTTCCTAACCTTCTTTTCATCACGCTGAAATTTTTGCAAGGTACCCATCAGCAGGTTGGCGAACATGCGCTTGTTCCTGAAAATTGAGAACTTAAAAAAGGCACAAAAGAATTTTGGAAAATATGCGAGAGAAAACGCCAGAAAAAGCTTAAAAGCATAACGGTACCTCTGCTTCACATCTTGCTGCGTCTTGGAGTCGATCTCCTTCAGCTTCTCCTCACGGCTCTTGGTCTCGATGGCTGGCAAGGAGACCTAACGAAAAATTAAAAACCAACTTTAAAAACGAACGGTGGAGAAGAGGGTCCGCTTCGGCCGCTCGTCATAATCGTCTTCGTCGGAGTAAGGATCCTCGATCTCCTCAAAGCGGCCGCGTTTCACGCTAAAAGGAAAAGGTTCTTTAGTATTTCTCTGCAAGGACTACTTTTCCCTACTATTCAATTTTTCTAATAAAAACAGATCTTTCTAGCTAGTTTTTACTATTTCTAAACCTAAGGATTTCGCAATAAATGCAGAAAAACTTGGAGTTTTTCGACACAGAAGCTTTCTTCGCGCACGATTTTTGGGGTATTTTAAAAACTCTTACCCAGAGACACGCCCGGCTAGCCCACCGCCATCGCGGTCGTTGAAACGCCGCGGCACCTCGTCCGACACACGCCGCTTGAAGCCACCTCCACCTCCTATAGGTCCACCGCCACCACTAAAAGCAATTGTAAATCAACATCTTCAAAATCAAACTCACAATCCGGGGCGGTTTCCGCCAAAGTTCCCGAGCGAAGAGTCGATGCCACGAAGGGCTTCGCGCCTAAACAAATAAAACATTATGCAAGTTCGGAAAACGAACCTGCGCTCGATCTCCTTGTCGATGTCGCTAGTGTCGAGGTCGGCAGCCATGAAGATGTACCTGCAAATTTATTGTTGTTAATTATACACAGATTGTTATCAGATCGAAGACATTCACAGAAAACAGGTACGGAATGAAATATCTACAAAAACCGGTTTGCAGATTGACCGATTTTCTGGAAATCGTAAAACTCGTACAAAAGTTTGTCCGATAAAAAAAGTTTGCAGTTGATGAGTAGCAAGGATATCCATCGCTAATTATTAGGTTAAAAACCTGGAGTGATACAGATCACGCATGTAGAGAATAATCTATAGGTACATCGGTAAAATAGATATATAAAATCACAATAGCGGGTTGGGGCGATTTCCTTTTGGAGGGTGTAGTTGGCCCCGACTGTGCATTTTGTAGTAGGCTTGTCGGATGTGGTGCGGCTTCAGGGGGGTCGGCCGTCTCCTCGCTGGCGGTCTGGCATTTTAGCGCTTCTTCGATCAGCTCGCCGACGAAGACTTTGGCGAGTCCCGAGATGGCGATCACCACTTGTTGGGTGGGAGCGATCGAAGTGTGCTGATGGATCAGGCGACGGACGGCCGCCTTGGGGAATGTGGAGCGACGGTAGGCTTCATATCGGTTGAGTTGATCTTGGGAGAAGTTGGAGATGAGGACCTGGAAAGTGGGCCAATCAGTTTAATCTCTCTCGCTCAACGTTCTATTGGACACACTGGGTTTTGAAAATAAATGATGATTTTCGCGAAAATATAGATATTTAAAACTTACGGCTACATTTTTTTAAAAGCTCTTCCCCGAGATATCGCTAAAATCGACTAGGAATTATGAAACCACCAAGCATCAGGACCCGCAAAAAACATTCTGTTTCCCCGAGCGGTAATAGCAAAGCCCCACAAAAACAACAAACCTGCAACTTGAGCCGCAGTTTCTCGTCCTCCTCTTCCAGCTCGGGCAGCGGGATCAGTTCGTCGCCCTGGTAGAAATCGGGATTCTTGGACGAGGTCGGGGCAAAAAATTGCTCATCAGCAGGCTTCTCAGTCGGCTCGCGAGTGCTGGGTGCCTCGATCTTTTCGACAGGCACAATTCTTTGCGAGGGCCCGGGCAATTCCTCCGGTGCCACTGCAGGTTTTGACGGCAGTTCGATCGGTCCGGGGGCTACCACGGGCTCTGGGGCCGAAGGCAAGTCCGCCACATCATCGTCAAGCATCGTCAGGGCCGCATGAAAATCCGTCGAGCTGCCGGCCACCTGGCTGAAGCGGGCCCGCTTGCTGCTGCTGGAGGCGAGGGGAGAAGCTCGTCGTTTAGTCGGCTTTGCAGCGACGGGGCTGTCCTCATCAGGGCTCGATTCCCCTTCTGGGCTGCTGCCGAGACTGAACTGCACGTGGACGTCGCTGCCGGCCGTTGCCCTCTCGGGTCTCCCCGGTGATGTGGTGGGGCTGGTGGAGGTCAGCTCGGTCTCCTCCTCATCGCTGCTGCTGCTCTCCGAAAGGCCGCCGAATAGGTCATCGTCCATGGTAGGTGAGCAGCGGGGCCGAGGCAAGCGAGACCTGAAAATTGAGTCGTTAGTAGCCAATAAATTTTAGGCATTAAATTTGCAGAAAAACGGCGGCAACGTTCAGCGTATATTTTGAGCGCTAAATATGACGATGAGCTGTATTAAAATAAATAAAATTCAACGAATATTGTTTTTTTTCAGGGATAAAAACGCAGAAAAGCACGTATTCTACAGCCTCAAGATATCAATAGCTTAGATTTCAATTTTTTGACGAGCTTGGCAGAGTGTTGATATGAGCAATCGGGGCCGAATTATCGAATCCACATCAAAGAAAAACCGATTCTGCACAAATTCGGAACTTTGAAATCGCGACAAGGGATTGCACAGTGCACACAGCTACCCGGTGTGCTTTGATGTCCTGTGTAGCCCGCCATGAAATTCTGAAAATCGCGAACTAAATATGGGGGTTTTATTTTATTTTGTAAAGTTTGGTAGTAGAAAAAGTGGTAAAAATAGTTTTAGGCCATGCTGGCATTTTGCCCGTCGTGCGGGATGATGCTCGAGATCGAGGAGGGGTCGTCAAACATGCAGTTGTCGTGCCCAACGTGCACGTATGTGGTGCCGGTGACGAGCAAGGTACGTTTTTTAAGGTTGTTAAAGCTTTTCAAGCTCGATTTTTAACCTCTCAAAGCTTGTGAGAAGCATACCGATATTCTTTCCAGATTGGCAGCCGGATCTACCCAAAAATGAAGGAGCTCGGCGACATCCTGAGCGACACAGCGGCCTGGGAAAACGCCCAGTCGACGGAGGAGCGGTGCCCGAAATGCTCGAATGAACGCGCGTATTTCATGCAGTTGCAGGTGATTGTGTTTAAAGTCTTCTAGGCGCTTTAGGATTTTTGGAGGGGATTTTAAACTACCAATTTTGGCAAAAATTCTGGTTTTAGGTCGAAAAAAATCGAGTTTTCGACTAGAAATGACCAAGATTTCAACTTTTCTGACAGTTTTCTGACTATTTTTCAAACGTCTCTGTGGCAAATATCTTTTAATGGGATCAAGCCCCAGAATCCGAAGTAAAAGAGATCTAACTTTTATTTCCTTTAGACGAGAAGCGCTGACGAGCCGATGACAATCTTCTACAGATGCGCGAACCACGAGTGCAAACACCGCTGGAAGGAATAGACCCCGAATTTATGGCTTTTTTATCTTTTGCATTGTTGTATCTTTACGGGTTCCCTCAGACTCTTACGTATTACCTTGTTTTTGTTGATTTGTTTTCTGTTTGCGTTTTCGTTTTCCTAGGTTGCATAGATAAAATTATGATTTCAGGGTATGCTTCGCTTGTTCACCGGCTCCCGGCTGGCGGTTAGGGGCTTGGCCGCCGCGGCGTCTGCTGCTGAAGCCCCGGTGAAGATTGACAAGGAGGTCGAGTTTATTTGATTTTAAATTTTTGGTTCGTTACGATTTCCGGGGCTAATTTTGCGTATAATTAAATCCTTAAGGCGAACTAGGAAGCGTAAACAGTTTGTCACCATTCCGAAACGCGAAAAATCAAAACTTTCGATTTTTGATTCGTAGACTGTTTTTGAAGCTTTCTAAGTGATTTTTCACTTCGCATATAGCTAAATCCCACTAAAAACGGTACGAATTTTTTAGTCTCTAGCCAAGCTGCGCAAGAAGACCGGATACAGCTATGTGAATTGTCGCAAGGCGTTGCTTCAGTTCGGTATTTTTCCTACGCAAGCACCAATGTGTTTTTCTAGGCTCCGACTTGGCGGAAGCGGAAAAGTGGTTGCGACAAAACGCGGAGAAGGAGGGCTGGGCGAAAGCTGCCAAGTAATTTTCCGAATTTTTTTGGATAATTGTTTTTAGGCTATCGAGCCGTCAGACAACTCAGGGTTTGGTGGGAGTGAAAGCTGCCGGAAAGGTATTAGAACTTTAAAGATCTCTATTGTGCTTTGTAGACCGCGGCCATCGTCGAGCTGAGCTGCGAGACGGATTTTGTCGCCCGAGGGGACCCATTCAAGGACTTGGTAAAACGAATCGTTGCAAATGTATCTATCCGATCTTTTTTCAGTTGCGCACGCTAGTTGACGCAACCCTACAGCATGCCGAAAAAACTGTGGCTTCAAGCGGCTCGACCCTGCAAAAGCAGAATTTTGGTACGGCTCTTTCTATAAAAAAAATATTTTTTTCAGATGTCGAGACAGTGAAATCGGATGACGGGAAGACACTGAAGGTATCTATTTATCGATTTACAAATATTTTTTTCTAGGAAATCGTGGCAATGGCCGTCGGGCGACTCGGTGAAAATATTTCGATGCGGCGCGTTGAGGCCTATTATGCCCCCGAGGGGTCAGTCCTGTACGGCGGCTCACATCCGAAAGGTGATTGTTAGAACTTGTAATCTCTTTTTTTAGATATAATTATTTAACTGATTGTGTTAATAAATCCTGTTTTAGAGGGCACCGACGAGTATCCGATGGGCCGTTTCGTTTCCGTTGTTGCCATTGCTAGAGCGGTAATTTTTAGAACAATTTTGAACAACGCAATTTCAGCCCTCCGCGCAATTCCCCACTGAACGTCTTGCCAACCAGCTCTGCCAGCATATTATTGGGATGAGGAGGTCCATTTTTAGCTAATACGACACTTCCATTTCTGCGAATTAATTGGGGGAGGTTGATTTTATCGTATTTTTAGTGAAACCCTCGGCACCCCGGCCGTCCAGTCCAAGGACACGAAAAAGGAGGAAGCGGTCGATAACCAGGACGAGTTGAACGACTTTTTCAAGGGACAGGCGAGGGTTTTAGATATTTTAAATGACCCATTCCTTAGACCACAAATATTGATGCTGAAGAAACGCAGCTGCTGCGCCAGGCCTTTATGCTGAACCCGAGCCAAACCGTTTACGAGTGAGTTTTGTCGTGATTTTCATTTATCAGGTCTAATTTGTGATTTTGTAACTTTTTCACACATTTTTTACCGAAAAAGAATCGAAAATTCGCGAAAATACTAGAATGTATCTTTTTTTGCTAAAAAAACGTGTGAAAAATACAAAAAATTATTCAAAAACTACATTTTCCAGATACGTCACCGGACACCACGCCAAGGTTCTCGATTTCGCGCGCGCCGAGCTGGGCGGCGACTCCTCCGAATGATCCTCAAGTCTACCATTAGTGTTTGTAGTATAGATTTCCGCTGTTCCGCGCCGTTGTTCACTGCTCTATCTCTCTCTCCCTTGTCTTGTGTGATAAAACTTTATTCGGGTGCGAGTTGCAAAAGGAGGGTACGACGCATTAATGGAAAGGGTGGGTGCGACACGGCAAGTACGTGCGAGAACGGCTGGGAATCACAAGCCAATGATATGCCAGAAAGGGGAGGGGCGCATTGAACCGAGAGGGACATGTGAACAAATTCGTCGACCAGTTTTAAAGGGACAATCAAATTCGAGAAGGGGAAACTCGGTGCTGGTGCGTTAGCGGGGGAGGCTCAGGCGAAAAAGAAGCCATTTTAAACTCCTTTCAGACAGAAGCCTGGTAAAAACTTCAAAACTCAACAATTTGAGATTTACTTTCGTTTTGACCATTTTTATAGCTTTCTAGTAGATCCCCCCGCTAACGCACCAGAACCGGGGTACTATGCTCCCATTCGCTACTTGACAATCGCCAACACACGCTACTTACTCACGATTTACAAACGGATGTAAAGGGATGGTCAATCAAAACCGGGGGTGCTACGGACATTAATGAAAGGCAATATTCAGGGTATCTAAACGGAACCTAAGCGGCCAGCATCTCGTCGATGCGCTGCTTCATCCGGCCGAGCGTAATCTGGAAGCCCTTGCTCATCAGCGTCGGGAAGCCGGGCTGCTCGGTGCCGGCCAGCCAGCTGTCGATTTCGGAGCGAAGTCTGGAAAGCCGGGTTTAAATTCGATTCAAATATGTAAATACTGCCAGAAGTCGTAAAAAACCCACATTGGCCACTTTTCTCGGACTTCTCCCCGGATGACGTCGATCATCTCACGCGGGCCAGAGTTGTAGATTTTGATGAGGTAATGCAGCGAGTTGATCATGGCCGTCTCGTTGTACCTTAAGGTATAAGGTAATGAACGGAATGGCCTTCTCGTACCTCTTCGAGTTGTCGGTGCTCCCCGGCAGAATCTTTCGCTCCTCATAGCCGGCCTCATTGAAGAACGGCTCCGGGACGAGGATCAGGCCTAAAAGCGAGGTTTCTTTTTTAATACGACGATGACGATACCCTGAATGGAGACGAGCACCTGGACGAGGTTCGACTTTTGCGAGTCCCACTTTTCGACACCCTGAAAAAAACGAAAGCGCTAGAAGAATGAAAATCGAAACGAACCACTCCATCCCAAGTGCCGAGCAGGCTCGTGCAGACTTTGCCCGCCTGGTAGAGGTTCGGGTTAAGCTGCTCCTCGGAGAAGGCTTTGTAGTGGACCTGAAGGTATCATTAACAAAGTAAATATAATAATTATTTACGTTTATAACCCTAACTAGGCAATAAAGTAAATTTTCCGATAAGTCACGTAAATTAGGTGAAATCAGGTAACAATTTTTCAAAAATTAAGTCAATAAGTCAAGTAGATTAAAAGTACGTAATTTTAATGTAAAAAACCGACCAATGGTGGCGCGACCGGGTACTGATCCGGGAAATGGATGTCGAACAGGAACGGGGTGGCCTCATACGGGGTCATCGTCGGGCCCGTGATGATGGCGGAGAGCAGGTCGAAACTGGAAATTCAATCGTAACTTTCGCAATCGTCAAAACTGACCGATCCTCGTAGGTGATCACAAAAATGCCCTCCGGTAGGTCTGCGTGAAGCCTGGACAACTCCTTTCCGATGCGCTTCTTCCAAGCCTGAAAAAACCCTGGATTTTTAGAAAGCTATCGTTTACTCACCGGGATGCCAAGAACGCCAAATCCGAGGTAATGATGGCCGACCGGACAGGTGGCGACAGACTAAAAAAATTGTTATATTCGATGCTATAAGGCTTACAATGACGGTCGGCTTCTTCTCGGGCTGGCCGGCAGACGTAGATGGGATTGATGACTGAAAAAAAGAAGGAAACCATTGTGGGAACACCAAAATTTACCTCGTGCTCAGGCTCGTTCTCCTCCAAGTTTTGCACTTCATTTGTTGTCACGTCTCCAGCGTTTTCGGGTTCGGCATCGTGGCTTTCTTCCTGAAAAACAATCCAGTGAAATCTGAAGGACAAAATCGACACAAACATTTAAAATTCTTAAACTTTCAATTTTCCACTTCAATTCAAATTTTGAAAGCAGAACTTCAGGCATTAAAATTAGGATTTTTAGAATTTAAGACCATACAGCTTCGAAAATTCCGTACCTTCAATTCCGGATGCCTAGCCAGCACCCATTCGTTGAACTCCTTGACGTGCTCGGGGGTCAGCATTTGATCCCGCGTGCTCAGCAGCCATCTAAAAAATGGTGTTTTTGCCGAAAACCTGGGCAAAACCGACTTTGTGCAAATGAGGCCGAGCTCGAACTTCTTGATCTCGCCTCGGTGGGGGGCGGCCTGCTCTTTCCAGGCGGTGTAGAGGCCCACGAGGTCCGGGTAGTTTTGCCTGCAAAAAACGATTGTTGCAAAAATATAGACATTCTTAACAAAAACTAAATTAAAAAATTTAAATAATAGAATTTCGAAATTGAATTTACGTCCTAAAAAAGAAATCTGATCTCTGGACCATAAGGGGACATTTAGTGTCTCAAACAGCCAAGGACAGCTGTCCGTATGCAAATTCGTAAATATTTCCGAGGAGCGGAAAGGGCAGTCTCGCAAATATATTCAAATGTTGACGATAGTGCCAGAGGGCTTGGGGTAAGATGTGTTCGAGGCGGATGATGATAAATAACAACAACAAGTCCGACGGCCCTAAAAAACAGCTCTATTAAACCATCAACAAAAACCAGAAAGATAACAAGCCATCGTCTAGACGAAAAGCATCAAGGACAACGATTTGTTGACCGTTTTGTTGACAAAATACTAGTTTTATTGAAAAAAAAAAGATTTTTCTCCTCTGCTGTCCCTACACCTTTAAAAATCTAAAATTAGAGGAGAAAAAACCGTAAGAGCACTTGACACAATCGGACAGCCGAATTAGAGGAGCGAGACAGGTTCTATCATTTTAGCTGTCACTCCATCTTTAAATTAAAAACTTGCAAAACCATTACCAAAAAAATGGAAATTCCAATTTTCGGTCCCTTACAACCCAAAATTCGAGGTGAATGAGCCTCTACGAACGGCCGAACTTCTCCAACTCGGTCCCCAGAAGCTTCTCCAAGTTAAAGCTCGAACAAAACCAACAACCCCCAAAATATGTTTGTTCCCCCCAGACCAACTGGGTACATTCGATCCACCACCGAGAGCAGCCAGCAGCAGCCAGCCAGCCGTTGCGCAAGTGGGGGAAACGACGTAAACAACCCGGGGCCCAAAGGAGAGAGAGAGAGAGAGAGAGAGAGAGAGAGAGCCGGAGGAGCGACGCGGAGATGGTTGTTTACCACTCGGCCGGCACATGCCCTTTTCCAACCGACCGCAGGGTCCCCCTTCTTTCAGTAAGCAAAAAACAAGGTCCGCCCCTCCCTTTAAAATCAATCCGTGGGCCCCGTAGAGCCACACAGTCAGCCTTCAACCAGCTGTCTATTCACTTACTATTTGACTATCACTACCACCGATTTACTAATCAATCAATCACCATGGGTTCCGCCGAATCGAAGCAGGAGGGCAAGGTAAGCGGGGGAAACTCATTTTTTTTGCCTTTTTTCTGGGGTTATCGATTCCGTTCTTGAACTTTCAATGCGCCGTTATATTCAAGAAGTTCGACTATCAAATATAAGCAATTTTCTGTTAGTATCAGTCTAGAAATATGTTTTCAATATGAAAAAAAAAAGATTTTTTACATTTATAAAATATTTTCAAAACCACAAATAACTCTAAATCTGAGCCTACGCCAAACCGCAGTCGAAGCAAAGCCTAGGCAAGATCTAGACATCGGTTAGCAGAGCAGAAGCGCAAAGCGTAGGCCTATCCCAAGCTAAAAACTAAGCTAAGTCAAAGCCTAAGCCCAAGCCTAAGCCTAAGCCCAAGCCCAAACTATCACCACATTTTTCAGGACTTCACCGTTAAGGACACCTCGGTAATTATTGTTTGAACTATGCATGTAGCAAGCATCCGAGTTTATGTATCTAAGAATTACGTGTGTCATGTCAAAGTAAAAAACACAACTTTTAGAATCTGGGTCTTCTGAAATTTGCATGGTTGTGTGTTTGTCATTTTGAATAGCCTATAAAAAGCATCTATCCGTTTCAGGAAACCAACTACCCCTACAGCAACAACCGCCCCATCGCCGACCCGTGCCAGCTCACCCGACGGGTAAGCTAGCTTCGAGAAAAGCTTAAAAACATATGCTTGGACGCTTCGAGCTTTTCCGAAAAAAAAACTGAAAGCCTATTTACGGCACATTTGCCAAGTTCAATGGAATTTTCCCTTTGGACTTGTCTAAAACGATGAAAAAACTTACCCGAAATTTCGGAAAAGTTCCAGCGATCTAAAACACTGCAATAAAGAAAGCGTGTTCTTTTTCGGAACTTGTAGAAAACGTCGGCCCACATCTATGGACTTTTCGGAAATGCCCCAAGCTCGTATCCGACAATCTCAAAAAAATTGGAATCTCAAAATCCACTAAAAATTACAAAATCAGTCGATTTTAAAGCCGTTTCAATTTCTGTGAACTTCTCGAAAACGTCGGACCAACCTAGAAACAAGCCTCTGGTCCCTCGAAAAAACTGTTCCAATTTACCTGAACTTGTCCGAAACGACGAAAAGATACATTCCAACATTTCCGAGACGTCCAAGCTGTTCAAGATAGCCAAAAAACTAAGAAAAGCAAAACCATATAACATTTCCAGGCTCTCGAAGAGTGCTTGTCAGACCGCGGCGCCGAGGAGGGCTGCAAGGCGCTGATGGACGCGCACCGCAAATGCCTCAAGGATCAGAAGCCGTACTACCCGGTCGACATCAAGAAGTCCACGTAGACAGCCCACCCCCGCCGACGACAATAAACGGGCCCCTCGACGAGACGATACGAGTCCCAGGGTTATATGTCGCAATTTTTTACACCCCCCCCACATTTTTGCTCCACCTCGACCCCTCATTATAGCTTGTAAATAACGAATTAATGGAATAAACATTGGCCAGAAACTTGTTTTCTTGAGAAAAACAAAATTCCACACTTGAAAAAGACTCGTGGTGGGACCCTAGTAGTGATAATATGATAATTTTAAAGCATGATAGTAACAAAATACTAAATTAATTTTTACCGTAATTTGGTTCTGATTTTGATAGCTTTGGATTTCTTTACAGACTCAAGAAAACCTTTCCGACCTGTAAAACCAGATGTAAAAATTTTCTTGTAGACTCAATTCAAAAATTATGAAAATTAAAACAATAAAAAGAGGAAATTTAGGAACCTATATCTCCCTCTTTTCATTTAAAAGTTACTTAAAGACTAAAAATCCTCACAAGTCCGTGGGGAGCGCCTCGGTGAACAGCGTGTCCGTCTTGAAGATGTTCTGTAGCGTGCCCGGCTCGACCATCGGATCGACGGCGAGGAGGGCGTCGAAGAGCCGCAACAGGGCACGCAGCGGGCCGATGATTGGGTATTGCTGAAAAAGAGCTCTAATTCAAGCCGAATGCCACTCACCTGAAGTTCGGCGTACGAACAGAGGTAGAGCAGCAGCGTCGGCTCGTTGAAGTTGGCAGCAAAGCCGGCAAATCTGAAAGCAAAACTTAAACATTAAAAAAAAGCAGTTGGAAATAAAAAAATCAATAAGAGTACAGTACTTGGACCGCTCCATGACGTGCTCGATGGTGACGGGGTACATGTGCGGCGTGGTGACGACCTCGTTGACGTAGGCGCCACTCGCCAGGATGCGCGGGAACGGTCCGGTGCAGTTCATGAAGACGAACGGGGGTGGCGATGCTTTGAAGTTCTAAAAATCGAGATTTCACACAATCGATTAAAAAATTTTTAGGAAAATTGATTCTCGGAAAGTGTTTTCAAACGTTTGTGGTTTATGCAAATGATCCGGAAATTATAAAAAATCAAAGAAAAACGCCTACCACTAGCCCCTTGGCCTCGTGCTCAGGGATCGAGCTCAGGTACTGGTCGAGGAGCTCTTGAAGCGACGGATCCGTCGCGTACGCGCCCGGGAAGAGCGGCTCCTGCGGGACGACAGCTTCTACAGGCCGCCAGCCTCTCTCCTCGTCCGTGTCGTCACCGTCGGTGCTGCTCTCCTCGCCGGACGAGCGGGTCGCGCTCGTACCCTCGTCGTAGTCCTCGCCGTCGAAGAATGGGTTGGCGTTGTCCATGATGTCCTCTTCCATGAAGAACCTGGAAAAGCAGGGACATAGGAAAACCTAGGGAATCTTTTCTCAGATGCGCATTTAAGGTAAAAATCGAATTAATAATTAAACGGGAAGTTCAGCATACGCAAAAAAACAACGTACGGCTCCATCTGGCTGGGCCACAGCTCGGCGTGCTCGCCATTCAGGTAGACGACCCTCGATTTCCCGGTCTGCAAGTGCTGCTTGACCTGGAAGACCTTGTCGCGCAGCTCGTTCGACTGGTGCTCCAGCACGACTCCGAGGGAGCCAACGTGCAGCCTGAAAATCGTGATATCAAAAATTTAGCCTCGCGTCAGACCTTTGAAGGCGAGTGTGGGGCATAATGTCGAAAAGGGTGCACGTCTCGATGCCAGTCTCGACGGGCGTCCCTTCGACATCCTTGAACCATTTGACCTGGGTGCAACGCTCCTGCTGGTCCGTCGATAGGATGATGCCGAATTCGGTCTCTGAAAGCAGCATTTAAACTAAGCATCAAATTAAATTAATAATACTCGATCTGACTCAAAAATTATATTAAAATGCCGACAAGTCAAAATGTCGATGTTTATTTCCGATCAGCCAAATGCCGACCAGGCAACCAGGAGACTTCAAAAATTCCGAAAAGCCGAAATTTCGACATTTAGAAATCTGCCAGACCCCAAATGCCGACAAGCGAAGACTCGACATCAATTTTGTTCTCAAGACATTCGATATTCGGATTGTCGGCATTTGGCATGTCGGCCTTTTCATTGTCGGCATTCTAGCCGCACTTCAACCAACTTCAACCAAGAACCTCACTCACCATCCGGGGACTCCTTTCTCGCGACCACCTCTTCGGGCAGATGATGCTCCTGATCAAGGTCAGGGTCCATGGGCACCAGGTTGTAGCCGGGGATGTCGCGCTCGATCGTCCCGTTCATCCACTCGACGTCGAACAGCGAGCGAGTGATCAGCACCTGAAACAGTACAGTCAATATGATCCAACGGTCAAGAATTCACCTCTCCAATGAACGTGTCGCCAAAGACCTGCTTGGCGGGCCGGAAGCGCATCGTCTTGTGCACGGGGTCCGTGGCCCGGGTGACGGCCATCCGCCGCTTTTTCCGGGCACCATAGCGGGTCTTCCGCGAGCGTGTCTCGGGTAGCGTCGAGGCGGTGGTGTCCTGAAAACTTTAGATTACTTTAACTCTATAAAATTTACCATTTCCTCGATTTCGGCGGGGTGTTCGGGGATGGCCTCGAGTTTGACGGCAGTTTGTGCCGATGGGGTAGCGTGTTCTTCCTAACAATAAAAAAAATGAATGGGACAAAGTGAGCAAAAATAAATTCAACAAATTTATAATGAACATAATATAATCATAAACCATGTAAAAGTTATAAAAAAACAAATCAAACTAAAAATTCTGGAAATTGATAAATCCCACCAAGCCAACATCCATCCTTCCGCTTTTCGACACCGGCCCGTCCGTTGAGGTGGAGGGCTTCTTGTGGGCTGTTGGTAACGGCTAAAAAAGAGCATAAAAACATCAGAAGAATTTTGCTATCAATATTGACCAAAAAACCTTATAAAAATACCTCAAATTTGCAGCGGTAGTCCTCGTCGATGCTGCGATTGTAGTTGGTAAGAGTGGTGGCCTAAATGAGAAAAGAGAAACGTTGGCTCAGCCACATTAAATGGTTTACCTGGTCCGCGTCGGTGAGCCGCACCATCACGCGGTCGGCTGACGCCACGTAGTTGGTGCTCATGTTGATGCGGGTCAACCTGGGAGCGGCAAAATTGATCAAACAAATTACAAGAAAACTGACAAATGGAAATTCTCCTTCGGGATCACGCGCTCGGGCCGTTCGACGGAAACTGGCGAGTGTATCCAGCGCACATTCAGCGAAGCGGGCTCGACCTGGGATAAATTTCCAGGTAACTTAAAAACTGAAAAATATACCTTTAGAACGCGGACAGTAATCAGCCTGGTTCCGGTGGTGCGGCGCGATGAGCGAAGGGCCGGTGGTGGACCATTTGGCCACTAAAAAAGAAATATCTAAAACAGGGACGCCAATTACCGTGCACTTTTTCGTCGACAAGGCATCAGCCACGGAAATCTTGATGATCTCGCCGGGGACGCAGTACTTCGGCGAGTCGACGTTGTGTCTTCTCGTGATGTTCACGCGGCAATCGTCGAGTAGAATGAAACTGAAATTATTTTAATAGCTATTCGGGTAAAAAACGTTCCTGCAGTTTTCAAACTGCGATTTGAATTAGTCTAAATCCGAAAAACATTTTTAGAAAGCTCTAAACATTTGAAATTTTGATAAAAAATAGAATTATGAACATTCTCATAATTTTTGATGTAATTCCAGTTCCAACGCCAAAAACGCACGCCTGCTTGTTGTAGAGTAGCGTGACCTCGGTGGTCATGTTAGTAATATCGCCCATCCAGTCCTTGTACATCACGTAGTTGTGCGGCGCGTTGCGGTTGTAGATTTCGAACTAAAAGACGTGTAACGCAAAAAGCGTCCGGTTCACCATGGGGAGCACCATCTCGACGTTGCCCAGGTCGATGTTGTGCGCGACCTTGCTGCGGTCGGGCAGACCGATGACATCGCCACGGCGCTACAAAATGTATGTAAACGGCAAAGAAATTGGGCCATAATGTCGACAACTAAATGCCGACAGCCTGAGAATGATCGAAAAACTTTTGGTTTTAGGTATCGACAAGCGAAAATGCTAAAGAAATCTTTAAAAAATTTCAGTGCGTGCCTGCATTGTGCCCGAAATTCGGGATTATCTTAATTTTGTGTCGGTATTTCCCCGTCTTTTTAGACGCAAATCTATAAATCCTTACTTTGCAGGCAATAATCTTGCCCAGCTGTCCCTTTTTCGTCTCGCGGCAAATGGCCAGCGGGTCGCCGAGCGGGTGCTCGTTCTCGTATCGTACCACCGTCTCGCCTTCAGTGAATCCGCGCTCGACGAGGTATGTCTAAAAAAGAAGTAATCTTGAACGTTAACAAAAAACAAACCTCATCCACCAATCGGCGGACCTTGTTGCCGCTTTGCACCAATTCCGCGGATAACATCATGCCGTAGAACTCGCCGTAGAGGTAGGCCTTGTGTGAGGTCTATAAACAGCCACGTTATTAAACGGAAAAGATATACAGCGCCGGAAATTTTCAAAAAGGACATCAGGTTTCGATAATTACGCTATTACCTTGTCGACATAGGCAAATCGAGCGTGCCCATTCTTCAGCACGGCCACCAGGTCATCGCTAGTCGGGCGAGGCCGGGAAAAGTCGTTGATGCGGTGCTGGAAAGAGCAGATCTATTCTTTTTTTCTGAAAATCCATACCACTTTTGCGGGGTCGATGACGTTCCGTTCGACTTTGTACAATTTCCGGAGGGCAGTCGTATTGAGAAGGCCTCCATACTCGTCGGAGGCCATCGTCTGAGCTGCTTTTTTTGCTGAAATATATTTATTGCAAAGTGAGAAGGCGCCTATCGAAATACCCAAAAAAAGTCGACAAACCGGCAGAAATAAGGCTGGAGAAGTGGATGGCAAAATTGAGATGGGGGAAGGAAGATATATGGCAGAAGTAAACGCTACAAAGTCAAATGGAGGTAGACACAATACTAAGAGGCAACGATCGAAAAAGTACAAAATTATCACAGACACAAAGATAGGAGGGCCTTTCTTAGAACTCGATCCTGTCGCCGTGACGCCGGAAGTAGCCGCCAGTGTGCTGCTCGTCGAATGAGCCGATCGTCTTCACCAGCGCCTCAGCCGAATCGTCTACCGTAGTGGCAGCATTCTTGCCTCCCATGTCGGTCTGTACCCATCCGGGGCAGAAAGCCGCCAACAGAATGCCCTCCTTCTTCAGATCCACCGCCAGCGTCTTCATCATCTGGTTCAGGGCCGCCTTGCTCATGCGATAGGCAATCGAGTGGTTGGCCCCGCTGCCCGACGTGTTCTCGCCGATCGATCCCATGCCCGAGCTGATGTTGATGATCGCGCCTCGCCGCGCGCCCCATTCGCCGCCATGGGCCACGGATTTGCGGATGAGGGGCAGAAAGATCTGGGTGACGATGAGGGGCGAGGCGGCGTTCGTGTGTAGAATGTTGAGCAGCGCCGCCGGGTCGGGCTCGGCAGCGACCGCGTAATTCGTCCAGATGCCGGCGTTGTTGATCAACAAATTGAGGCCGGAGTCGCCGACAACTCGCGAGACCTGCTCGTAGACGGCCTTGATCGAGGCGACATCTTGCACGTCCATTCTCAGCACCTTCAGCCGCGGATCCCGGATTTGGGTGAGCGCCTCGGCCTTGTCGGGGTTGCGCGCCGTGGCGAAGATGTGTGTGACGGCGTCGAGCTTCAGGTACTCCTTCGTTAGCCCGAGGCCGATGCCTCGATTGGCGCCGGTGATGAGGACGGAGGACGGGTGCGGCATCGTGTGATTGGTCGCTGAAACTCGGGTAATTAATATAATGTTTAGTAAGTCATGGGTAATTCTAGTATTCTAGACTAAACAAATAAAATTGTTGCTTAAAACTCTACTTCGCAAAATAAAGATTATATTCATAATTTCTTGATAAATATGTATCAAATGGGGTTAAATATTGTTAGTTTTTTTATAAATATGTAATTAACCGGGTTTAACAACCCTCATTGTGATCCAATGAAAATCTTAAGCAGAATAATTTATCAACGCGAAAAATGGATAACAGATAAATAACAAGATCGATAAGTGAGCAGATGACGGGGAGGGAAGGGGATTAAAATGGGCAGCGAGCGCAGAATTGAATCCATTATTTATTTTGAGGCAGGACGTTCACGTCATCAACCCATGAAGCCTCGGCTTGATCCTCGTTCTCGTTCACCTCCCACAGCGACTCGAGATCGTATCGCGCACGCGCTTCCGTCGACATGACGTGGATCTGGAAATTCGGCATTTTTAGGCTAAAAAAATCGGGTGCTTCTCGTTTAGCAGGGGGGGGGGGGGGAACATTGTCTCCAAATCCGGTAATCTCACCCTATATAAAAACGTCTTGCTAACATCCAACCATTTTTTATCATAGATCGAGGCTAGAAAAAATCACATTTTTTTTAGTCAAAAACGTTTTAAAAGGCAATAAAAGGTCAAAATATTTTTCACAATTCGTGAGCAACGAAAAACGTTTAAGAATTTTATGAAAATCTACTTGTTAGGTGGAAACGTCAAAATTGGCATCCCTTACCAGAAGCACCAAAAAAACGTCCAAAAATGTACCTGGATTTTGTTCACTTCCACACAGAACCAGCCGGAATTCGTGGAATGCAGTACACGTTGTCTATTCACCGAGTCGCCGTCGTCGTTCAATTTTAGGGATCTAAAAAAACGGATAAAATAGTATTTTATTTTTTTACGACATCTCCTTTAGATAACTCACTGTCTAATTCGCTCGGTCAACGCCTTGCCGTGTCTGGGGTTGATCGGCGAACAAATGGTCATATAGTCGAAGGGGGAGGCCATGACGTAAGTGAGATCAATAACCTTAATTAAAAACGATTATACCATAAAAAAGGCTTACTTTAACATCCTTTGCCTTTTCCTTCTCAAGCAGGGAAATCACGTCTTCAATGTTTACGAGCCTAAAAATAGTTAACGACGGAGAAATAAAAAAACAACCTGATTCTTTCCTCGAGTTTGGGAACAAAAGGCTCTTCTACAACATCATCAACTTCATAGTACTCTTCGATGTATTGGCTAAAAAACACATCAAAAAAAAACAAAAATCTCAGTTACCTAAAATATTCCTGCATTTGCCGAATTTTCTTCTGCTGCTCATTTTCTGAGACGGGGCTGGGCTGGGTTATAGATAAAGGAGAAATGGGCGTTGATGGGGTTGTGGTGGAGAAGGGACGAGCATTTTGAAGCGCCCTAAAACGCTTAGAATAAAGATTTAAGAAAAAACGCACCTAGTCATGGAGCAGCTTCTCCGCAATAGGGTTCGCGTGAATCGTAACATCGCGGATGCGCTGCTCCACAAGGGGCCTGTATTTGGCATCGACGCGCTGCACTTCGAGCTCTTCCAAAGTGTCGAAACCGTCGATTACCCTGAAAATCGCTTTGATGGAAATCAATGGTTGCTTTCGCAAGATCGGGGGAGTAAACTCTTTCATTGGAATCCGATTTTTTTTCTGATATAAATAGAGCAAGATTTTCGAAGCAGTTTTCTACTATTCCTTAACGCATAAACTAGCAATTACTGATTAAAAAAATCGAAAAGCATCCTTTTTGCTTAAAATTTAGTTAAAAATTTAAGTTAAAGTTTCACATTAGCTAGATTTCCTGAATAGTTTTGATTTGAATTATCGGACCTGGACCTTCCGGATTTATATGACAAAATTTTGTTTCCCGCCCGATACTGTGAAAGCGTCAATTCGCCATTCAAAAACTCACTTTCCAAAAATCGTGTACTTCAAGTCGAGATGCTGCTGCTCAGCGTAGGTGATGAAAAACTGCGATCGATTCTTGTTCGGCCCGTTATTGGCCATAGACAGGACGCCGCGAGCGTCGTGCTGAAATCCAAATTTATACAAGGACGGAAATATGGTTTCAAAAAGCCGCTTTTCCAAGATTCCAACCTTCAAATCCCGGTGTAGCTCGTCGTCGAACGGGCCACCCCAAATGCTTTGTCCGCCTTTTCCTAAAGAAGGTAGGTTCTTTTGACAAGCCAAAGAAGCCTACCTGTATTTGTCGGGTCACCAGTCTGTACCATAAACTCGCTGACGTTGCGCGTGAACACGTTGTTGTCGTAGTAGCCGGAAGCGCAGAGAGCCAAGAAGTTCTATAAACCGGAAAATAGTCTCGGTATCAAGAAATCCATACCTCACAAGTCTTCGGGCACCTATCACAGTAGAGCTCGACTTTGATATCACCAAGTGTTGTGTGGAGCGTTACAGACATCAGACATACACCTAAATGGTCGTTTCAATTGTTTAATCCAAAAACAAAATAGAAAATACAACGGGATCGCGTATATAATATACAAAGAAGCTTTCATAGCACTTAAAATATAAATTCTCTTACTAAAGACGTGCAAAAGGCGCGCGATTTTCGAAACTAAATTTCCCATCATAGAAGCGTTTTCAACGATTTCTAGGGATTCCTAATGGCAAAAAAAATTCTTTTCAAAAGAGCATTTTGATTTTAAGACCTTTTTGTTGTATTTCAGGCGCTGATTCGCAGTGACAGGCGTCTGAAAATAAATTCGAAACCGTTTTGCACATCATAAAAAAGTTATCAAGGATTTCTAAAGACTTCTAAAGGCGAAAATCTTCCTTTAAAAGGAGCATTATTGATTTTATGAAAATTTGCGGTGTATTTCATGCATTAATTGGCAGGGAGACAGATGTGAGAGGGAGATTTGGGGGCAAAAGTGAGGGAGCCGGGATGGCGGACACGGCACTTTGAAGAGGCGCGTGTATTCCCGCGTACCTCCCAGTTTTCATTTTGACAATCTGAAGGTATCTGTTCATTGTTTATAAAGGTTTATTTTAGGTTTTTAAAACATTAAAAACGCTTATAACGCTTGCAAAGTTGGCGAATAGGCTCAAATATTCCGGAATTCTTTTGACTACCGAACCTTCCTTTTGACGGTCTAAATCTATGATTTTCATCGCGTAATGTAAAATAAATGTGAAATAATTTCGAAATTCTGAACTAAAAAAACAACATTGTTTTAAAAGTTTAGAAAGCTTTTAAAATTGGAGTGTAAAATGGAGAGAAATTAAAGCGGTTCTTTCGCATTATCGGGGGAGGAAGCTTTTGTATAATTCTAGAAATGCCTAGTAGCTTTATGGCAAGTATTTTCGTAATGTCTTTAGTAAAATAAAACAATATTTCAACTATAAAAACTGTCTAAAAATTTTAAATGGTTTAAAAAGTAGAAATTTTGGTCAAAAACGACTATTTTTGGTCGAAAAATGGAATTTTTTCTAACAATTTGTAACGGTTTTTACTTTACTATATTTCATTTTGAGTATTAAAAAGCAATGAGCAAAGATAAAAGCAATTTCAGCGTCGCCAGATGCTCCAGAGCCCGCTGAAATACTTCACCGGCGGATATGGCTCGTACGCGACGGCCACCGTGCACAAGTGGGTTTATGTATTCTTTAACTTATATATTTTGATTTTATGTTTTAGATATATTATTTTTTTATATGTTAAGGGGCGCCTTGTGCCAAGTCGTCGACTTGATAGACTTCTTTTTCGTGGCGCATCCGGCCAGCGGCCGGCGCGAGGGTGAGGAGCACAAGCGCGTCATGTATTTTTACACGCAGCCAGGCGCACCGCCCGATTTGAATCGACAAGTAAGCTCAAGTAGAAACTTAATAGATAGATTTATGAATGAATAGAATGATAAGAAGAGCATTAATTTATACCCAATTAAACAAAAACCGATTTAGACTGAAGTCACCGGTTTCGCTGAAGCGATCGTCAATTTTATGAACGATTTTACAGATGCGTCGTTGATCCCAGAAGTAAGTTAATTTTACGAAACTTTAGAGCTTAAAAATTAAATGAGTTGTAATGAATTTTTCAATGAACAAACCCCAATTTTCAGGAGGAATTCCCGTATCGTGACGTAGTGACGGAGAAGACGGCCCAGGTCTATGTACAGGTGGAAAACTGCGAGTTCTTGATCGGCATCGCATTCGACAAGTGAGTCATAAAGAGGGCAAACCGATTACGATACAAAAATATTTTTTAGGAAATCGTGTAAAGATTTTGAGTACACGATATTCATGCCGACGTTGAGGGCAATATTACTGGAAGCTTATCGGATGTTCAAGCTTTTCTTTGGTGAGTCTTGAAAAGAAGGGCAGGCTAGCAGAGATTGTTGAGGAAGAGGAGAGGGCAGACTAGCAGAGATTGTTGAGGAAGAGGAGAGGGCAGGCTAGCAGAGATTGTTGAGGAAGAGGAGAGGGCAGGCTAGCAGAGATTGTTGAGGAAGAGGAGAGGGCAGGCTAGCAGAGATTGTTGAGCAAGAGGAGAGGGCAGGCTAGCAGAGATTGCTGAGGAGGAGGGGAAAGCAGGCTAGTAGTGATCATTCAGGAAACACAACTTTTCAGGTCCGTTTGTCGATTTCCGGAACAGCGACGAGCAGCTCTTCCGGCAGCGTCTTGAATACTTCTTCGGACGCTACTTCTCCCAGCTCCGCCTCTTCAACATGCCACTCCTCAACTATTTCATAGGCGTCGATTTTCAGCCGCTGCCAGGTTTTCAATTTTCAGAATTTTAAAATGGCTCGCTCTTGTAGGCCCAAGCTTCCTCTGCATCGACACGCTCATCACTGAGACGAAAGAGGCGTTCCCGTGCGTGTCGAAGGCGCTGTTCCTCTACCAGGACAAGCTGTTGTATTACACTGTAAATAAGGCCGATCTGCCCTGTTTATATAGGTAGGCCGGTTTTACGGGGAGCTTTAGAGTATTGTTATCAGGTACCTCACAGAAAATCTACTCCCAATGTCGTTGAGGGCCGAGCTGGAGCCGAACGCGACCAGGTAGGGGGTATTTTTTTCTGGAAGCCTAAGCCTAAGCCAAGCCTAAGTCTAAGTCTAATCCTAAGCCTTTTTCAGAAGCCAAGGCGGAAAATTCCTCACGGGCCCCACCGATCTCCAGACTGATGACCCCGTTCCGGCAGTGAGTGTTATAACTTCATCTCTAAGCCTTGTCTTTATTCAGGAAAATTCCCCACCCACCGTCTTTCTTACGTCACAGGACGGTACCTCCTATGAGGAGCACAAATTGGTAGGTTTAATCTCAACAGCTCCTTGTAACCCTAAATTTCGGACAGGCTAGCAGAGATAATTTTGGAAACTTCCGTTTTTTTCAGCTGGTTTATCGCTCCCTGAACGCCACGGTGTGTCTTTTCATTAATGTGGATGTGACGCGACAAATGATGCGGAATATCGACGGATTTTTGGGGGCCGAGCTGAAGAAGTTGGCAAGTCAAATCGGGGAAGCGTAAGTTTTGAAAATAGCTGCTTTCCTCTGCCTCAACAATCTCTGCTAGCCTGCCCTCTCCTCTTCCTCAACAATCTCTGCTAGCCTGTCCTCTCCTCTTCCTCAACAATCTCTGCTAGCCTGTCCTCTCCTCTTCCTCAACAATCTCTGCTAGCCTGCCCTCTCCTCTTCCTCAACAATCTCTGCTAGCCTGCCCTCTCCTCTTCCTCAACAATCTCTGCTAGCTTGTCCTCTCCACTTCCTCAACAATCTCTGCTAGCCGCTTCTTTTCAGGATCACGAGCGAGATCAGTGAGCTCCGAGTCTCAGACTTCCACTTCCTCTACTTCAACCCCTCTTCCCTATCCCTACGTACCTCCTTCAACCAGTCCCCCTTGATCGGGATGAGTTCGTTGGGGTTAAACCCAAGTGCCAGCCAGCTCCTCCCTCCCGTCCCGCAGCAAGTCTATAGGTGAGTCGTTTATCGGAATCGTATACGCTATATTCATCTTTCTTACACTGCCTTTAAACATCCCTAACGTCTTCAGAATCGTGTGCGAGACGTACGACCGGCTTTTGGATTCGTCGGAAGACTTCGGGGAGTGTATCGTCAAGGATAGTGCGGATTGGTGGATTGTCATCAAGAAGGTAGTTACGAAAAAATCTATTTACTGTTGATATCCGAGGATATTGGCATACTTTACTGGCTATCGATATTTTTTTTGAACAGCTCTCTTCTAAGTTGCCCTGCTTCAGGTCAACGACCGGATCCTCATCATCCTCCTCCCGCCCTCTGCCAACCTGCCCACGCTGCAAGACGCGTACACGCGTGTCAGCGAGATCATTAAGTCACGATTTCAGGGAATCTTCTTGCTGTGATTTGTTGCATGCTGTACTTTGTTCTCTAAGCCCTAAGCCTAAGCCTAAGCCTAAGCCTAACATAAGCCTAACCCCGGCCTTGACTTCTCCTCCTTCACCCAACATTGTGATTCGACCGTTACGGGACCGTCTTGTGTGCTTTGCCCTTTATCATTTTCGATGTCGATAAATATTTATTCAGCATTTTAAAGTAGTCGGGTTACTGTAGAAGCCATTTTGAGGTCAGTCAGTCTTGGGCGAGATTCGGTGGCACGTCGAGCGACGAGCTGCAGCTATCGGCGGCCTGGAACGGAACAGAAAGATTTTGAAAGGGGCTGGAAGGCCGAAAAACTAAGTTTAAGACTAAGCCCAAACCCCGGATCACCCACTTTTCGGATCGAAAGCATTGGCGGTGGAGAGCCGGGACAGCGCCGAGTAGGTCGAGGCCGTCGCTAAAGACAGATAAACTCAAAAATTAGCAAAAACGATAAAATATACAGAATGTGCGATTTCTTAGATCGTAAGACCGACGCCTCGGGGTGAAAGGCGAGGCGGTCGACATCTGGGAGAGGCCGCTGATGGTGGAGCGTTGCTCTAAAAACGAGTTTGCTATCACTCTCTCTCTCTCTCTCTCTCTCTCTCGCTGTCTTTCTCTCACTCTCACTCCTCGCTTACTCGACTTCCGCTTCGGCTTCATCGTCTTCCCGACGATCGCCGGCGGCTCGCGGTACTTGATCCCGGTCCTCATCGCGTGGCGAGCCATTGTATCAGCCTGAAACGTTGTGAATGATCTTTGCTAGCCTGCCCTCTCTTCCTCACCTTCTCATTGCCCGGATCCCCATTGTGCGCAAAGACGTGCTGGAACTTGACGCCACCCGGGAACTGCTCGGCGATCGAGCGCAGCGTGGCGATCCTATTGGAAAATTGTATTCCGAATAGGAGCCTTGTCCCACTCCGCTTCGTAGCCGCCGGCGCGCCCGTTTAGCCGTTTCACCAGGTTCAGGCTATCGGAGCGGATGATGATGTCCTCATCACTGAAAATTGGGTTCAGGCAGGCTAGCAGAGATTGTTGAGGAAGAGGAGAGGGCAGGCTAGCAGATTTCTCTTAAAAAATTCCGTACCAATACTCCGGCCATTTCAACAGCCGTCGCAGCGCCTCGGTGGCGCCAAGCAGCTCGACAAGGTCGCTGGCCCGATTTCCGGCCTCGGCGATGGTAACGCGCTCAGCGCTAAAAGTTACATATAATTTAGCACCGATTAGCTACAAATTGAGAGGGTGTTCGTGGCCGAAGAAGCCTGCGTAGGCCTTGTCGCCGAAGCGGCCGACGCTCGCGTCGGTGTAGATCTGCAAGGAAACGCTCATCCGAGTCCGAAGCCTACGCCTAAACCTAAGCCTACGCTTAACGACCACTCACAACTATCGTATTTTCGGGGAACGTCTCGTTGAACGGGATATCCTGCTGCTTTGTGTGCGAAGGGGAAAAGCCTGAAAAACGGTAGAAAACGCAGGGATCATCTAAACTACCGTATCTGACGGCGGTGTACGAGTGGCGGGCCTCGAGGCTGCCGCTCTCCGTGCTGCTCCCATCGCTCTCGTAACCGGAATCCTGGGGAAATTTTGGAAGTCTCGGACCTTCAAACTTACGCTGCCATCCGAGTGGCCGCCGGTGGACCCTGAAAATCGTGAATTGCTTACAACGCTTAGAATTTGCAGAACTGGGCAGAGATTGCTGGGCCTAAGCCTATGCCTAAGCCCAATCCTAAGCCTAACCTAAACCTAATTGTAAGCCGAGGCCTAAGCCTAATCTAAGCCTAAGCCTAAGCCCAAGCTCAAGCTCAAGCCTAAGCCTTAGCCTAGCCAACGTCGCAACAAAAAATGTATTTACTAGCAAGAGCGGGCTCCTCCGTCTTCTTCGCCCCAAAGAATATGGTCAGTAGTTTCGAGTAGAACTTCATGTCAGCGGGTCAGTAATTAGAGAAAATGATGCAAAAGCACATGGCTTTTTCACGATACTGATAATGTATTCTATCAAGTGGCCGCATGCAAATTACGTTTGATAATGACAGACTTCATGCCCGATAACCAGACCAAGTAGCCCTTTACGGCCTTGCATACAACCAGTACGTGATTGAACCACTGCCAAATTTGTTGCTGGTCAGTCATTAGATTTAGATTTTAGATAAGATATGGCAAAACAACGTTAAAGTGTTCAGAAAGTTACAGACTTTAAAGGGATAACGACGGCACGAGTAATCAGTGACGCGGAGGAAAGAAAATGTCTCTGCGTCTCGCCCCCCCTGGGCGCGTTCTCTGCCCTGTTAGCTACTTGCCAAAAAGTCGATCAGGGGTGATCGACCTATGCTGTCGGTACCCCTTTAAAGGGATAAGGAGGGCCCACGTAGATGAGGGCTCATCTATAATTGGCACGTAGCCAACTGGGTCAGAGAGGGCGAGAGAAGGCGCCCAGAGGAGAGAGCGCAGAGACCCCCTTCCCCCGCGTCACCGGTTTTTGGCTGATCCACGTGGGGCCTCCTCATCCCTTTAAAGGGATACCCAAGGTTTTGGCGGCAAATATATAGTTATGTATTCCGGGGAGTACAAATGACGCGCGAATTTTGTGCGGTAATGGATGCCCAGTGCCGCACAGAATTCGGCCTCCTCTCCCTCTTGTGGCGTCCCCATCTCGGAAAATGGCTTGTCACTATGGCCTAATGGATAGCATCCAGGTCTTGAAAGCGGGGGTCCCGGGTTCGACCCCCGCCCGCTTCATGATTTTTGCTTTTTCAGCCCTAAAAAGGTTGGGTATCCCTTTAAAGGGCGTAAAACGCCCAAAGTCGGCCATTTTGACAATCTTTGCACTATTTTTGGGGCTATGAAACATTTTTCCAAAAACGACCAAACCATGTGTTTTTTTGCTCGGCTGGACAGGACAGAAACGAGACGCCACGCTGATGCAACCAGCGGAATAAACTATAATAATTTTTGGTAGTGTCCGTCTCCCGCTCACCAAAGTGTCTTTGATCCACTATTCAAATCTGCACATCTGCCAAAACCGAGGGCGAGAGGTCCCATCCTTTGGGGGTCGAATCTCTCCTAATTTCCTCATCTACGCAGCCGTCTCCTGGTATTTATACACATTGGCTTGTTCAGCCTTTATTTTTCGGCTGAATGTGCCAAGCACTTCTGAGAAAATTTTGCTCCATATCGATGCTCTCCCCTAAAGCTTGCAGCGATGTGATGTATTTACAGGATGGACCGACTGCCGAATGCAGCAATTGAATTGGTTCTCGAGCATCTAAATCCGGATGAATTAATCACTCTACACCGTACCACCAAACCCTTTCGGTTAGATTTAAATAATTATCGTTAGATGTGGTCGAAGCCGATTTTATAGCCATCTTTAGACAGTTTATCAATGTGAGGGGGTTGTTACCCGGTCGCATCGATGTCCTCTACTTTGGCCCACTCTGTTTACCCGGCAAATCGGATCAGGTAGGCAATTTGGCATTCGACTGTTTATCGGTGGGCGTGGGAGAAATATAAAACACAATAAAGACTATTTTTATAGTTTTTTTACACAGACTTTGATATCTAAAAACTCAGAAAAAACTAGAAAAGTTTCGACAGTTTTTGATTTTTTTTGGTCAAATATGGATTCTTTCGCTTATGGAACCGATTTTATTAGGAGCTGGTTTTTCAAATATAAATTGTGGAAGCTCTTAGAAATAATTTTTTACTATTCCTAAACAAGAAAACTTTACAAAGTTGTATCAGAAAATCTCGATTTTTCGACCGAAAATGACCGATTTTTGACCAAAATTTCGATTTTCTTAAAGTTTTTAGATAGTTTTTCTAATCGAAATTTAGTTAAATATTCCTAAAAACACTATTAAAACACTTCGAACGTAACTGGACGCTTAGATGGCGTTTCCCGCCGTGACTATGGCGGTGATGGGACGTGGCGAAGCGGGTTTCTGCGCTGCTTATCCCAAGAAAAAGCTCTACCATTTGTATGGAAAGAGGTATGTCTTCTCAAGAAAAACATTAGATGTCCCTGACGCAAAATAAATTTTTGGAACCAGAAACAAAAATGCAATGGCTTCTAGGGTGTGCAAAGATGGGGAGTTGCCGGATCGATGTGACGCGGCGGGAGAAGAGATTCCTTTTGGGGAATACACGCTGGCGGAGAGGCAAATGTTGAAAAGCCGCATGCGGTACCGTTTCTTTATATTTGTTTTGGAATGATGATTGGCTTAAGTGCAATTACCGCCTCCCCTCGCCAGCCGACCCCCACCTACCGTATTTCGGCACCCTGTTCATCTACAGGTGTGTAAAGTATGCCAAAATACTCGCAAGAGCAAGACGAACATTTTGGTACACTTTACACACCTGTAGATGAACAGGGGAGCCGAGTTACAAAAGTTGGGTGCCGGCTGGGGGGGGGGGGGGGGGGGTGAACGCACTCTAACCAGATGATTATAAGGCTCTTGTGCAATATGGGGGCAGTGTTTCTAAACTATTTTTGAAATATTCCTGAACGTAGAAAACTTTACGAATTTTTCTTAAAAAAACAAAAGAATGTCTATTTTCGGTTAAAATGTCAACAAAAAAGCTATTGACGAAGTGTTTTTTTTTATTGTTTTTGTACCTGAAATACAGTTCAGTATCGTAAAATACCATAAAAGTTTTACTATTCCATCGCTAGGCAATGGCTTTCAGGCGATACCGTATGAAGAGCGAGCGATATTTCGAGCACTTGACCCGGATGCTCACCCGGATCCGAGCCGTTCGAATACTCGAACTCTGCCCTGGAATTTTTTGGACCCCGGTAAGGCGCTTTTTTGGTATCGAAACTGGCGGGTCACGGTTGGCATTTGACGGCGAGATGGGGTTTTCGGCGGCTTATGTTCATTTTCATAGAATCATTTGCCTAAATTCATTTTTCCTAAAAGCCATTTTCCTAAAAATAGGTTTGCTAAAGTGCATTTTGCCTAAAAATTGTCGTGTAAATATGGATGGGTAAAAATAACAAGAAACGCCAAGTGTGCTCATTTTCGGTTATCAAAGCATTTAGTTGGCTTATATAAAACTTTTTTCTTCTTTTTATTGATACTTTTCACTGCCAATATACCAAAATCTAGGCTAAAGCACTAGTAAAATAGTTCCCACGACATTATTAAGCATAGCTGAATTTATTAGAAAAAATTTCGATGCGCCATTCATACTACGGAAGAACTGAGGCCTTTTCGATATCTAGCCGGCTTGAGAAAATGAACGTTAGGAAAAATCGCTGTTTGGAAAATCGCGTGTAGGAAAAATTATTTTAGAAAAAATGTCAGTAATTCGTTTTCGGTGGGGGGGGGGGGTTCTCCGCGAAATTGTTTTTGGTAAAGTGGGTTACGGCTATACCTTCAAGCAATACCTCTCAGACCGCGAGTTGGACGCCATATGAATTGGAGGCCGGTCACCTGCAGCAAGTGGTGAGCTGGATCAGGTGACTACCATTAACACGGCGCTTTAGGGGCCGCCACCGGATAGCACAAAATATGAAAATGGACGTCGTCTTCATGTGAGTTCGGGGGGGTCAAAGTTGCTATGGGCGCGGGGATTTTATTTTATTGGGTTGTTTCATTGATTAGCCGCTTGTTTTCAGATGGCGAATGTGTTGGGTTCAATTCGAGTCATCGGGGAGTGTCTACTTGGGCCGCTTACCCTGGAAACGTTCCCAAAAGTCTTCCCGTTTATCGGCTGTCTCTCCGACGTCTTGAAAGTTCGCCACGTACGTCTCATACGGTACATACGGGGAAAACGCCAGAATCCCGATCGCCAAAATCCCGACAGTCGAAATCCCGACAGCCCTATCCCGACAGCCAAAATACCGATATCCGAAATCCCGACAGCCGAAATCACGACCACTAAAATCCTGAAAGCCAAATACCCCAGATTTTAGAACCTTTTCTGGGTAAAACGACCGGAAATATCACATTTTGGCTGTCTGTACTTTGGGGTCTCGGATTTATGACTGGAGTTCGTCACTTTTATCCTTTCAGACAGGTGTCCTCGGCGCATGGCTGTATGAGCGATGGCCGCAGGTATGTTTTTAAATAGTGTGGCACGTCGTTGATACTATTTCAGGAGGACCAAATACTGCGGGAGTGGCGACAGCAGTTTTGTGCGCCCTGGAACCGTCGAGCCTTCTCGTGGCAGACGCAAGATCTCAACGAGGCTGCTCTAGTGATCAGTGTACGCTAGAGAATTGCTTATTCAGACACGAACAGCTGCATAAATTCAGGGCGATCCGCGAGCCGTTTGCGTGGTGACAGCTCACGCGGTTTCCGTTCCTTTGGACCTCGTAGAAAATGCGTAGATTAGTTTTTATGGCGTGCAATGTAACTGTAAAAGGAAAAATTCGTGAAACCAGGAGATGCTGGAACATCGAAGCGGATTGTCTGATGGGAGGATGTTTACGGTATCAATTGACTATTTGGATAGACAGCGGCCACCACAGCATATTGTAAGTAGCGAGAGTGAGAGAGAGAGAGAGCGAGAGAGAGAGAACGAGATCGAAATAGGGAGAGCGAGACATGGAAAAGCCGGCACGCGCAAATTACAGGATGTGGCGGCCCGGGTTGAAGCCGTGACACTGCTGGAACAAGATTCGGACGCCGCCCTTCATCTGCAGGCTATGTTTCAGAAATATCTTGCCGAGGTCGATTTATGTAGGCAATGTGCTCACAAAAACTTCAAAAAATTTCAAGATACACGAGCATTGTGGGGCGCAAAGCCTAAGCCTTTACCTAAGCCTAAGCCTAAGCCTAAGCCTAAACCTAAGCCTAAGCCTAGCCTAAGCCTAAGTCTAAGCCTATGCCTAAGCCTAAGTCTAAGCCTAAGCCTAAGCCTAAGCCTAAGCCTAAGCCTAAGCCTAAGCCTAAGCCTAAGCCCAACCTATGCCTAAGAAACTCCCGGTTTTCAGGAATACGGCCCCGTGATTGACACGATGTGCTTCCGTTGCGCGCCTCCGAACACCGGTCAGTGAACAGAAAGGACGCGGATTTCCTAAATTGGCAATGCAATTTTTTGTTAGGCAAAAATCAAGGTCTGCCGAAAAATACCTCAAGTTGGTTGGATACCTAAACCGCAAAAATGGAACAGTTTGCGGACGGTTAGGAGGGATTTTTGAAATACCTATAGTTCCCTGAAAGCCTTGTTCAGATGTAGTGCTGATGACCCGGAGACATCGTGTTAGACGCAGAGGTGCCAGGCTCTATGATGAAGCTCGTCACGAGGATTTCGACCATGTCACCATGTCGATCACAAACTTCCCCGCCAAGATATGTCATTAAAGACGCACATCTGCTGTTTACTACTCTGTACCTAAGCATACGCGATACTGCCTCCACTTCGTTTCGACGTTTCACTACCTTTAAATAAACCGTTCGATGCCTTGGATTTGATTGCGATTCCGATACTAACTTTTTCCTTCCAGGGGGAACCTCAAGTCGGCACGCTGGAGTTAGAAATACACTGGCGACTACCTTAGGTTTTCCATAACGGCGGTTCAACGCTCCAGTCAGAATTTCCTCGATGCACCTGTGGACAAGGATGCAGCACTTCCGGAAAAGCACGATTGTAGCTTTTCGATCATGAATCAGGATTATCATGAAAAGCACGACACGACGAGTCCCTCATCGGGCGTGCCTTCCAAGGCTGATTTCACGAAAAATCAACCGTGCAAAATCATGTTTGGTTATGCATCTGAAAGAGCATCAAAAATAGTGCCGAAAAAAGTTTAATACGAAACCTGGGAGGCCCTGGTGTAGTTGCTAGGATTTTCGAAATCGACATTTGTATAAACAAGTGTTTCTCACTGATCTTTAATATCTAAACGTATTTGCAGAGAATCTAGAAAAATCCGATTTTCAAAATTTTGGAAAAATGTGGATAGTTTTTTGCAATTTAAATGGAGCCAAATTTTACTCAGAACATCATCTGATCTTTCTGCCTTTTTTTTTTTTTTTTTTTTCGGTAAGAGTCTAGGAAACCCCCCCCAGCCGTAACTTTTCAGCCATACGTCCTATTAATGCGCCGAGTATCTCAAAATGTTCGCCGTGGTCGGATTACTATAGCCAAGTTGTCTTCTTACATCAAAAATTGTTAGAACAATTTTTACAAGATTTTGAAAGTTGAAAAGATTAAGCGGCTATGCTTCGATGTATCAGGAGCCTAAAACTCAAATATTTTTATTTTACGCTATTTTTTCGACTCAAATGTACTATAGCCTTATTCTACAGAGCAAGAGCTACATTTTGGTACCATTGACAGCACTGTACGTCAAAAGATAGCCGAGATACGAAAACTCACTTTGGAACAGCAAAAATTAACTAAAGAAAATCCAGACTTATAATTGTTATAAAAATTGTTCTAACAATTTTTGATGTAAGAAAACAACTTTTTCAGAGTAATTCGACCACGGCGAACATTTTGAGATACTGGGCGCATTAATAGAACGTATGGCTGAAAAGTTACGGCTGGGGGTTTCCCAGACTTGAGCCTTTTTTTCTAATCAATTTCTGCCGGCCCCTTTGTCAGCCTAACATCCCGGGGTTTTCTGGGTCGTGCGCTTCATAAATTCCGCACGACATCTCTTGCCGTTTAGCCGAGTCGTGGCAAGGGGGCGTTGCCCCCCTTTGCCACGTCTACGCCATCCCAAATCGACCGTACTCTTTTCCCGATATTTCGAAGCCAGTCGCCGGCTTCTATCGTGTGCTCGCTTCTTGCGCCTACGATCGATTGGATGTACTGTAAGATGCGCTGCGCTATCACCGTCCTCCTCTGCACGTTCAGCTACGTTGCGGCGTTTGGAGGAAATGTAAGGAAAACCGCTTCTTAATAGCTCCAAATATGCTAATATAATTTTTAGTCCCATGGAATACAAGGAATGGGACAAGAAGAGACGTATACTGATGCTTCCGTAAGTTTTTTGTCGTTAGGGGCAGGCCAGCAGAAATTGTTGAGGAAGAGGAGAGGGCAGGCTAGCAGAGATTGTTGAGGAAGAGGAGAGGGCAGGCTAGCAGAGATTGTTGAGGAAGAGGAGAGGGCAGGCTAGCAGAGATTGTTGAGGAAGAGGAGAGGGCAGGCTAGCAGAGATTGTTGAGGAAGAGGAGAGGGCAGGCTAGCAGAGATTGTTGAGGAAGAAGCGGGGCAGGCTAGCAAAGATCTTTTCGGAAATGTCTTCAACTTTCAGGACACTGGACTCCCTCAATGCGGCGTCCAGGGCATTGCCCTCTTCCAGAAAGTGCTGTACCAGGGCGACGTACTTGGGCTGTGCCTGGACTTCACCTCCAAATGCGTGGACCTGCCCACGGTATCAAAGTTCTTATTAATGCGTAGAACCTTATAACTCGGCTGTAAGGGGATGAAAGAGGGCAAGCCAGCGGAGATTTTTGAGGAAGAGACCGCTAGACTTAAATTGCAGGGCTGGGCCCGAATGATCGAGTCAGTCTACGTGGCCAGCGAGGCCGCCTGCTACATGTTGTACACGTCGGAGAACTGCGAGGGCATGGAGATGAAAGTGGGCGGGCTAGCATAGATTGTTGAGGAAGAGGAGAGGGCAGGCTAGCAGAGAACACTTGGGAATCCGGATAATTCCAGATCAACCACCGGAAGGTGCGCGAACGCCGGACGGAGAACCTCTACGACAACAACCTGGCCCACCGCCACTCGTCGATCCGCGTCTGCAACGAGTACGAGCGCACCCATCACTAATTTTTGTTGCGCCGGAATAAAGCATACTGTAAATGAGTGCATGGCAGCGTACAACATTTGCATGATTTTGAGGGGAGCTGTCAACAAAATTCTGGTAGCACCATTGAAAAGAGACGGGTCGCTCTCTCTCACTCTCCCTCTCTGTCGCTCTCTCTCTCTCTCTCTCGCTCGCTCTCTCTCACTCGCTCTCTTCACCGTCACTATACGATTGCCCTAAACCACTTTTCGTCGCAATTAATTCCGCACCCGGGATCCCCGGTCGGACCGATCTACCGTACCGGGCCCGTCTGGCCAACCGATATCGATCAATCGAGTCATTATTTATGCTTTACCTTTTCCTAAAGATATTGCTTTTCCGATGTGCTCCGGTTGACGGTGATGCCTCGGCGGTAAAGTTACCGGAATCCGAGATATATAATTCAGAACCTAATCGCCTCCGTGGCCCAGGGCAAGGCAGAACCCAGCAGCTTGTCATTAGATACAGTGCTGGAATCGAATTTTAAAGGCACCCGTAAGTGTTTTGAAACGGGACAGGTATCCACAAATGATATCTGCTAGCCTGCCCTCTCCTCTTCCTCAACAATCTCTGCTAGCCTGCCCTCTCCACTTCCTCAACAATCTCTGCTAGCCTGCCCTCTCCTCTTCCTCAACAATCTCTGCTAGCCTGCCCTCTCCACTTCCTCAACAATCTCTGCTAGCCTGCCCTCTCCTCTTCCTCAACAATCTCTGCTAGCCTGCCCTCTCCTCTTCCTCAACAATCTCTGCTAGCCTGCCCTCTCCTCTTCCTCAACAATCTCTGCTAGCCTGCCCTCCCCTCTTCCTCAACAATCTCTGCTAGCCTGCCCTCTCCTCTTCCTCAACAATCTCTGCTAGCCTGCCCTCTCCTCTTCCTCAACAATCTCTGCTAGCCTGCCCTCTCCTCTTCCTCAACAATCCCTACCTTTAAATCTACATTTCTAGAGCTACCAGCAGTGTCAAACGACCTTGAAAATTCTATGAATGCTATGCAAAGAGAGAATTTGAATACAGCAACATCGACAGAGAGTGCTGGGCTGTTTCAAAACATTAAGCAAATGTTTTTTCCTGATCAAACGACGAACGTGGTCTTACCGCAAACGGAAACCTCGAATACGAGACTGTACGAGTACAGTAGCAGCCCAGAAAATCAACTTTCTGACGTCGGGCTACGGCATTCTGGGTTTCAAAATTCGAATCTGCCAGCTAACAATCCGGCAGGCTCCGGTGTAATTCCGGAAGATGCTCCTTTGAGAAATACCAATAATTACGCGCCGAATAATCAACAAAATTCGCCCCTGAACATGTTGCCAAGCCCAAACCAACCATCGCCGATCCATTCCGGTGACTCGCCAAGGCACCAAACAAGGCGCCAGCATCGCGATAGGCTCCAAAATCTCATTGCAGAACCAGGACAACCTGAAGCAGTCCAACAGGGCCTTTCCGAGCAGCAACAACAGCAAGACGTGCAGAGAATGCAACTTGAGCTTCAGAATAGGAGTAACATCCAGCTCGAAAAATCAGAATATCCTGTTTTAGAACAACGACATCCTGAAGCGGTTCAACCAATTGCTTCCGAGCCGCAACAAAAAGAAGGCGTTCAGGAACAACAGCAGCGAGCCGTTCAGAACAAGAAACTTGCGCTTCAGAATAGAGGCAACATCCAGCTTGAAAAACCAGAAAATCTTGTTGTAGCACAACGACAACCCGAACCAGTTCCGTCAGTTGTTGCCGAGCATCAACAACAGCAGGGCGTTCAAAACACGAAAATCGAGCTCCAGCTCGAAAAACCACCAGATTTTGTTTCGGGACAACGACAACCTGAAGCAATTCTACAAGGTGTTACCGAGCAGCAGCAACAGCAAGGTGCCCAGAAAACGATGCCGGAGTTCCAGAATAGGGACAACATCCAGCCCGAAAAACAGCAAGATTTTGTTGTAAAACAACGACAACCTGAACAGGTTCCAAAAGTGGACTCCGAGCCGCAGCAACAGCAAGGCGTTCAGAACACGACACTAGAGCTCCAGCTCGAAAAACCACAACACGCTGCTGTAAAACAACCTGAAGCAGTTCAAGCAGTAGTTTCCAAGCAGCAACAACAGCAAGAGGTTCAAAGAAGGAGTTTGAAAAACCAGAAGTTAAGCAACGTGCAGTTAGACGACATCGTCAAGGCGGTCAGGGCACAGCTTTGGGTCGGAGCCGACGCTGAACTGCGATCGCAGGCCCAAATCGATGCCCAGCTTCGACCTAAAATTGGCCAAGTACAGGCTACACCAAATTACGATCAAAGAATACTTGGAAATGGTCAGCAGCTGACAAGGCAAGGTTTTGAAGAAGTGCAGGTTCAAACCCCCCAAAATCAAGTTATAGCAGTACAAGCCGCTAAGCCGCAGCTTTTGCCCAGACAACGATTTGAACACACGCAGGCTCGAGTGAATTCGCAGGCAAATTTCGACCCAAAAACGTTAGGAAAGCTTCGAGCAGCTGAAGCTCCGCTTATAGCAGGTCAACAACCTCAAGGCGTTCAAGCACAAGTTCGCGCATCCGCAAATTTAGATCCAAGAGCTTTTCGAAAGCTTGAACTATCTTCAGATCAAGTCCAAGTTTTTCAAGCTCGTCAAGCACAGCCGTTGACCCCACAATATCTTGGAGATGTTCAAGTCCAAGGCAATCCTACTGTAATTTCTGATCCGAAATCCTTAGGGAAGATGGACCTTTCCCCAGCACAACTCCAAGCCGTTCAAGCCTTGCTTCTGGCTAGCCAACAACTCCAAGGCGTTCAAGCCCAAGCGAATTCTCAGGCAAATTCCGATCCTAATGCCTTAGGACGGCTTCAATCATCGCCGGAACAAGTTCAAGCGGTTCAAGCGCCCCTTTTTCCTGGTCAACAGCTGCAAGGCGTTCAAGGCCAAATAAATTCGCGTTCAAATTCCAATCCAAGTGCCTCAGGAAGGATACAACTATCTCCGGAACAAGCTCAAGCCCTTCAAACCCAACTTTTCCATAGCCAACAACTTCAAGGCGTTCAAGCAAAAAATGTAGTTGCTCAAAATAGGGCTGAGTCGGCCACGGCCCGGATCAGCGTGCCGGACAAGCCGGATCCGGAGCTCGAGCCGGCTTACCGAGCATTGAAAAGCCAGGAGGAAAAAGAGCAGAAAAATACCGACACCGAGACCGTGGTGGCCCCGCCAGACGACCGCGGGCTGAAACAGGTGAGGTTTTCGAATGTTTACATTGGTTGAAATTGACATCCATACTATCGAAATTATAAAATGCCGGCGACCAGAATGCCGAAAATTCGACATAGCAAAATGTCTTAAGATGAGAATTTTAGAGTGTGGAAACATCGAGATTCATAATACCGACATCTCAAAATGTCAAAGTGCATTAATTAAAGCCGAAATCAATAATGCCGAAACTTCGGAATGTCGGCAATTTGGGAATCTTGAAATGTCGAAAAATACCGAAAAACCCGAAAATGTTGGTCGTTGGGACGGTGTTTTTGTCTTCGGCGTCGGCTTAGGCTTAGGCTTATGCTGAAGCTGAAGCTTAGGCCTAGGGTTGGGCTTAGGCTTATACATCGAATGAAAATTTTTTTCAGGCAGGGCCCGCCGGGGATCAGCAACAACCCGTTGCTCCAAACGACGCGGGACCAGTGAATCCAGCTCCAACGGACAAGACGGTCGCGCCGAAACCAGAGCCACAGAAGCCATCTCCATCGCCAGGAACAGGTACAGGCGACGCGTCGGCGAAGCCAGCGCCCGGCCCGCAAGGAGGTGGTGACAAGGGAGCCTCAGCTAGTACGAAAAAGCCTGGCGGTGGAGACGCAACTGTTTCATCAAAGCCAGCAAGTGGAGGATCGAAAAAGCCTGGAGGTGGAGAGGCAACTGCTTCGCGAAAGCCAGGAAGTGGAGGAACCACTTCGGCCAAGCCAGGTGGAGCATCAGGTGCATCGAAAGGAGCCACAGGAAGTACCCCAAAGGGGGCTTCTGGTGCCTCCAAGGGTGCTTCCGGAGCTTCTGGTGGAACGACAAAGGAAGCTGGTGGCGGTGGTGGTCAAGCGAATCAAGGGGCGGTGAGTAAACTTATCAAATCTGGTCTGCTTAGGCTTGGCTGAAGCTTAGGCTTAGGCCTAGGCCTAGGTTAGGCTTAGGTTTAGGTTTAGGCTTAGATACTTTGCGCTTTGCTAAGGCTTGCTTTAACCACGAAATACCCAACTTTCCAGAACTCCGATGAAAAGCCCAAGTGGAATGGCATTGTAGGTTTCTTTTTGTCTCGAGGCAGGCTAGCAGAGACCCCGAAGGAAACTCATTTAGTGTGGCGCTGAAACGCGCTGCGAGACCAAGGGCATTATGTTGTTCAAGGGGATTTTGTATAGCGGTAAGTTTTTAAGGTATCGATTCAGAAGCAAAATTTTAAGGCGACGCCCTTGGGCTGTGCTTGTTGAAGACGTCGGGCTGCGTGGATCTGCCTTATGTAAGGGACTTTCTAACCTAAAAATGGCGCGAAAAGACCAGCCCCCCCCCCGCTAACAACCCAGTCCTAGCTTTTAGGGCTGGAGCCGAATGGTGGAATCTGTTTACGTGCCGGACCGTGACGCTTGCTACGTGCTGTATACGGAACCAAAGTGCCAGGGACATGAGATGAAGGTAAGCCAAACTTGAGCTTAAGCCGAAGCCTAAGCGTTTCCAGATTACTCGTCAAAAGGTGTTCGACAAGAAGACAGAGAACCTCGGAGACTGGAACCTGGCCCGGGAGCACGAGTCGATCAGTCTTTGCAACGAGTTTCAAAGGACACATTCTTGAAGTCCAATAAATCGTACCCAGCTGTTGTCGAGCTTTCGATTTCCGGTTTCTCCGCATTTTACCTAGCTAGGCCGAGAGAGTGAGAGAGAGAGAGAAGGCGCGAGAAATCTATCCTTTCCTAAGATTCTTTGCGGTTTTATGCGTTGGCCGCCATGGATTTTATTAATTAAAGTATTGATGGTGCTTGCCAAGGTAAGCTCCGACTTCTTGCTAAGTTACCTTTAGCTATGGGATTAAGCCGAGTGGACGTCTCCAAAACGCCGACAGCAATGATAACCTGGATCGGCTGATTAAGGCGGTGGTTCTGAAGACCCTCAAGGTAGGGCAGATTCAGCATATGATCCTGAGCCCAAGCCTTAGGCAAGCCCTAAGCCCAAGCTCAAGCTTTTCCAGGAAGAAGACGCAGCGAAAGCAGCACATGTGACGCCAACGCAAGGAGCCTATCCGAATTTAACCCCCGTACCACCAGCGGACCCTATCCAAGGACCTGATGAAGGGGAGCCGGAGTCTGTCACACCAAAACCTAAAGGTGGTGGAGGTGGAGGTGGAAACGGAGGAACAGGAGGTGGAGGTGGAGGTGGAAGCGGAAAGGGAGGAGCAGGAGGTGGAGGAGGAACAGCTTCCAAGAAGCCAGGAGGAGGAAGTGGAGGAGCAGGTGGAGGAGGAACAGCTTCCAAGAAGCCAGGAGGAGGAAGTGGAGGAGCAGGTGGAGGAGGAACAGCTTCGAAGAAGCCAGGAGGAGGAAGTGGAGGAGCAGGTGGAGGAGGAACAGCTACGAAGAAGCCAGGAAATGGAGGTGGAGGAGCAGGTGGAGGAGGAACAGCTTCGAAGAAGCCAGGAGATGGAGGTGGAGGAGGAGGAGCAGGTGGTGGCGGCGCAGCTTCGAAAAAGCCAGGAGATGGAGGTGGAGGTGGAGCAGGAGCAACAAATACCACGAAGCCAGGCGGAGGTGTTGGTGGAAGTGGAGGAGGCGGAACCTCGAACAAACCAAGTGGAGCATCAGCCACTTCGAAAGGAGGTACGGGCAAGGGAGCTTCTGGAGCTTCCAGCGGGACGACTAAAGCGGCAGGTGGTGGTGGAGGAGGAGGAGAAGCTAACCAGGGATCGGTAAGTTAAGAATCGAGCGGGGATCGATCTGCTGAGGCTCATCTCACCCTAGTTCTCACTTTGCGCTTGGCTTCGCGCCAAATCATGTTCAAAACAAGCATTTATAGAACTCCGACGAAAAGCCCAAGTGGAATGGCATTGTAGGTTTCTTTTTGTCTCGAGACAGGCTAGCATAGACCCCGAAGGAAACTCATTTAGTGTGGCACCGAAACGCGCTGCGAGACCAAGGGCATTATGTTGTTCAAGGGGATTTTGTATAGCGGTAAGCTCTTAAGGTACCCATTTAGATGCCTAAAATTTTAAGGCGACGCACTTGGGCTGTGCTTGTTGAAGACGTCGGGCTGCGTGGATCTGCCTTATGTAAGGGATTTTCTAACCTAAAAATGGCGTGAAAAGGCCACCCCCCCGCTAACAACCCAGCCCCAGCTTTTTAGGGCTGGAGCCGAATGGTGGAATCTGTTTACGTGCCGGACCGGGACGCTTGCTATGTGCTCTATACTGAATCAAAGTGCCAGGGACATGCGATGAAGGTAAACCTAACGTGAGCCTAAGTCTAAGCCTAAGCGTTTCCAGATTACTCGTCAAAAGGTGTTCGACAAGAAGACGGAGAACCTCGGAGACTGGAACCTGGCACGGGAGCACGAGTCGATCAGTCTTTGCAACGAGTTTCAGCGGACACATTCTTGAAGTATCCAATAAATTGTATGCTACTTTTGTCGAGCTTTGAAATTCCGGTTTTTCCGAATTTTACCAAGCTAGGCCGGGAGGGCGAGAGAGAGAGAGAAAGAGAGAAAAGACAGAGAGAGAGAGAGAGAGAGAGAGAGAGAGAGAGAGGGGAGAGAGATACACCCCTGAAAATTTCAGTTTTATGCCTTCACCGCCTTGGCCTTTGGTCCTGGCCATATCGATTGTCCTTGGTGAGGTAAGGTTTCAAGCTTGCCTGAAGTTGCGGAATTCAGTAGAGTGGACCTCTCCATGACGTCGACATCAACATTTTAGGTCATCGCGACGCCGATCCCGAAACCGGAAGTGGATGGCGATCCAAGCGAGGTAAGACTGGAACACCCCAAGGATAGGCCTAACCTAAGCCTAAGTTTCAAAAAAATCACGACGGCCCTCCCTGGGATGGACTGGTAGGTCTTCTTTTCGATAAAACCCACCACCTAGGCGAGCAACGCCCACTGCGAGAGCATCGGCATCAAGCTGTTCAGGGGGATTCTGTATGGAGGTTGGCGTCAGGGGTTGCAAGCAGTTCAAAGGGCCTCTCAATCGTGGGTTTTTTAGGTGATGTCCTTGGCCTCTGCCTGCTGCCCACCTCAAAATGCGTCGATCTACCTCATGTAAATACACCAGCAATTGCCTATCAAAAAGTATGTTAAAATTCAAGGGCTGGGACAACCGGATCGAGTCCGCTTTTGTGGCCACCGCTGCAGCGTGCTATATTTTGTACACCGAGCCGGATTGCCGGGGAAGCGATATGAAGGTGAGGAGTTCGAGCCTAAGCCTGAGGCTAAAGCCTAAGCCTAAGCCTAAGCCTAAGCCTACGATCTAGATAACGCATCGAAAAGTACTTGCGAAACGGACCGAGAATCTCTTCGACAACAACCTGGCCCGCAAGCACTCCTCTATTCGGTTGTGCAACGACTTTGAACGAACCCATGATGCTTAGAATTTCTGATATTTCTGATAAAGTCCTTTGAACATCTACTTTGCAGGGCCGGCTAACAGAGATCCCTTAAGATTCTATGTTACGAATTTTAGCATGCTCGCCACTATACTAACATATTTTCCCGCAGCCTGTCTCTCTTTCTTTCAGGAAATTAATTCTGTTCCGAACCCCAGACACCCAGTTCTACCGTATCGACGGACGGGTTGGGGCCGCTCTCCCCGATAGTCCTTCCGATCGATCGGGCTGATGAAAATCTGAATGTGGGGCTATGTCCTGCTGATATTGATTTTTCCGGCAATCGATGGCCATTCGCAGGTAATGCGATTTTTAGCTTAAACTGTTCCTTAAAGAACAGCCTCTCCGGTCTGGTGAAGAAGGAGGTGAAGCACACGTTAGCGGCGCGGGCAAGGGAACAGGATGGTAATTTTATGGCGGTTAAGCGCGTCTGCTAGCCTGCCCTCTCCTCTTCCTCAACAATCTCTGCTAGCTTGCCCTCTCCTCTTCCTCAACAATCTCTGCTAGCCTGCCCTCTCTTCTTCCTCAACAATCTCTGCTAGCCTGCCCTCTCCTCTTCCTCAACAATCTCTGCTAGCCTGCCCTCTCCTCTTCCTCAACAATCTCTGCTAGCCTGCCCTCTCTTCTTCCTCAACAATCTCTGCTAGCCTGCCCTCTCTTCTTCCTCAACAATCTCTGCTAGCCTGCCCTCTCCTCTTCCTCAACAATCTCTGCTAGCCTGCCCTCTCCTCTTCCTCAACAATCTCTGCTAGCCTGCCCTCTCTTCTTCCTCAACAATCTCTGCTAGCCTGCCCTCTCCTCTTCCTCAACAATCTCTGCTAGTCTCGGCCCCTTTCTAGATCTACAAGAAGAGTTGGAAAACTTTGTCGTCCGCAATTTCATACAGCGTCACAATCACCGAAGACTGAAGACCGACCCCGAAGAACCAGGTTTGCAGGGCACGATTCTGAAGCTTACCCTAGCGTAAACCTAGGCCTAAGCGCTACCTATGCTAAGCGTAAGCTAGGCCTCAGCTAAGCTTAAGCCTAAAAACCTCTCTAATTGTCGTTTCGAAGCTGACCTGATCTTCCTTTTAGACGACGGCACCGGAAATGAGGATAATCCTGCTGAAACTACATCTGTGAAGCCAAAACCGGAGGACGATCCGCCCGCCCCGAAGACAGTTGACCCGGCAGTTCAATGGCTGCTGACTGAGAAGCAGATCGATGGTACTTAAATCAGAAAGACTTCTGAAATCTTTCTTACCTGTCTACCATTCCATCTTCTGAAACCTAAGAATCAGCTCGTTTCAGTGCTCATCCACATTTCTATATTTTAGTGAACGGGAACGAGCTGTGTAAGATCAAGACACTGGAAATCGAGATGAGCGTCTTCACCCAGGTGGCGTTGAAGTGCGAGGACAACCCGCAACGGCAGTGTCAAACGGTGGGGGGGGGGCAAGATAATTTTCATATTAGTCTAAGCCTAAGCATGAGATGAAGTTTTAGTCCAAGCCTAAGCCTAAGCCCGAGCCTGATCTTAAGCCTAAGCCCGGGTCTAAGCCTAAGACTAGGTCTAAGCCTAATTCTAAGCCTAAGCCTATGCGTAAGCCTAAGTCGAGCCTTCCTCGACAATATCTTCATTAAGCGTGCGAAACGATGCGCCGAAACCGGCGAAGACGGGGAATGCGTCGTACAGCCGGTAGACCCTCCGCAACCACGGCCCGCGGAAGTCATCATCGAGCCGACTTCGCCCGGACCTCAGCCTGCGCCTGATCCTCCCTCTACAACAACCGAGCCGGGGACTCAACCTGATTCTCACTCGACAGCAACCGAACATCAGCCTCAGCCTGATCCTTCCTCTACAACAACCGAGCCTCCGCCTCAGCCTGAATCTCCGTCTACAACACCCGAGCCTGGTCCTCACTCGAGTCCTGGGCCAAATCCCAATCCTTCCAATCCTCCTCCCCTTCACCCGGACCTCAGCCTCAGCCTGCGCCTAGCAAGGGCACACCTGGGCCATCGGAGGAGCCGGGAAAACCAACCGAACCGCCTCAGCCTGTGCCTGGACCGGTTGATCCCTCAGTCAAGCCCGACCCGGAGCACACCACGAAGAAATCTGATGGTCCCTCAGCTCAACCGACAAATCCAAAACCCTCCCCAACCAACAAGCCCAACAACCCGAGCGGAAAGCCTGGAGCAGGTAAGCTTAAGCCAAATCCCAAGCCTAAACCTAAGCCGATTCCTAAGCCTAACAAGGGAACCTCACCCGGACAGGGTGGAATTTCGGAAAACGCTCGCGGCTACCCCTATGTAATCGACCATTGCGATCACGATGCGCTTGCCAGATTTTTCTGAACACCCCTGTGGACAGAGATACAGCACTTCCGGAAAATGATGATTCACAGGCCAAAAATTAGCATCAAAGGTTGGTTTATGAGGCTCTCCCATCACTATGGAATCACCAGTTGAATGGTCGAGGTGGTAAGCAACTCGCTTGATAGAATACTGACGAGGGTACGAATCCTGCCACGATTATCTTGCTTCTTGCCCAGAACTCTCTGCTCAACTCCAACCAAGTCTTGGTTAATTTTTTTGCGATAATTCATTCTCTTCTTAAAATCTCTAAAGGTACTTGCAAAGCAAAAAAAAGCAAAAAAATCTCATCAAGTAAAATAGCAACCTGGATTCGTAAAAAAACGGGGATAGGACCACCGAGATGTTCAAAAAATCAAAATTTGGAGTTGGACAGAAAGTTCTGGCCAAGAAGCAAAATAAAAAATTGTGACAGGATTCAAACCCCCGTCAGTATTCTATCAAGCGAGTTGCTTACCACTCGACCATTCAACTGGTGATTCCATAGTGATGGGAGAGCCTCATAAACCAACCTTCGATGCTAATTTTTGGCATGTAAATCATCATTTTCCGGAAGTGCTCTTTCTCTGTCCACAGAAGTGTTCAGAAAAATCTGGCAAGCGCATCGTGATCGCAATGGTCGATTACATAGGGGTAGCCGCGAGCGTTTTCCGAAATTCCACCCTGTCCGGGTGAGGTTCCCTTGTAAGCCTAACCTAAGCACATCAATTTAAGAAACAACGCAATGCACGACGCCGAAGCCGAACCCCTGCGCAACCGCATGTCCACAGCCTGCACCCCCGGCTCCTGGACCCGATCCTGGTGGAGGGGGAGATGGAGGAGGAGGCGGAGGAGGCGGGGGAGGAGGAGGAGGTGGGGGAGGAGGAGGGGTAAGGGTTATACCTTAAAACGCCACTATCGCCTTTTCAGCACGTCGACGATACGCCGGCTTGGAATGGAGTGGTAGGAGATACTTAAGGAGGAAAGAAAGAGAGAGAGAGAGAGAGAGAGAGAGATGGAGAGAGAGAGCGAAAGTGAGATAGACAGACAACATAAAGCTTCCAGGACCAACATGCCCACTGCGACGAGACGGGTATCATGTTGTTCAAAGGAATCCTATATGGGGGTAAGAGTCAAAAAATTGAAAATTGAAAAATATCCAGCCACGATCCGCAACGTTATTACGTTACGCAACGCTACTTTACGTTACGCAACGCTACTTTACGTTACGTTACCTTACGCTACGCATTTTCTAGGTGATGCCCTCGGTCTCTGCCTCAGTCTCACCTCAAAATGCGTCGATATCCCGCACGTGGGGTTTTCATGAAGCTTACTAACCCCCTGTTCTGCTAGGGCTGGGACAACCAGGTCGAGTCTGTCTACGTGGCTACCGGCCAGGCGTGCTATGTGCTGTATACCGAGTTGGAATGTGCTGGGCATGACATGAAGGTGAGGGAGTTTCAGAAAAGCCTAAGCTTAGGTATAAGCCTAAGCCTAACCTAAGTCTAAGCATAAGCCAAACCGAAGCCTAAGCACCGAAGCCCAACCTAAGCCTAAGCCTAAGCCTAACTTTAAGCCGAAGCCAAGCCTAAGCCTAAGCCTAGACCTTAACATCTCGCCAATTCCAGATAAACCGCCGCAAAGTAATCGATAAGCGCACCGAGAACCTCCACGACAACAACCTGGCCCGTCGACACTCTTCGATCCGAGTCTGCAACGAATTTGAGCGATTTCACGATTAAATTGTTTAATCGGTTTCTGGGTTTCATTTTTTAAGGAGAGTCCATGGCTATAATTACCTCAATATAAAATATCTTACGATAATTTTAGGCGTTTTTCATTCCTGTAGACCTGTCCGCCCCAGACTCCTCGACGCTGGGCGCCCGGGGCCGTTGATGCATCTGCGGCTCGATGGGCTTCTGTTGTCGGCAGCGCTCGTTGCTATTTTTGCACAAGTGAGTCGCGAAATAGACGCCAAAATGCCGACAGTATCGACGTTTCAAAATGCCGACGTTCAAAATCCTGACAGCCAAAATGTGATATTTTGAATTATGGGATTTTGAATGTCGGCGTTTTTTGGCGTTTTTGTGCACGTCTGTATTTTTGGAGCATTAGAATAATTTGCATAAATTTGCACAGACCGCGACGCACGCGCCTCAAAACGAAGCCCAAGCTACGTCGAAAACCGTCGACCCCTCGCCAACACTTGACGACCTTCTAAACCCGACCCCCAAAACCAGGCCCCAGAAACAAAAACTCACCAAATTACGTGCCAAGAAACTCGAGCAACGCCGGCATGAGAAGGCCCAGTCCCGGGCCCGACTCTACCTAAGGGGCAACAACACCAGCAAGTTCAGCGCTAAGCGCAGGTTTCGCAATTTGAAAGCCGACCCTGCACCCGAGCAGGTCAAGGATATTGAGAGTTTTCTGAAAAAATACTTTCCGGATGACACAAAGCCATGCAAGTGTACAAAGTCGACGATGTCGGTGCCGACGACTTCGCAAAGGCATACGAGTTCAACGGCACCTCCGCAGTCAAGCTCGGTCCCGACGACATCTCCAGCACCGACAAAAGCGTCAACACCAAAGCCGCCATCCATCCCAACGACTTCGCCAAGTACGACCACGAAATCCACGCCGGCGCCAGTACCACTGACTCCGCCAAGTTCGAGCCGGACCACTCCGGAACCAACGCTTCCAACAGTCCCGCTGACCACCTCGGCAAGTCCGAGTCCTACGCCTGGCTCCTCAACACCAGAGCTGCCAACCGTACCGCCGACCACGACCTCTATGCCCTGGACCACCTCGTCAAGTACAGCAACCACAAGTTCAACTCCCCCAGCCAGTCCAACTACGACAGCGGTTCCGAAAACTTCGCCAAATTCAGAACCTTCGAAAACATCTACCATACCGACTGGCCCGACGATTTCGGCAAGTTCGGGCACAACGTCTGGAACCGGCGTGGTGACGGCAAGTTCCGAACCGCCGAAAACTCCTACTATAACGACTGGCCCGACGATTTCGCCAAGTTCAGGCACAACGTCTGGAAATGGCGTGGTGACAGCAAGTTCAGAAACGCCGTCAGAACCAACCGCTTCTCCGTCCCCGACGATTTCGCCAAGTTCAGGTACAACTTCTGGAAAAGGCGTGGTGACAGCGAGTTCAGAAACGCCGTCGATACCTACTCTATCAACCGCCCCGACGGTTTCGACAAGTTCAGTCACAACTTCTGGAAACGGCATGGTGACAGCAAGTTCAGAACCGACGTCAATTCCTACTCTATCAACTGCCTCGACCGTGTCAACAAGTTCAGTCACAACGTATGAATCCACATCAGGATGGTCAAAACCGACACCAAGTTCACCACCTGCCACTGGCCCGACGATATCCGGTACAGTGCCATCGGGACCTACTGGACCTTCTGAACCCACCGGGGATGATGAGACAACAACGGTAGACGACGGCACAGAAAGCACAGAAAGTACAGAACACACGGAATCAACACCAGACACAGGACTTACAACTTCTGAAGATGGCCAGAACTCAACGACGACTTCGGACGGTACATCGTCGTCCACGGAGACGGAGGAGACTGAGGATACGACTCGACAAAGTTCTACAAGTTCAGTAACGACGGGCCCTGGGCAATCGAGTCCAACAGGTGCAACGCCTAGCGATGGATCGAACGGTAGATTTACAACGACTAGGTGGCGGCCAACGAGACCAACGGGGTGGACAAGACCATCAAGACCATCAAGGCCGACAAGGTCAGATCCCTACTCGATAGGACCGGTTGGTCACCCCGTTCCAGATGAAGACACCACTACCTGCCAAACTGAACCTGCAGACTTGACAGAAAGCACGCAAAAAACCACTCTACCACCTTCGGAAGGGAGCACCACAACTTCCACCTGCTCCCCGGAGGATGATACAACTACCACGAGCAGTCCTGTGACTCCTGTACCTCCTGATGTAATCACGACGTGCTCAGAACCACCTGATGATACAACGAGTGGTAGTAGACAGACTAGCGCTCCGACGAAGACGACGAGGAGCACGAGAGCCACGCGGGAGACCGAACAAACCCCTGCAGCCAATCCGAACGATTCGACAATGACGAAGTCTACCAAATCGACGCCGAGCACGTCGACCACCTGCGAGCCTGACACAGACCCAACGACGGAGAGGAGGACGTCGGAGACGAGCTTTACGACGCCGATAAGTACGACGGGCTCGAGGAGAACTACGATGAGCAGGACGACAACTAGTACGAGCACGACCAGAACAGCCTCCTCGCCAAAACCTGAGCCGACCACGACTTGTGAGAAGGACACAGACTCGACGACGGAAAGGACGACGACTACGGAGGACCAGGAGCCGGGGAAGACCAGGCCAGTTACGACAACGACACCTTCGTCCAAACCTGAGACTACCACTTGCGATGAAGCAGATGCGACTACACGTAGGTTCTTGTTTTCGCGGAAGTTGATGAATTTAACCTCGAGATTCTGATCTTTATGACCAAATTTTAGCGTCAGGACGCGTGGCGACGACGCTGTACCCTTATTCAACAACTACCACGCAGGTATTGTTAGCTAATGTTTAAAAATGCTTAGGCGTAAGCGTAAGCGTAAGCTAAGCGAAGCCGAAGCCTCGGCCTAAGCTAAGCCTAAGCAAGCCTAAGCCAGCCTAAGCACTCCAAAGTTTAGACACCACCACCACCAAGACCGGGTCCACCTGGCCCCCCTGGACCTCCTGGACCGCCCGGACCTCCCGGCCCTTCGCGAGCACCCGGTCCTCCGGCACCGGCGCCTGGACCCTGGCCACCAGCACCTCCGCCCGCACCTTGGCCTCCAGTACCTCCAGTACCTCCCGTTCCGCCTCCGGCTCCCTGGCCTCCCGCACCTCCTGCACCCCCTCCTGCTCCTTGGCCTCCGGCTCCTCCCGCGCCGCTACCTCCGATCCCTCCCTGGCCACCCGCCCCGGTTCCGGTCACTCCGCACGCTACGGTAAGAATTTCTCGTCGGCTGGTAGAGGCAGAGAGAGAGAGAGGAGAGAGAAAGCGGGCGAGAGAGCGAGAGATGGCGAGGGAAAGAGAGTCAGGGAGTGAGAGCGAGAAAATTATGAAACCCTTTCCAGGATACCTCACTCCCGCATTGCGGCCAGGCAGCAATCGTGCTCTTCAAGAAGCCGTTGTACGAAGGTGGGTAGGATGACGTAGTGTGATAGAGCGTAACGTACTGAAGTGTTGTTTGGCTGCGTAGCGTAGCGCATCATGGTGAAGTCTATGGCAGTGTGACGTAAAGCAGGGAGCGTAAAGTTGTACATGAAGGTAGCACGAAAAGTGACGTAACTAGCGAGTTGGAATTTGGTGAGCAGCAGAATATTCAGACAAATTTCTACATTTTCAGGAGCCGCCATGGGGGTCTGTCTCGTACCCACTTCGAAGTGTGTCGACCTGCCGATGGTAATTTCTAGGTTTCTATGACAAGCAACATCATTTCAGGGTTGGGCCCGAGCCGTTGAGTCGGCGTACGTCTCCGACGTCTCGGCCTGTTACGTGCTCTATGGCCAGGACAACTGCGAGGGGAGCAGCTTTAAGGTAAGCTTGGCCAAAAACACTTTTCCGGAGCCCAGATCACCCTAAAATCGCACTTCTAGATCAACCTCAACGCCGTCCAAGAACGCAAGACCGAGAACTTCTACGACAACAACCTGGCCAGGACGCACGTGTCGATGCGGGTGTGCAACGACTTTGAGCAGATCCATGAATAAATTTTGTGGCATCCGGGGTCTTGGGAATTTGAATAAAGCTTCATTGCTTTTGAAAAAAGACGTTTTCGGGTCTTAGGCCACTCGGATACAAGTGCCAAGGCTTATTTTCAGTTTTTCGAAAATCATTATGTCAAAATATGGTAGTTACGAAATTGAGAAAATTGAGAAAATAGATATTTTTTGCGTCGGATTCGAGGGTTTTTCCGAGAAATTCGCTTATGTAAATTTCGACATTATGATTTTCGACATTCTGATTTTTGACATTATCGATTTCGACATTATAAATCTCGACATTTTGAATTATCCTAAAATCTTGGTCCGCTCCAACTCGATTTCAGAGACTCGGCTATAACTCACTAATTTTTTCAAAAGTCTGATTCTTAAAATTCTTAACTTCTTGTCTTTCCTCTCTGTTATTTAAGTGTTGTTAAAATTTTTTAAAATGACGATCCCTCTCCTTTGACCTGGGTATAGATTTCCGAAAACGTCTTGCCGTCGTTGAAACTCGGGGAATTAATTTTCAGCCCGCGGGTCGCCAAAGAGTCCCTGCCCGTCGGCCCAAATTATTGATTGGCCCTATGCCAAATTATGCTCCTTGTGAGGCTCTTGCTGATATTGCTCTATAACAGATCGATAGTATCAGCAGCAGATGGCACAGAGGTCAGTGGGTCTTTTTTTTGCGCTGCTTGGTGCACTAAGGCAAGGTTTGCTACTCGAAAAATTGAGAGAGACTCTTTATTGAGCCTAACCTAAGACCTATCCTAAGCTTAAGCCTAAGCCTAAACAGCCTAAGCCTAAGCATAAGCCCAAGCAATAGCCTAAGCCTATACACTTCCTCTAGGTAGCACCAGCCCAAGCAACAGTCGAACCAACCTCGGGAAAGCAGACTGCCTTAGCCACAGAGTAAGTGAGCTTCAGATTAAACCTTGAGCTTGAGCTTTAGAACCGATTCCCCAACTACGAGCTGTGTCACGGGTCCCACCACACCCCCTACTCAGGCAGTACCTATCCAAACCACTGCCCAGCCCCCGACCATCAAGCCAAACGATCCTTCGAACGTAGCATCATCTGGCACAGGATCAACAACGACGAATTCAAGTGTCCCTGTCACGTCGAAAGTACCAGGCAGTCAGATACCGGATGAGAATTGCGTCACCGGAGAGAGCACGAAGCCTACAGCATCTACGAAAGAGCTCACGGCGATTCGCCCATCAGTTTCAGGTGCTAAGTCGACAATCGGACCCAGCGCGCCTACTGCCAGAGCCAGTAATGTTCCCGAAGTATCTGCGACCGAACCCCCGAAGCCGACAACTACAAACGATTCGAATGAGGAGTGTACTACAGTTGTTCCGACAAAACCGACTACCTCGTCATCAGGATCGACAACAATTTCTCCTCCCAGTACCCCACCAGTGAAGACGACAGGATCTCCCAACTCTCCTACAACGACTCCACCTTTACTAACGACCGGACAAAGTACTTCCAAGCACCCGGATGACGAAAATTGCGTCACTGGAGCGACCAGAGAACCTACCAAACCTACGGCGAGTGTACCGACGATTGCACCACCTATCACAACCCTGACTACGGGCTCTCCGAAGCCTACCGGTTCATCACCATCCGTGCTCCCGACCGGTCTTACGCTCACTGGTAGTACTTCCAACCCGGACGATGAGTGCGTCACTGGCGCAACGATACAGCCTACCGAATCTGCGGCGAGTGTTCCGACTATTCAGTCACCTACTCCGACAATCACTACAGGTTCTACGAAGACTCCTACCGGTCCGACGCCACCTGTAGACAGGACAGGACATACCGTCCCAGCCAGCACTTCTAAGGATCCGAATGACAGTTGCAACACCGGCGCCACGACGAAACCTACCGAACCTACAGCTAGTGTTCCGACCATTGAACCACCTATTTCGACACGAAGTACAGGATCTACAAGTCTTCCGACCGGCTCGTCAACACCAGCACACACGACAGGATCCACAACCTTAACTAGTACGTCTAAGGATCCGGTTGACAGTTGCGTCACTGGAGCCACGACAAAACCGACGAAACCTACAGCTGGTGTTCCGACTATTGAGCCACCTACACCTGAACCCGAGACGTCGCAAACACCACCTCAAAGCTCGACGAATTCGCCACGGCCTGGAACAGCACCTACATCATCAGCAACCATAACGGGCTCGTACCCACCTATGTCAACAACCGAACCGCGACCAGTAACTCTAACGAGTAATGATCCCGATCAGAATTGCGTCACTGGCCCGGCAACGAACCCCAGTCTCTCCACTTCAGGAGAGCCAACCGTTGACCCGCCCACCAGGACAACTGGCACTCCCAACCTTACTACCGATACGTCAACACCCGGGCTCACAACCTCGGCCAGCACTGCGAAGGACCCGGATGATAATTGCAACACTGGAATCACGGCCAAGCCTACCAAACCTACAGCCAGTGTTCCGACTATTGCGACACCAACCCCAACACTGACTGCGAGCTCTCCCGACCCTGCGACAGGTTCGTCAGCACCAGGACTCACCACGGGACCCGCGACCTCAGCCAGCACCTCTAAGGACCCGGATGACAGTTGCAACACGGGAACCACCGCTCAACCTACGGAACCCACAGCCAGTGCTCCAACGATTGCGACACCTTCCTCGACACTGACTACAGGATCTTCCAGCGTTCCTACCGGCTCTACCCCATCTGTTACCCCGAATAGCCCGAGTACAGGCACAGATGTTAATTGTAACACTGGGTCCACGGCCAAACCCACCGAACCTACAGCCAGTGTTCCGACTATTGAGCCACCTTCACCTGCACCCGGGACGTCGCCAACACCACCTCAAAGCTCGACGAATTCACCAGGGCCTGGAACAGCACCTGCATCATCAGCAACCCCCACGGGCTCGTATGCACCTGGGTCAACAACTCTGACGACTATTGATCCCGATCAAAATTGTGTCACTGGCCCCGTCACGAGCCCGAGTCCCTCCACTTCAGGACAGCCGACCATCCACCCACCAACACAAACCACTGGCAGTCCCAGCCTTCCTACCGGTACGTCAACACCAGGACGCACGACCGAGCCCAACCCCGCTAACGACCCAGATGGCAACTGCAACACTGGTACCACGACCATGCCTACCGAACCTACAGCCAGTGGCCCGACTATTCCACCACCTTCCTCGACACTGACAACGAGTTCGCCCAATAACCCTACCGGCCCGTCACCATCCGTATTCCCGACGGTATCTGCCACCCCGGGTAGTATAACTCAGGACCCGGAGGCATGCGTCACGGGAACCACCACCGAGCCCACCAAACCTACATCAGGTACTCCAGCTATTGTGCCAACTACACCGTCCGGAGGTACGATGGAAACGACTAGCGCGGGGACGCCAACTGGATCGACTACAACGTCGGCGTCTTCGGAAGCCACGTCCTCGACAACGCCTTCGTCAGGTACCCCGGCTATTGTGCCAACTACACCGTCCGGAGGAACGATGGAAACGACTAGCGCGGGGACGCCAACTGGATCGACTACAACGTCGGCGTCTTCGGAAGCCACCTCCTCGACGACGCCTTCGTCAGGTACTACGACCATTGGGCCACCTGCGTCGTCCGGAAACACGATGGAAACGACTAACGCGGAGACATCTACTGGGTCGACTACAACGTCGGCGTCTTCGGAAGCCACGTCCTCGACAACGCCTTCGTCAGGTACCCCGGCTATTGTGCCAACTACACCGTCCGGAGGAACGATGGAAACGACTAGCGCGGGGACGCCAACTGGATCGACTACAACGTCGGCGTCTTCGGAAGCCACCTCCTCGACGACGCCTTCGTCAGGTACTCCGGCTATTGTGCCAACTACACCGTCCGGAGGAACGATGGAAACGACTAACGCGGAGACAGCTACTGGGTCGACTACAACGTCGGCGTCTTCGGAAGCCACGTCCTCGACAACGCCTTCGTCAGGTACCCCGGCTATTGTGCCAACTACACCGTCCGGAGGAACGATGGAAACGACTAGCGCGGGGACGCCAACTGGATCGACTACAACGTCGGCGTCTTCGGAAGCCACGTCCTCGACGACGCCTTCGTCAGGTACTTCGACCATTGTGCCACCTAAATCATCCGGAGGAACGATGGAAACGACTAACGCGGAGACACCTACTGGATCGACTACAACGTCGGCGTCTTCGGAAGCCACCTCCTCGACGACGCCTTCGTCAGGTACTCCGGCTATTGTGCCAACTACACCGTCCGGAGGAACGATGGAAACGACTAACGCGGAGACAGCTACTGGGTCGACTACAACGTCGGCGTCTTCGGAAGCCACGTCCTCGACAACGCCTTCGTCAGGTACCCCGGCTATTGTGCCAACTACACCGTCCGGAGGAACGATGGAAACGACTAACGCGGAGACAGCTACTGGGTCGACTACAACGTCGGCGTCTTCGGAAGCCACGTCCTCGACAACGCCTTCGTCAGGTACCCCGGCTATTGTGCCAACTACACCGTCCGGAGGAACGATGGAAACGACTAGCGCGGGGACGCCAACTGGATCGACTACAACGTCGGCGTCTTCGGAAGCCACCTCCTCGACGACGCCTTCGTCAGGTACTCCGGCTATTGTGCCAACTACACCGTCCGGAGGAACGATGGAAACGACTAACGCGGAGACAGCTACTGGGTCGACTACAACGTCGGCGTCTTCGGAAGCCACGTCCTCGACAACGCCTTCGTCAGGTACCCCGGCTATTGTGCCAACTACACCGTCCGGAGGAACGATGGAAACGACTAGCGCGGGGACGCCAACTGGATCGACTACAACGTCGGCGTCTTCGGAAGCCACGTCCTCGACGACGCCTTCGTCAGGTACTTCGACCATTGTGCCACCTAAATCATCCGGAGGAACGATGGAAACGACTAACGCGGAGACACCTACTGGGTCAACTACAACGTCGGCGTCTTCGGAAGCCACGTCCTCGACAACGCCTTCGTCAGGTACTCCGGCTATTGTGCCACCTACATCGTCTGGAGGAACGATGGAAACGACTAACGCGGAGACACCTACTGGATCGACTACAACGCCTGCGTCGTCAGGATCCTCGTTCTCGACGACTTCGACAGGGCCTCCGACGACGTCTGCAACCGTGCCTCCAACCAGGTCTCCGACCGGGCCTCCGGAGACTTCTTCAACAGGGCCGCCGACGAAGTCTTCAATAGGACCAGCCACGATGACTTCAACATGGCCTCTAACGGCGTCTTCTACATGGCCTCCGACGGCGTCTTCAACAGGGCCTCCAATGACATCTTCAACAGTGCCTCCGACGACGTCCTCAGCAACTCCGACGACGTCTTCGACAGAGCCTCCGACGACGTCTTCAACAGGACCGACGACGACGTCTTCAACAGAGCCTCCGACGACGTCCTCGACAGGGACTCCGACGACGTCTTCAACAGGACCTCCGACGGCGTCTTCTACAGGGCCACCGACGGCGTCTTCAACAGAGCCTCCGACGACATTTTCAACCGAGTCCCCGACGACGTCCTCAATAGGGTCTCCGACCGCGTCTTCCACGGGGCCTCCGAGGTCGAGTACGCCACCGGCTGCTTCTGTATCTACCGCATCGTCCACAACTTCGGCGCCTTCATCAACCACAGCATCGGCGACGCCATCGACCACGTCATCGACAAGTTCTGAAACTACGGCTTCCCGCTCTTCAGCGCCTTCTATCCCGCAATCCACCACGTCATCATTCACGCCTTCGACTTCGACGTCTTCCGAATCGACAACATCATCGACCAAGTCATCAACGCCGTCATTGACAACGTCCTCGACCTCGTCCCCGACGATTTCCGATTCCACCACGTCTTCCACAACGTCGTCGCCCACGTCATCGGCGACATCCTCGACGACGCCATCGACCCCACCTTCGACGACGTCATCGACCACGTCATCGAGCGCGTCATCGAGCAGGTCAACGACGACAAGTTCCACAACGTTATCAACCACCGGTTCGATGTCTTCTGATTCGACCACATCTACGACGTCGTCTTCGACCATGTCATCGACTACGTCATCGACATGGCGATCGACTACGTCATCGACATGGCGATCGACCACGTCATCGACCATATCGTCGACCACGTTATCGACAACGTCATTGACAACGACATCGACCACGCCTTCAATTCCGTCATCGACATTGCCACCAACAACGGCTTCTTCCACGTCATCGAGCACGTCATCTAGCTCGTTCTCGACAACGTCATCTCCTCCGTCCATCTCGTCCGCATCATCAACGTCTTCGACAACCTCTTCCACGACGTCATCCACAACGTCTTCGACGACGTCATCGACCACGAGTTCGACAACGTCATCAACCATCAGTTCGACGCCATCGGATTCGTCCACTTCTTCGACAAAGTCATCTACCACGTTATCTACCACGCCAGTCTCGACGCCATCCACTACGACATCGACCACATCTTCGACCACATCATCAACCACCTCATCGACAACGTCATCGACCACGTCTTCAATGCCGGCATCGACACCGTCACCAGCAACGTTTCCTTCGACGTCGTCCAGCACGTCATCTACCTCTTCCTCGACAACGTTACCCACCACATCGACAGTGTCTTCGACAACGTCTTTTACGACACCTTCGACCACACCATCGTCAACGTCTTCATCAATGTCATCGACCGCCAGTTCGACGTCTTCTGTCTCGGGCACCAGTCCGACGTCTTCTGATTCGACCACGACGTCGACTACCAAATCGACGTCTTCTGAATCAACAGCTTCTGCCACGACCGGGACGTCACCCGAACCACCATCTGCGGAAACAACGGGGCCCCAGTCGTCTAGCGTGCTTCATGACAGATGGATGGTGTGTTCAAGAGGGAGGTGCAAGCTGGAATCTGGATACGGTGAGCCGACCACCGGAAGTACGGTGCAGTCACCTCCAAATGGCCCGGTGGTACAGCAGCGTTGGATGGTGTGTCGTCACGGGCTCTGCAGGTTATTGGGGATTATAAGGAAGTTGAAAATGGCTATTCCACCAGATGAGGGCCGACTAGATGATGGTAGTTCATCTTCAACGTGTGAACCTGATGATGTTGACGTCACGACCACTGGGACCCCACCAACCGCCTTGACGAGCATGACGACATCCACTTGCTCTGAGGAGCCTGATCCCACGACAATGACTGGGTCCTCGAGTCCGGGCGTTGAGCCTCCAAGTGGAGTTACAGCTCCCTCGACAACGACTTGTGAGGAAGAGGAGTTGACGACAAGCATGAGCACTGAAGATCCAATGATGGCGACGAGGTCGACTCGTGGCGGTTCAAGTACGACGTCAAGACGAAGCAGTACGACGTCTTCTGCTGTGACTTCGACTACGACTTGTGAGGAAGAAGAGTTGACGACCAGCAAGAACACTGAAGATCCCATGCTCCCTACGGTGACAAGGAATACCACGTCTTCTACTGCGAATTTGACTACGACTTGTGAGGAAGACGAATCAACAACAAGAAAGAGCACTCATGATCCTGTGCTCTCGACGGCGACAAGGAGTACGACATCTTCTACTGGGATTTCGCCCACGACATGTCAGGATGACGAGTCAACAACAAGCAAGAGCACCCCAGACCCCATACTCCCGACTCAGAGGGGCTCGAGGCAGAGCACGAGCATGACCTCGACGACGAGTAGTCCTGTGTCCGCGACGTCTTCTAGGCCATCATCTACTTCAACTACGACTTGTGATGATGACCAGGAGACGACGAGCACGACAAGATCTACTGGGAATTACGTGTCTTCTACCACGGCCTCGACCTCTTCTACTGCAACGACAACTTGTGAAGAGGAGGAGCCGACGACGAGGCCTGGAAGTTCAGAGACGACAATCCCGACGCGAACGACACGTTCAGGTTGGTCTTTAGGTGAAAAGGAATTGAGCACGACTTTCAAAAAGTAGAGAAGAGGAATCAAGACGATTTTAGGATCGCGGCCGACTCGCACACCGACTTCGCCAGGTCACCCGACCCGAACTCTTCCAGGACCTCAACCGGACCCTGGGCCGCCATTTCCTCCAGTACCTCCAGTACCTCCGCTCCCGTCACCTCGACCTCCTCCAAGTCCTCACCCAAACCCGCCGCCTCGACCTCCTCCTCCTGAACTTCCACAACCTCCCGATGACCCGACGGAACCGCCGAATCCTCCTGATCCTGCAGGATCCACGCCGAAGATCCCGGGAACGGACGTAAGTATCAGCCTAAGCCCAAGCCCAAGCCTAAGCCGAAACTTAACCTAAGCTTAAGTCTGAGCCTAATCCTAAGCCCAAGTTCAAGCCCAAGTCCAAGCCTAACTAAGCCTAAGCCTAAGCTACACTAAGCCCGGCCTATTATGAATTTATTACAGGAGGTGCAGTTGCCACGCTGCCACAAGGAGGGTATCACGCTCTTCCGAGAACCGTTATTTGGAGGTTTGTGGATATCTTTTCCACTCTCTCTCTCTGTCTCTCTCTCTCTCTCTCTCCTCTCTCTCTCTTTCTCTTACGCTCTTGCACTCTCGCCCTCCAAATACCGATAATTTTTTCAGGCACCGCACTCACAATGTGCCTGACGCCCACGTCGAAATGTGTGGATATACCTGAGGTATCACACATTAGATACCTGTCGCTTCACAAATCCACACCACACACTACAATAAAATAGGCTTAAAACAGACTACAATAATTTCAGGGCTGGGCGAACAAGCTCGAGTCGTTGTACCTGCCCAGCAACGAGGCGTGCTACGTACTGTATTCCCTGCCCAACTGCGAGGGCTCCGATTTCTTGGTGAGTAGTTGGACTTGACTACGTTTGCCCGATTACGTTACGAACATCCTTTTTCAGGTGACATACACGAAAGTGATGCAGCGAAAGACCGAAAATCTCTACGACAACAACCTGGCTCATCGCCACGCCTCGCTGCGCGTCTGCAACAAGTTCGAATCCACCCATCATTCGTAAAGCTGTGTGTATTGATTGTGTGCTGTAGTGGGGTGTACTGTATCGCGTTGTAAAAATGTTTACTTGTAAGATCGTACCCAAAAAAAGTGATAAATGATTTTTTTTGTTATATTCAACACCGAAAATACTAGAAGCTTAAGCCTAAGCCTAAACATAAACCTAAGCATACCCAAGCCTAAGCCCAAGCCCAAGCCTAAGCCTAAACCTAAACCCAAGTCTAAGCCTATGCCTAAGCCTAAGCCTAAGCCTAAGCCTAAGCCTAAGCCTAAGCCTAAGCCTAAGCCTAAGCCTAAGCCTAAGCCTAAACCTAAGCCAGCAAATACAATTTGTGAATCCCAAACGCTTTCAGCAATTTATTCATTCGAATCGGAAATCGATCAGTCATTGTCCTCCATATTCTTGCAGAGTCCAATCGATTGCCAGTCGGTGTCGTAACCGTTTGCCGTGAAGTCCTTCAGCTTTTGCACAGAGTCCTTGTTCGCCTGAAATTCATAGACCATGCCTCCACAGTCATTAAGATACCCTGAGAATATGCTCGCTGTCGCACTCCGTCTTGTCGTACAGCTTGAAGCACGCGTCAATTGAGGTCAGCTTGGCCGACTTGACCTTGCGGGCGATTTTCCGAGGGAGATTTGTGCATGGAGGGTTGCCGTTGCTGAGGGGGGAAAGGCAGATGCCGACCGGTTCGCCTGAAGTGGTACGGTAGGATAGAGAGAGAGAGAGAGAGAGAGAGAAAGAGAGGGAGAGAGAAATAACTTAGCTAAGCCAAGCCTAAGCCTAAGTCTAAGGCCAAACCTAAGCCTAAGCCTAAGCCCAAGCCTAAGCCCAAGCCCAAGCCTAGCCTAAGCCTAACCAAAACCCACCATTAGCAAAGATTCCTGGGTATAAGAAGATGGTGTGCCCGGCGCAGTAAGACATATCGTACTGCCTGCCGGGGATTGGGTCCGACACGACGACACCAAGGAGTACGCCCAGCAACAGCGTCAGTGACTTCATCTGGAAAAGGGTGGGCTTAGGCTTGGACTTAAACTAAACTATCGTTTCCTACAAAAATCAATTACCATACCTTTTTGCTACAATAGACTACCGTACCCGGGCGGCCACGTCGTACAGCAGAGAGTAGATCGTCAAAGTCTGGGTATAGGGAGGGGAAAAGGTGCGGCACGGAATTGGTTACGGTCGGAGAAGTGACACGCCTTCTTGCGGGGTCATTAATTCTAACCAGAGGTCCCGCCACGAATCGCGCGGAATTCTGAAGACACAAAAAGGACCTGTGGGGTTGTTCGTCTTCTATACGAAAGTTTCGTCAAAATTGGACTAGAAAGGGGGTTGGCAAAAAATCAAACAGTGAAGAGGAACTTTGAAGGCTAGAAAAGTGAAAACGTCGTTCCTCAAGCGTTTCTGCTACTATCTGAAGTTTCCAAAAGAAATTCTGCCAGCCTGCCCTGGGTAAGCCAAACCCGGATTCCTCAAGAATCTCCGCTAGTTTGCCTGGTGCCACTCTAACTTCCCCAAGGATCTCTGCTGGATCGCCTTGATCAATCTTAACCTCCTCAGGAACCTCCGGAAACAGTGCAGACGACTTTACAAACGGGCCATTTCCCTAAGACCCTCTGCTAGCTGGCCCGTTCACTTTTCCCCAACCTTCTCTGCTAGACTGCCACAACCCAGAAAATCGTCATGAACCAAAATTAATTTCAAAGCACGCCGCATGCGATCCTGTTTTCTCGCCCCAACGAGTCCTGGAAAATCGATTGTCCACCCCTTGGAAATTGATGATTTTATGGGCTTTTATCAACTCGTGTTTTCTATTTTGAGTATGCTGAGTATGATTCTAGTCAGTGAAAGCTATCAGCACAAGGCAAAGGTATTGATTTATCGGCCGGAAAACCTCAGAAATTGAAAAAAGCCTTTTATTACAGAAAAGCCTGCGCAGCTGCACGGAAAATATCATCTTTTTGTTCCAGGAAAAGTATTTTGAGGGTACGCTTTCGGTCGGGTAAGGCTATACGGTACTTAAGGTACCCCGCTAGGCGTCTGCTTGGAGTCGGCGGAGTCGTGCTTCACCTTTCCAAGGGTAAGAAGCCTCCTCAACAATCTCTGCTAGCCTGCCCTCTCCTCTTCCTCAACAATCTCTGCTAGCCTGCCCTCTCCTCTTCCTCAACAATCTCTGCTAGCCTGCCCTCTCCTCTTCCTCAACAATCTCTGCTAGCCTGCCCTCTGCTCTTCCTCAACAATCTCTGCTAGCCTGCCCTCTCCTCTTCCTCAACAATCTCTGCTAGCCTGCCCTCTCCTCTTCCTCAACAATCTCTGCTAGCCTGCCCTCTGCTCTTCCTCAACAATCTCTGCTAGCCTGCCCTCTCCTCTTCCTCAACAATCTCTGCTAGCCTGCCCTCTCCTCTTCCTCAACAATCTCTGCTAGCCTGCCCTCTCCTCTTCCTCAACAATCTCTGCTAGCCTGCCAATTTGCACTTTTTAGGGATGGCGCAACGAGATCCAATCAGCCAAGGTGTTGAGTCGAGATGCATGCTACATGCTCTTTGTCCAGGATGGGTGCAGTGGAGGAGGAAAACTGAAGGCAAGCTAGCAGAGATTTCTGAGGAAGTGGCGGGCTAACAGAATTTATTGAAATCTCTTCTAGATCGACTACTCCACCCAGCTGGACTTTGGCTCGAATTTCGCCGTTGTCAAAGATGAGCGTGAGCACCAGTCGATGAGACCGTGCACTTTAGATGAAAGAGGTAGCTTTTAAAGGGATATTGAAGTCCCTAAAAATCTGCTCATGCTCCTCGAAAAACCCTGATTCGGATCGTGTTGCTTTAGAATGCGACTGCGATGGGTACGAGACGAGCCGCCGGAAGCAGAGAAACCGCCTTTCTGCGTATGAGGACGAATAGTCACTTCGAAAAATGTTTTTTTATAATGGTAATAATTATTATTTAAAATAATTATTTAAAACCCTGGGAGAAATAAATAAATGTTTTTAATGTAGGAAATTTATCTTCGTTTCGACAAAATTAGCACGCTAATAACTTTATGGCACGATCAGAAAATGTAGATGAAACTGGGCATTTTGGATACAGAAAAATACATCCCGTTTTTGGACGAAAATACATAAAAATACATAGGTTAAAATCACAATAAATAAGCATTTAATTTATATACAGAGAAGGTGAATTTTGGGGGGATAATTCTTTTGTACTTTCGAAAAGAACGGCCCGCCGCGGTGAGCCGGGAATTCACCAGCTCCCAGCTCTAGCTTGCTGTAATCTTATCATTACCACAAAAAAGCCCAATTAAATTATTTAGGCAAATGAAATAGGTTAATTAAACCTCGAATTTCAGATGCTAATAACAGTATTTCTCATCGGATCCATCGGCGCAATCCCCGGTGCCGTCGCACCACTGCGAGCGGAGCACCTGCTGCTTCTGGTTTTCGCACAGGATGTATTTCGCCTCGGATACCTCTGAAAAATGAAAGGTGGGCTTGTCCATAATCCCGACAATCAGGATCCAGGCAGAGAAATACCGACAACCAAAATTTTCAGAGCCAACAGCTCGGAGATCCGGTCTCCCGACAGTAGACAATGCGAGTAGCAAAATACCGACATGCTAAATGCCGACAACCTAAATCCCTAAAACCCGGATAACGAAAATGTCGACAACCAAAATACCGACAATCCTTGATACCGAGAGCCGAACTAACGGCCGCCCAAAAACACATTCGAAATACCGTGAATCCACAATTTCGTCATACAAAATACCGACAAGCAAGACTGGCATGTTGAATGTCGGCATTTCCGCTTATTGCCGCAATGAGCTCTCCGGGTATCGCTATCCCGGTAAAAAGCCGAAAAGAAGCTTACTGCAGTTGACTTCATCCTCCCCGTTCTGGCAGTCGTTGTGAGCATCACAGTGTAGCGAGTAGTCGATGCAGGATGGGCCCTCGAATGAGGCGTGGCACATGAATTTGCCGACACAAGCTACAAAGATTTATGACAAGGGCAGGCTAGCGAGATTGTTGAGGAAGAGGAGAGGGCAGGCTAGCAGAGATTGTTGAGGAAGAGGAGAGGGCAGGCTAGCAGAGATTGTTGAGGAAGAGGAGAGGGCAGGCTAGCAGAGATTGTTGAGGAAATCCAGGAACCCACTTTCATTCCGGCTACACCCAATCTCATCCATATTCGTCCCATCTTCACAGTCATCCGGATTGCCGTCACATCTGATTTAAAAAATTCCTAGAGTATAGCTTAAAGACCGTTGGAAAGATGGCCGGACGTCCTCAGGGGTGAGGGACCGACGGGGCGATACCATGCACGCTTTCCATCGCGTAAGGGCCCTCAAAGCCCCTGACTGGGTTTCAAGAAAACAGATTTATAGCTATAACTTTTTTGATTGACGATATTCTGAGCCAGAAACTTCCATAGAAATAGTTTTTAGCCATCCCCATCGTTGGTAAAAATTTGAGGCTGATTGGATAGAAGACAGCCATGTTCTGAGCGGAAAGAGGTTTTTGGGACGCTCTTTAGTTGAAAAATCGTCAGTAAAGGCATAAAACACACCAGGAAATTTTTGGGAGTACTTTGCTTTCCTTTAGCAAGCTTTTCTATAGCATTTTTCGTTATTATTATTTATGAATAGCCTTATTTTCAATTGTTGCCCAGTAAAGCGCACCAATCCGCCCCTAGGGTATTTGGGGCCCCTCCGCCGCCGCCACCCACTCGGCCCCTTTGGTGTGGGGGTAGCGCGTTGGACTGCGTAGAGGACCATCCCTGGTTCGACCCCCGTCCGGGGCATTCCTTATTGCTTTTTGACCAATCCCATCTTTCCAGAGGCCTTTAAATATACCGCTTGCTCGCCTCAATGCACCGTCCACTCTTGACGCAAGCGAATTCATTGCGCTGGCAGGACGCTAAAAATTCGTATTGTGAAGCGGGCTGGTTAGCAGAGATCATTTGAGAGCCCAAAAAACGCACGGCAATTGTTCTCGTCATCCCCATCTGAGCAGTCGCTGTGCCCATCACATCTTCTAATCAAGGGTAGACACTTCTGTGGTTGAGAGCAGCAGGCGTACTCGTCCTGACCACATTGCTCGCGGATCGCTAAATTTCGTTATAATCCTCTTTACGAGGCTGTACTGACTGCAGTGCATCACGTGATCGTACTCCGGGCAGAACTTGACGCTGTTCCGGAAGTTGCAGTTGACGGTTGCACGGTCGAAGGCTTCTTGCTCGGAGGGGCACTGGAAATTAGAGGAGCCTGCTTTGTTGGAGCTGCCTCCTCAAGGATCTCTAGATTGCCAAAGCTCCACTTCCTCGAGGTTTTCTGCTAGATTGCTTGAGCTCTACCTCCTCGAGGATCTCTGCTAGATTGCCTAAACTCCAATTAAAGGATCTTTGCTAGCTTTCCCGCCTGCGTTTCCGTATTCGTCCCGTTTTAGATATGTAGTACTTTTAAAATAAGCCAGAAGAGAGCATTGATGTCGGAAAACCTAAGCCTAATCACCCACCCTCAGCAAAAACGTCTGCCCAATGGCGCACTGGAAAAAGATGTGGCTGCACGAGGTGTTGTAGATGAAGTACTCGACTCGGGCCAGGCCGTATTGGGCCAGCACCTGGTCGGTGAATTCGTTCTGAAAATTGGGGGGTGTTTTAAAGGGACTGGCAAGCCAGGAAATATTCGCGAAAGGCTGGAAAACGATCACCTGGTCGCAATAATTGATTTCGAAGATCGATTTGTCGGTGGTAGCCGGGCCAGATGGAGCGGGAGTCACTGGGGGGTAGACCTAAGGCTTAAATATTTGAGAATAATCGGGCAGGCTAGCAGAGATCGTTGAGGAAAAGGATAGGGCAGGCTAGCAGAGATTGTTGAGGAAGAGGAGAGGGCAGGCTAGCAGAGATTGTTGAGGAAGAGGAGAGGGCAGGCTAGCAGAGATTGTTGCGGAAGAGGAGAGGGCAGGCTAGCAGAGATTGTTGAGGAAGAGGAGAGGGCAGGCTAGCAGAGATTGTTGAGGAAGAGGAGAGGGCAGGCTAGCAGAGATTGTTGAGGAAGAGGAGAGGGCAGGCTAGCAGAGATTGTTGAGGAAGAGGAGAGGGCAGGCTAGCAGAGATACTTGAGGAAAAGGGAAGGGCAGGCTAGCAGTGATTTTTTAGGATTATTCCTTACCGGCTGTGGGGGCTGGGTGACCCATTCTGGCGGCTGTACCACCTTAAATTCCGGAACTACCGGCTCTTCCGGTTGCTCCGGTTGTTCCGGTTGCGGGTACAGATCCAATGAATCGACCACTCCGACCTGAAAGATGTAATTTAAATGTTATCTTTATTTGATTAAACGGATATCCAAGTAAAAAACGGTACCCTCGGAATGTAGGGCTCCGGGTTTGGCTGCTGTGGCTGCATGATGCTGTCGCTGCTCTGGACAGTCGGCATTTGGGGGTGATAAGTCTTAAAAAATCATAGTTAAAAAGTTATAGATATTTTCGTGCTTTTCTAACGTTAAATATACTAGTCAAAGCTAAATACCGCACCTCGCCCGCATTTAAATTTCCGGACGAGGCGCTGGGGCGCATCGATTGGGGTGGGGGCGCCTGAATTGAGAGCTGGATCGTAAAAAATGATTTCTTACATTCCCAAATTGGTGCTGTTGTGCAAGAGCGATAGGAATTAAGGTACCGCAGAGAAAAATTAGCATCTAAAATGTTTGAAAAAACTAAAAACTCAAAAATATGTATATGGAAAACCACCAGTTGTATAAGGATCTGGAAAGCTAAGCCTAAGCCTAAGCCTAAGCCTAAGCCTAAGCCAAATAGTAAGCCTAAGCAAATTCTTGGCTCGAAAATGGCCATTTGTCGATGGATGCTCCCCGGAAAGTGTCTTCGATGCCCTCAGGGCCCGTTCGGTTTTGTTTGCATTTCGCGCGGCGGGCCCCTTTCAAATTTGAGAGGACCGCTTCTCGCGACAGGGCGGAAAAACAAAGGCGACTTCGAGGAGTTCAGAGAGAGCGGAGGATTTGTTGCATTTCGGCGGCTTAAAGTGAGCGGGAAGCGGCGACTTGAAGGAGTTCTACAGCCTTGTAGAAGTGAGGGTAGTCTAGCAGAGATCCTTGAAGATTCGCAGTCGCAGAAAAACCATCAAAACGCTATAAAAACCTTTTAAGGCCCAAATTCTGAAACTGAGACAAGCTTGCAGAGATCCGTTGGGAAATTTGGATCCAAGCAACAGCAGGCAGTGCCCGAAAAAGCATCTCTGCCCCCGGTTGCGCGCAGCGCGTAGCGCTTAGAAAACAAAGACGCGGAAAGAAATAAGAAGCGCAGCGCGCCCGCGCCCCACCCGAACGAGCCACTTCACGTGTGCCCCAAGCCGGAAGGGGGCAGGACTCGAATAGAATGGACCGGATGGGCACACCAAAAAATGGTCGAGGGGAAGATATACCCTATTTCGGTTTTTAAAGGGAGGGAGAGAAAGAGAGAGAGAGAGAGAGAGAGAGAGAGAGAGAGAGAGAGAGAGGGAGAGAATCTATGTTGTATACTTCGTGTTTCCAATCCTTATTAATTCACTTTATACAAACAAAAAGTAGAGAAACAAATAATTCAAGTCATATTTTTTATTTAATTCATGCTAAGCGGCCGGCTGTTCCTCATAAAGCCCATCGCCGCGACGGGGCACTGCATTTTCTTGATGCAACGACCCATCGGCTCTCGCACGAAGCCCTCCTGGCATTTACAAGCCGCCGGGCCACATTGGAGCGTGCAGGCCTAAAATGGAATTTAAATTATGGCAATGAGCGTCTAACTAAGCCTAAGCCTAAGCTTAAGCCGAAGCCCGGGCCCAAGCCCAAGCCCAAGCCTAAGCCTAAGCCTAAGCCTAAGCCTAAGCCTAAGCCTAAGTCTAACTGTCGTGTCAAGGCAAGCCTCTAAGTCCGTCTTCTCATTCCCTACCTGCATCTCCTCCGTGCACGTCGGCTCGCAACCATTTCCGCACTCATTCAACTCCTCGTTCATCCCGCATTCTGAAAGCTCGATTAGAAAACTTTATTTCTATCTCGCATTCGCTCTATTTCTCTCTCTCTCTCTCTCTCTCTCTCTCTCTCTCTCCCCTCACCTCTTCGCACTCCAACAGGCATACAACGCGGAATACATGGCACGGCTTTGCAAACGTAATTCGGATCACACCGGAACCCATCCTGGCACAACGCCGTGTCACAGGCACTGAAAAATTAGTTTAAGAATATTTCTCCAATGATCACTGCTAGCCTGCCCTCCTCAAAAGAATTCCGTGTAAATTTGAATTTTACTCACCTTCCCGAGTTCACAATTCCCGTCTCAACCGTCGATCCTGAAACACGGAAATTAAGCAAAATTATGAGCCTTTTACGCACCTACAGCAGCCGCGAAAATGGCGCTAATTTGCATAGCGAAGAGGGAAGAGATCTAAAAATGAATTTGCGTCAATAAAGATTTTTGTATTTGAATTTTGAGCATTTGAAATGTTTTTTAGGTTTTTGGCTAGTTTCGGCAATTTAAATATGATTAAATTTCACCGAAAACGCGATTAAAACACTTGTTATAATCAGGTCGATTGGGTTGCTAGGCATTTCTGAACCTGTTGGAAAAAATTAGGTTCTGCCGGTTTTCCCCCTCGATACTGAAAAAGATCCAAATATTCCTCACTAGACTTATTTTCCTAATTTTATGACGAATTAAAGCTCACCAATATCAACGCGTTCATGTTGCCTAGCTTATAGTCAAAATTCCGATGATAATTTTATAGAAATCCGGGGTAGCCGGGTCGATTTTCGATGTATCGATATGCCCTGAAAACCGGGGTTTATATAGGCAAAAGCTGGGCAAATAATGCGATGGGAAAACAGGAAAACCATTGAAACTCGAGTTGTCAACAAGTTGCGTGGCGGAGGCTCTGCCCACAATAACCCCAAAATAGAAACTGGCCCCAGAAAAAATTGCCAAAAATTGAGGGAAAGCCGGTTTTTTTTATTAAATTTTTCGAGGCTTTTTCATGTTGTTTGCTTGTTTAGTTGGGGGCGACAAAACGAAAAATATTTATGCAAACCTAGACATTAATGCAGTTTGAAACGCGATTTGATCGGTTTTTTATTCAACGGAATCGGCTTAAGCATAAGCTGAGCTTAAGCCTAAGCTTAATTCTAATCCCTAAGCCTAAGCCCTAAGCCTAAGCCTAAGCCTAAGCTTAAGCCTAAGCCTACAGATAACCCCTAAAGCCCTCCAACATTTCTAGTTCCCACTGAAAAACATCAAAATTTTGTGTGAAAATGAGCTTTCCGACTAATTTTGCAACTCCTTAGAGCCTATAAAATTTCACAGTAACCTAAAAACGCCGTAACTATGTGTAAAACGTGAAAAATGGAAGATGCAAACGCGAAACGAAGGTCTTTATGTATTGGGGGTGAGCGGTGGCCGGTTTGACAAATATCACGATTCACGGAGGTACTCACTCAAAGTGAAAGGAGGGAAGAGATCACTCGTCAAATAGCTGACTTGAGAGGGAGCAATATAGGGAACTTTGACCAGTGAGTCAGCACGGGGTTGGTGAATCATCACTGGCAGCCGTTTCCTGAATGATCTCTGCTAGGCTGCCCTCTCCTCTTCCTCAACAATCTCTGCTAGCCTGTCCTCTCCTCTTCCTCAACAATCTCTGCTAGCCTGCCCTCTCCTCTTCCTCAACAATCTCTGCTAGCCTGCCCTCTCCCCTTCCTCAACAATCTCTGCTAGCCTGCCCTCTCCTCTTCCTCAACAATCTCTGCTAGCCTGCCCTCTCCTCTTCCTCAACAATCTCTGCTAGCCTGCCCTCTCCTCTTCCTCAACAATCTCTGCTAGCCTGCCCTCTCCTCTTCCTCAACAATCTCTGCTAGCCTGCCCTCTCCCCTTCCTCAACAATCTCTGCTAGCCTGTCCTCTCCTCTTCCTCAACAATCTCTGCTAGCCTGCCCTCTCCTCTTCCTCAACAATCTCTGCTAGCCTGCCCTCTCCTCTTCCTCAACAATCTCTGCTAGCCTGTCATCTCCTCTTCCTCAACAATCTCTGCTAGCCTGCCCTCTCCTCTTCCTCAACAATCTCTGCTAGCCTGCCCTCTCCTCTTCCTCAACAATCTCTGCTAGCCTGCCCTCTCCTCTTCCTCAACAATCTCTGCTAGCCTGCCCTCTCCCCTTCCTCAACAATCTCTGCTAGCCTGTCCTCTCCTCTTCCTCAACAATCTCTGCTAGCCTGCCCTCTCCTCTTCCTCAACAATCTCTGCTAGCCTGCCCTCTCCTCTTCCTCAACAATCTCTGCTAGCCTGTCATCTCCTCTTCCTCAACAATCTCTGCTAGCCTGCCCTCTCCTCTTCCTCAACAATCTCTGCTAGCCTGCCCTCTCCTCTTCCTCAACAATCTCTGCTAGCCTGCCCTCTCCTCTTCCTCAACAATCTCTGCTAGCCTGCCCTCTCCTCTTCCTCAACAATCTCTGCTAGCCTGCCCTCTCCTCTTCCTCAACAATCTCTGCTAGCCTGTCATCTCCTCTTCCTCAACAATCTCTGCTAGCCTGCCCTCTCCTCTTCCTCAACAATCTCTGCTAGCCTGCCCTCTCCCCTTCCTCAACAATCTCTGCTAGCCTGCCCTCTCCTCTTCCTCAACAATCTCTGCTAGCCTGCCCTCTCCTCTTCCTCAACAATCTCTGCTAGCCTGCCCTCTCCTCTTCCTCAACAATCTCTGCTAGCCTGCCCCCTCACCACATTGCACAATATTTTCCAGAACTCCGCGGGCTATCTGCCAACCGTTTTCTGCTGCGTCGCCCTGCTCAGCGATGCTGAAGTCGACAAAAAAGGGCTAAAAAATGCACGGCGCACCATGACGACTCGGCCCCTGGGCCGGTTTGGCCCGATTCTGGCGCCAGGAATTTGGTGTTTGTTTTTATTATTGTTATTTTTGACTAGGTTTTTAAAAATCAGTTTTACGGACTAGGCTTAAGACTAAGCCTAAGCCTATGCCAAGCCTAACCACTTCAGAAATCAACATGGGCTATCTGATTGCGACTGGGGCGCTGGTGCTCCTTTTATACGCTCGACGGACGCTGTGTCAATGCACCGATACCGTACCCCGTAAGTTTTCACAGGTTTCATGGAATTTTCTTTAAGCCTCGACGACTGTCACGGTGTACCAGGTGGCGCTGAACTCGGTTAATACTTGTAAGTCTTCTTTCTGTCTTTCTCTCTCTCTCTCTCTCTCTCTCTCTCTCTCTACATCTCGCTCTCGTACTATACGCAATTTAGCAATGTACGCCCATATGCCGGTTCCGGATACGCCTGTGAACAATGCGACTGCCACGACGGTCTACACGATACCTGGCCTCTTCGCATCAACTGTAAGATTTTTGGGCAGGCTAGCAGAGATTGTTGAGGAAAAGGAGAGGCAGCCTAGCAGAGATTGTTGAGGAAGAGGAGAGGGCAGGCTAGCAGAGATTGTTGAGGAAGAGGAGAGGGCAGGCTAGCAGAGATTGTTGAGGAAGAGGAGAGGGCAGGCTAGCAGAGATTGTTGAGGAAGAGGAGAGGGCAGGCTAGCAGAGATTGTTGAGGAAGAGGAGAGGGCAGGCTAGCAGAGATTGTTGAGGAAGAGGAGAGGGCAGGCTAGCAGAGATCCATGGAAGACTTTTTAGTCCGCCAGCTCATGCACTGGGGCCTGTTTGACACAACTCGACGTGCTGGGCAACAAGAATGGGACAGCGGGTGGGTTTAGGAAAACTTTAAAGGACCGTTCAAGGCAAAAATCGAGAAGCCAAACTTATTCTAAGGATCTCGTCCGAAAGCATCAAAAATTTCCTGCAAAAAATCTCTTCTTTCAAGTCTCAATCCTGACGGTGCCCAGCTCGGCGACGGCCGCCTATCAGTCGCAGGGCTACACGCTGATGTACAGCCTGAACTGCGTGGCGTCGCCGGGATCTTGCGGGGCGACGATTCCGCTATATGCCTATGAGAATACGCAGATATCAGGTGGGGACCCGAAGCCTAAGCCTAAGCCTGAGCCTAAATTCCAGATCAATATGTCAACACGGACTATGGCTCGGACGCCCCGCAAGCCAACGGCTACCAGCCGGCCTTGATGGCGTCCGTGCTCTGCTACTTATTCCAGCCACCGTAAGCGCTTTTCCACAAATAATCTCTGCCAGCCTGCCCTCTACTCTGCCTCAACAATCTCTGCTAACGCGCCTTTGGCCTAAAAATAGACAATTCCTACCGTAACCCATTTTTCGTTTCAGGACCACAACGACCTCGACCACTACCACCACCACAAAGTATTTTTAATGCGGAGAATTTTGTAACTTTTTAATTTCCTACAGTACCCCCTACACTGGACCGTCGACGACGACCACGGCATATACCGGATCCACAACTAGTAATTTTTAAAAATCAGGCAAATTATTCTAATTCTAGCGACCCAGTCAACAACGACGAATACGGCCAGTGCGACGACTGGTAATTTGATTCAAAGGTATCAAAACGATATTTAAATTTTTAGGGACGACTACGTTGTACACCGGTCCCAGCACGACTGCCACGTCGACTACGACCGGTAATTGCATTTAAAAAATTATTATATGTGATTCAGGCTCGACGACGTCGTACACCGGTCCCACAACTACGACAGGTTTTGTTATCCACAAGATATTCTGTTATTTTCGGCCGTTGATTTCTCGCTATCTCTCTCTCTCGCTCTCTCTCTCTATTTGGTTCTCTCTCTTGCTCTCTTGCTCTCTCTAGCTCACTGTCTCTATCTCTCTTTATCTCTCTCTCTCTCTTTCTCTCTCTCATCTGGGAACGTATTTAAAGCTGAAGTCTTTAGGCTCTACGACGTCATATACCGGCTCAACAACGTCGTACACCGGTCCCACAAGTACGACGGGTACGTTTCTCTCTCACTCTCACTGTGTCCCTCTCCACTCTCTCTCTCTCTCTCTCTCGCTCTCTCTCTCTCTCTCTCTCTCTCTCTCTCTCTTTCGCTATCTCTCTGCACCAAGCGGCCAGTCTGACAAATTCACTATTTAGCATCGACAACACCTTACACCGGGCCCTCAACAACAACAGGTATTTTTTTAGTAAACTAGGCCATTTAATTTCTGTAAATCCAGCCTCGACTACGCCGTATACCGGTCCCACAACCACGCCGGGTAAGCTACCAAATTCAAACCCACTACAACTCGACGCAACACTCGACTGATTAACTCAACTAATTTTCTAGCCCCAACTACACCCTACACTGGTCCATCGACTACTGCCGGTATGGTAGCTTTTGGATCGCGTAATTTCATGATTTTTAGCCGAAACCTCGCCATACACCGGACCGTCGACAACAGGTAGCGATTCATAAAATGCAACCTCCGAGTTACTACCGTTTCAGCCAAATCTACCGTCGACAAGATCAAGGACAAGGCGTCGAGTGAGGAATTCTTTTGCATAAAGCCTAAGCTCCAAGCCTAAGCCCAAGCCCAAAAACAAGCCTAGGCCTAAGCCCAAACCTAAGCCTATCAAAAGTCAAAAACCTTACTGATTTGCATACTTACAGGTATCGGCTGGCCGCTAATCATCGCTGGCGTGTTGATAGCAGCTTTCTTGGTGGTAGCTGTGGTTGGTATCAGGAATGCTTCGATAACTTCAAAACACTTTCATCGATTTTCTTCAGATAGCCACCGGTACCTGGTTCTTCATCCGGGGTGGCAGCAAAGCCACGCCGACCTCGAATGCATATGCTAATCAGGCACACGGTATGATTCCTTAAGAGTCTCTGCTAGCCTGCCCTCTCCTCTTCCTCAACAATCTCTGCTAGCCTGCCCTCTCCTCTTCCTCAACAATCTCTGCTAGCCTGCCCTCTCCTCTTCCTCAACAATCTCTGCTAGCCTGCCCTCTCCTCTTCCTCAACAATCTCTGCTAGCCTGCCCTCTCCTCTTCCTCAACAATCTCTGCTAGCCTGCCTCCCTTTCCTTATTAAAAATAACGTTTATAGCCTACAAACAAGCGCACGCCGATTTACCACCCCAACCGGTGCATGCAGCGAATGCGGGGGTATGTAAATCAGTGTTCTCATCATTTTGATTGCGAATTTTGCAAAATCTAAATTAGAGAATCAAAGCTAACCATTCAGGTCATTTTCAAAAAATTTAACTCGTTATATTTCCAGGTTGGCATGCAAAATTTCGGCCCAACGTGGACGCAGCCGCACTCGATGTATTATTGATCGGAATTTGAAGAAGGTTTTGATATATTTTGTTATGTTTTTGTGATACCAATACCTCCAGACGAGTAATAAAGCCAAGTGTGATACCTTAAAAATACGAAACCATCGCTAAAGAATAAAATACTCTATAAACCTTTTATTGTCCTTTGATTTGATTACCCTCATCATAAAACAATTCATTAAAAAGAGAGTTTTATAAAAGTACAAAATAAACTATAATTATGCAAATACCGCCTGGTTTTAAGCCTATTTTGACCCCCGACATCCAGAAAGTGCAACATAATAATTTGCGTCTCTATTGATTCAGCCGGTAGGTTCGGCCAGTCCATCGTCGTCACATTCAAAAATAGTCTCACTTTGCCCCCAAAATCCGTCAAATGCAAATAAATAGCCGGTCGAATCAGCGAAAAATAAACAGTTTTGAATCCTATAAAACTGCCAGATTCTACCCAGTAGTATCCTCGAAATCGCCTCCACTCGATTACAGGAAAATGGTCAGTTTAATTTGCTAAATTCTGAATTAGAATTCCGCAAATGCCCTCTCCTTTCCCTCAACGATCTCTGCTAGCTTACTGACCCTAAAAATCAAATACTTAAAGCAAGCCTAAATAATTTAAATGTTTAGAATACGTGTCTCATCGCCGCTCTGCTCGTTGCATGTACTGGAGCTCGTGAGTTTACTGAATTCTCTCTCTTTCTCTCTCACTCACTCTCTCTTTCTCACGCTCTCTCTCTCGCTCTCTCTCTCGCTCTCTCTCTCATTCCATTCCCCGAATTTTCAGAGTTCATCCGCCCCACCCAGCCGGGACGTGACGTCGTTATCGGTAAGTTCAGCGGTTGTCACACTAACTTTAGCTCCGTTGCCAGTTTATCCTTAATGCATCCATCATTCCAGGCCCCATCATCTTCCCCAACCAAACAATTGGTCAGCAACAAACGTGTCGCGTCGGCCAGAGCTGTGGCGAGAACGCTCAGTGCGTCACTTGCGGTCCGGTGTGCGAGCAGAAGTGTGGCCAGCCGACTGTGGTAAGCCTAAGCCTCGCTAAGCCTAAGCTAAGCCTAAGTCTAAGCCTAAGCCTATCTCAAACCCTTTCAGAGCTGCCCCCGCACCCAGAATTGCCTGAACAACTACAACAACAACAACAACGGTGGGCAGCAGACTTCGAACATTCGGCTGCCAGCCACCGGGAAGTGCCAGTGCAACAATGGTTTCCTGAGGAACACGAATGGCCAATGCGTGCGCCAGCAACAGTGCAATAGAGGTGGGGAAGAGGCGAAGGAAGAACAGAGCGCTTGGGGAGAAGCTGAAATTCTGGGTACATGCAAGCCGGTTCTTGTTTGTAGAAGGATAGCGCAGGCAGAAGCCGAAAGCCACAGCAGCAAGCGCTGACCTCGAAAGAATCATGAAAGCGGGAATACATTTGGATCTAACAATTATTCATCAAATTTTAGTCGGAGCGTCCGTGACGACAGCCTCCCCGCTTCGCCGCTGCCAGAACAACACTGCTTCGAGCTGTGGCCAGAACGAGCGCTGCAACCTGTGCGGAAATGCCTGCGAGCAAAAGTGCGGACAGCAGACAAAGGTACGCTACGGCTAAGTTAACGGGACCAGGAAGTAAAAATCTAGCGGCAATAGGTCAGAATTCCGTTTCTTCGTCTCCTCGAAGTTTTTAAAGCTGTTGAAGCTCACGCTTAAGAATCACGTTTTCAGCTTTGCCCTCTCACGTCCACGATTTGCCGACCGACGACCGGAAGATCTGCTGGAATTTGCGAATGCCAGCCCGGTTTCTCTCGCCACGCCAATGGGCGCTGCGTGCGTAGCCAGCAGTGTAATGGTGAGTTAAAGGCTGCGAGAAAATTAGTTTTTTTTTTCAGATTTGTACGTTAAATTCAACACTCATTAAATACTGTAATTTAACCTATACCAATTCATTTTTCCATGCAAATTTCGATTCCAGTGGCCACTGCCGTAACTACAGCTTCTCCGCTTCGCCGTTGCCAGAATACGACGGCTTCGAGCTGTGGTCAGAATGAGCGTTGCAACCTCTGCGGAAATGCCTGTGAGCAGAAGTGTGGACAGCAGACAGTGGTAATTACGGCGTCTCTCCCTCTCTCTCTCTCTCTCTCTCACTCTCTCACTCTCTCGCTCTCCCCCGCGCGCTCTCTCTAGCGCGCTCTGTCTCTAGCTCGCAGACGGTCTCTCTCTCTTTCTCATTGTCTAATTTGTTCGCTCTCTCTCTGTCTCTCGAATAAGTGTTGCCTAATGCCTAAAAACACCCAACCTTCTTAGGCCTGCCCCCAAACGTCTTCAATCTGCCGGCCGACCACCGGGCGAACTTCTGGAGTCTGCCAGTGCCAGTCCGGTTTCTCCCGCCATGCCAATGGACGTTGCGTCCGTAGCCAGCAATGCAATGGTAAGCTAAAGGGTGCGAGAGAAGTCGTTTTAATATTTGCTTCATTAAATCCTGTAGCTTACGCATACTAATTCATTTTCCCATGAAATATTCGATTCCAGTGGCCACTGCCGTAACTACCGCATCACCTCTTCGCCGTTGCCAGAATACGACGGCGTCGAGCTGTGGCCAGAATGAGCGTTGCAACATGTGCGGAAATGCCTGTGAGCAGAAGTGTGGACAGCAGTCAGTGGTAAGTAATTACGAAAGATCTCCTTGTTTGTCTGCCTGTCTCTCTCTCTCTCTCTCTCGTTCTCTCTCTCTCTCACTCTCTCTCGCTCTCTCTAGATTGCCTCAAAAAAGATTCAACCTTCTTAGGCTTGCCCCCAAACGTCTTCAATCTGCCGACCCTCGGCCGGGCGGAATTCTGGTGTCTGTCAATGCCAGTCGGGTTTCTCCCGCCATGCCAATGGACGTTGCGTCCGTAGCCAGCAGTGCAATGGTGAGTTAACGGGGGTGTAACATCTAAAATGATTTATTACTCTGCTACCCCTAGGGCTCAGAATTGAACATCACATCATGCTCAACACACATTTTCAGCTATTCGCAACGGCCGTGACATCGACGGTCCCTTCGGCTCAATCGAAATTGACGTCTAATTTGTATATCAAAGAACTACTGTTTTGATTGTAAACACTGTACACATTTTCTGTACATTTGTGTATATGTTTTGATGAATAAACCTAAAGCAAGCAAACTTTTGACCATCTCGAAGACGTCGTAAGAATCGAAATATGAAGACACATAGCATGGAAATGTTTCAAAGGAATGTTAGAAGATTTATCACACTATTTTGTACAGGGCCATCTGATTGATATACGGTAATTTGAGCATTTTTCGCACAGCACCAGGCGTATCCACTTTTGGAGCAACGGCAAGCAAGAATGAGCAAAAAAACAGCAAAATACAAAGAGAATAGAAGTCTATAAGATGTTTCTTCGTTTTAGGAAAAAATAGCCGAGGGTCGAGCCGCCGACGAGGAGGGTCAGGAATACAGTGGTGTGGACACGGCGTAGGAACTGGGAAAAAGACGAGTTTCCTCTTTTCCGCAAAAATCTCTGCTAGCCTGCCCTCTCCTCTTCCTCAACAATCTCTGCTAGCCTGCCCTCTCCTCTTCCTCAACAATCTCTGCTAGCCTGCCCTCTCCTCTTCCTCAACAATCTCTGCTAGCCTGCCCTCTCCTCTTCCTCAACAATCTCTGCTAGCCTTCCCTCTCCTCTTCCTCAACAATCTCTGCTAGCCTTCCCTCTCCTCTTCCTCAACAATCTCTGTTAGCCTGCCCTCTCCTCTTCCTCAACAATCTCTGCTAGCCTGCCCTCTCCTCTTCCTCAACAATTTCTGCTAGCCTGCCCTCTCCTCTTACTCAACAATCTCTGCTAGCCTGCCCTCTCCTCTTCCTCAACAATCTCTGCTAGCTTGCCCTCTCCTCTTCCTCAACAATCTCTGCTAGCTTGCCCTCTCCTCTTCCTCAACAATCTCTGCTAGCTTGCCCTCTCCTCTTCCTCAACAATCTCTGCTAGCTTGCCCTCTCCTCTTCCTCAACAATCTCTGCTAGCCGACCTTCCACATCGAATACTCACATCATCCTGCCACTTCCTATACTGCACCACCTGGGAGTACGGTATCCGGGTGAACGTCACCATGGAGTATAGCGGAATCCAGGTCCTCGGGAGCCAACTGGAATGCCAATTTGAAAAAATTAAAATTCCGGAATTTTCATAGGCCCGATTGACTTAAGAAAATCTCACCGATTTAAGATCAAGTCCAACTTTTTGCGCAACTTGTAGGAGGTATGGTTTACAAGATCTTTCAACTAAATTTCATTTCTCTGGTTTTTAGCTTTTTTGCCGTACCTCTTCATAGTTATACATGGCCAGGTCGATGATGTTGTGCGCGTCTTTGACGCGAGTCTCGGAGTACATTCTAGAAAAATCGGTTGATATTTTGGGGCCCATGAACATCTACCGTAACGCCCGGGGGATGTCGTTCTGGCATTTGTCGATGATCTCGGAGAGGACGAGGCAGTCCTCGAAACCCTGGAAATTGGGAGTTTCTTAGGCGTAGAACGAGCTTAAGCCTAAGCCTAAGCCAAAGCCTGAGCCTAGGCCCAAACTCAACATCAACCTACACAATTCATCCCCTGGCCGTAGAAGGGCACCATCGCGTGCGCCGCATCTCCGGTGAGCAGCACCGAGTTGCCAAAATGGTGTGGTTTGCACTAAAATTTGAATTAAACGGCGAAACAGAGCGAGAGAGAGCGAGAGCGAGAGACTGAGTGAGCGAGAGCGAGCAAGGGCAAATATACCGACTTTTATGGATATCAACGACTGTGGCCGAACTCGGTTGAACGTCTCCAAGACGTGCTCCCTTCCCATCAGCTCCAGCGCGTCATGAAAGTTCTCCTCGAAAAATTTGCATATATCCTCGTTGGTCGACATCTTCTCCTCGAACAGGCGGAACGGGGCGAAGATGGTCACGGTGAATGTGTGGTCCTGAAAAAAAGAGTTAAAACTCAATTTATCGAATGAGTGATAACCAATTACTTATAGTTAGATGAGTTAAAAATATTGTTTTAATTAAATTTAAATTTTAAATTAAAAAATAGCTCAGGAAAAACGTACCCGGTTCGCGAGTGCAATCAACGTGAACGCGCCACGGGGCCAGAGGTGGAAAACGTTAGGTTCCATTGCGAACTAAAAAATAGCGAAATTTCGTGGCTCTCCTGGCTTTCACGCTCCCTTTTTTAGATTAAAAGAAATGGCTTACGTCATTATTTTTCGGCAAAATGTTGAGTTCGATGTAGCCATGTTCGATGTATTCTTGCGCGTAGTCAAATCTGAAACGGCATGCTCTCTCACTCTCTCTCTCTCACTCTCTCTCTCTCTCTCAATCTCTCTATCTCTATCTCTCTCTCTCTCTCTCGTTTCTCTCTCTCGCTCTCTCGATATCTTTCGGTCTCTCTCTCTCTCTCACCCTACCTTGGATACGTTGACAAGCTCCGCCTCACCGCCGAATAAGCACCATCACATCCGAGAATCAGGTCCGCCCGCTTCGTGAGCTCGATCTCGTCGCTAAAAGTGTCTCTTGGTATCGCCCTCTCTTTCACTCTCTATTTATCTCTCTCACCCTCTTGCTCTCTCTCCAAAGTCCCTTACCATAATACCGTAACCTCGTGCTGCTCGACGTTGACGGCCCGGATTTTGTGTTGAAAGTGGAAGTGGACATTCGGGGACTGCTCGGCTAAGGAGATCATCACCTCGTTGAGATGACGTCGGTTGATAGAGACGATGTGCTGTAAAGGCGGGCGGGCTAGCAGAGATTGTTGAGGAAGAGGAGAGGGCAGGCTAGCAGAGATTGTTGAGGAAGAGGAGAGGGCAGGCTAGCAGAGATTGTTGAGGAAGAGGAGAGGGCAGGCTAGCAGAGATCCTTTACAAGACCAACCTGCCCAGGCTGTCCATACGGCTGCCGATCGAACGTCTTCCCGTCCTTGTTGTGTATCAATCGTGAATACAACGGCACGCCTTAGAACGTAAAAAAATCGAGATTCCGGATTCATACCTTGATTAACAATATAATCCTTTAATCCAACGCCCTCGAGGGCGGCTTTTCCCCTGTCGGACAGCGCCAAATTTATACTTCGCCCCGGCACGTGCGCCATCGTTCGTATATCTGAAAACGGTTCAGTAGGTTTAAATGACAGGCTTAAGCATAAGCCTAAGCCTAAGCCCCACAGCCGTCTCGGCAAGTCGTCTCACCTGGCCTATACTCGTAAACATCCACTTCCCAGCCCTTCTGCGCGAAATAGCAGGCATTCAGGGCGCCGACCAGGCCCGCGCCCGCGATTATCACCTTGGGCATCTGTAAAGGAAATAAAGAAAGGGAGAGAGCAGAGAGAGAGAGACACAGAGAGAGAGATAGAGACAGCGATCAAAAATCCCACAGGAAACACAAAAATTGAAGTTTGCTGCATTTAGCCAGGCCGTAAATCCTTGATTTCCAGGCGAGTAGCTTCTCATAATTATCATAAACCTGATTCCGCTGATTAGTCAACAATTATTTATAGGCCCGTAAACAGTTCGTAAACGCGCGATTTATGGTCGCAGCCCCCGGTGAAAATATTTAGGCATTTGGCACCTGAATTGCCCCCGCGGACACTGATAACTTGCCACAAATACAGAGATAAGCTCGGGGGTGTCTGGGCGGGCATTGCAAACATCGATTTGGGGGCTAATTTGCATATTTTTGTGATAGAATTTGTGTTTTTAATTTTAAACAAATTAAGCCATAAAAAACCCGAGAGTGAAAGAGAAAGAGATAGGGGGAGAGAGATAGAGATTTACCTAGGGCAAGAGAGCAGGGCACTTGGAAGAACGAGGGATGGGGAGAACGAGAACCAACGGGAGAGAGAAGGAGAGAGAGAGAGATAGAGAGAGAGAGAGCGAGAGAGATAGAGAGAGAGAGAGATAGTGAGAGAGAGAGAGACGAGAGAGAGAGAGAGAGAGCAAGAGAGAGAGAGCGAGAGAGACGGAGATAGAGAGAAATAGAGCGCGGGATAGATAGAGAGCGGGCGAGAGAGTTAGAAAGACAGAGCTAGATAGACAAGGTGGGAGAGAGAGCGAGAGAGGGATAGAGAGAGAAAGAGGGAAACAACACCCGAAATTGCTCCAAAAACGTATGTTGATTGGTAATAATCACCCAAATATTGCCGGATGCCAGGCTGGGCATTGTTCCAAGAGAGATTGTGGAGATAGATGGTTATCAGCCAGTCGCGTGACGTTGTGCCCTCAGGGCAGATCCACGCGCACGACCGAGATCCCGCCGGATCCGGGTGATCAGTATGATGCAAATCAGGCTAGCTGAGATTGTTTAGGGGAAGGGCAAGCTAGCACAGATTATTAAGGAAGTGGTGGGGACATGCTAGCAGAGGTTATTGGGGGGGGGGGGGAGGAAAAAGGGGAAAAAGGGGGCAAGCTGGCAGAGGTCATGAAGGTGAAGGCGGGCTAGCAGAAATCTATTAAGACGACGGGCAAACTAGCAGAAATTCCTTGAGCGAAAAACGGACATCGACGATATGCTAACCGCGCTTTATGTCTTAGCTCAACTTCCGCCCCCCGGCCCGGAATGACGAAACCGAGCCGCGCCCCGAATCAGCAAATCGGCCCGGTCGGTGACCGGAAATGGACAGGGCGAGCGCACAAATTAGCAGCGCTCAAGGCCTCCGAAACGAGCACAAAAAATGCTGAAATACACCGAAAACTCCGGTACGGGGCAGGGTAGCAGAGATTTTGGGGAGGCAGGCCAAGAGTAAACCTGGTGGGAATGAGTAAATTAAATAAGTATGAGTTTATGAAAATTAAATGAGATCAAGAACCGGCCTGACAATTAGCCGCGCCGACCAGTTTGCGCCTAAAAACAGAATGACGATTTTCGGGGGAAGGCGCGCGCGGTTAATGAGGGAAAAGAGAGAGAGAGGATGAGAGAGAGAGAGAGAGAGAGAGAGAGAGAGAGAGAGATGTGCGCAGAAAAATCGAAAACCACAAAGTTGTACCCGAGCCGGGGTGGCCGGATTTTTTCGGGGGAAATACGAAAGTACGAAAGTGAACCTTGTTTCCAAATGATACCTCCTATGGCAAAGCCTAAGCCGAAGGTTACCCCTAGGTCACCTACCTATCTCGACCTACTCTTCACCTCAAAGACCAAAAAGAAGCCACTTCCTGGTACCTTTAAAACAATCTATAGCCCCTTTTCCTTGTGATAATCCTGCGTTTCGTGCATGATTAGAATCCCAGGGTGTCTCGTGTGATGATAGCCATCCCGAGGTGTCACGTGGCGCGAGGTGTTTGGTGGAAAAAGAGGCGGCTACGCGCCGCGCCTATAGCCACCACTACCCGTTTTATGAGAACTGATCCATCTTCTCGCCAGCCCAGCGAGCACGAGTGTTCCTTATCGGATGGGGGGAGGTGTGTGGAATCCGTGACATTTGGTTAATAAATTGGGGGCAGGCTAGCAGAGATTGCTGAGGAATAGGAGAGGGCTGGCTAACAGCGGCCATTTGAAGGTTGGAAAATTTTTTTTTTTGGTGCGTCCATAGTGCGATTCCATATCTGTCCTCGAAACACCGTTTCGCCAAGGTTTTTTTAAAGGAATCAACCCGGCGGCGTCCCGTCTAGCCGTCTCCATTTATCATCGCCCGTTTGAGAAATGGTCGAATCGCGGTGACGGCTCAAATCGCAATTTTTCAGCGTTTTTGCGCATTTTTCCCAGGATCTCGGGATGAGTTCAGCACCGGCGATTTGTTGAAACTGCAACAAATTGCAGTCAGTGCGGGCTAGCAGTGATCATTGCGGAAAAGCGAGGTAGGCTTAAGAAAGTGGATTCGGGCGACGCCCGGAAATTTTCAAGATCGAGCTCAAAACACAGCTCGGCGAAACCGGCGGATGTTTTTGTAGGCCGTGCTCGGAACTTGGATCCCATAAAATGCGCATCTTCAGTCTTGACCTCGAGAAGTTCTTGCAGGGATTTACGACGGGGATCCGGAGACAGGAAGAAAATACGTTAATTACTCCCCCGTATCTCTCTCTGTCTCTCTCTCTCTCTCTCTCAATCTCCCCTATCTCCGCTCCTGTTTCATGACGCCTGATTTTTGCTCCTTTCCTTTTGTCTAGTTCCTACTTTATCGAATCGTTTGCACAACATTTTGCTAACCGCAAATACCAGACAAAAAGTTTCAATTGAAGTCATTAAAGTTAAAGAATTATAAGTAGGTAATCTTCGTGACGCGGAACATTCCATAAGAGTCATCGTACGGCGAGTGGAGTTGGTTGTAGCTAGAATTAAAGAGGGTATATTTTTCTCGTATGGCCTTGTCCTCCACAAACTCTGCTAGCCTGCCCTCTCCGCTTCCTCAACAATCTCTGCTAGCCTGCCCTCTCCTCTTCCTCAACAATCTCTGCTCGTCTGCCCTCTCCTCTTCCTCAACAATCTCTGCTAGCCTGCCCTCTCCTCTTCCTCAACAATCTCTGCTAGCCTGCCCTCTCCTCTTCCTCAACAATCTCTGCTAGCCTGCCCTCTCCTCTTCCTCAACAATCTCTGCTAGCCTGCCCTCTCCTCTTCCTCAACAATCTCTGCTACCCTGCCCTCTCCTCTTCCTCAACAATCTCTGCTAGCCTGCCCTCTCCTCTTCCTCAACAATCTCTGCTAGCCTGCCCTCTCCTCTTCCTCAACAATCTCTGCTAGCCTGCCCTCTCCTCTTCCTCAACAGTCTCTGCTAGCCTGCCCTCTCCTCTTCCTCAACAATCTCTGCTACCCTGCCCTCTCCTCTTCCTCAACAATCTCTGCTAGCCTGCCCTCTCCTCTTCCTCAACAATCTCTGCTACCCTGCCCTCTCCTCTTCCTCAACAATCTCTGCTAGCCTGCCCTCTCCTCTTCCTCAACAATCTCTGCTACCCTGCCCTCTCCTCTTCCTCAACAATCTCTGCTACCCTGCCCTCTCCTCTTCCTCAACAATCTCTGCTACCCTGCCCTCTCCTCTTCCTCAACAATCTCTGCTACCCTGCCCTCTCCTCTTCCTCAACAATCTCTGCTAGCCTGCCCTCTCCTCTTCCTCAACAATCTCTGCTACCCTGCCCTCTCCTCTTCCTCAACAATCTCTGCTACCCTGCCCTCTCCTCTTCCTCAACAATCTCTGCTAGCCTGCCCTCCAGCTGTCGCCATCCCTTTAAACTTCTAAAATACTCACGCAGGCGGTCCGGCAGGATACGCCATTGTCGAGATCGGGATCACCATCCCTGGAGCGGAATACTGAGGCTCCATCACCCGAGGAGGAGGCATATATGCTGTACGAGGCGCTCCTGAAGCTGCACTGTTCCTTTCAAACGAAAACCAATGACCGCACATCATTAATGCGACATTTTTATGGCCTAGGCCTTGCCCCGGCTACCATACCAGGTCCCTTCGATGTCACCGGCTCTTCATAAATCGTGTTATTCTTCCGCCCGCAGCAGCAGCAACAAGCCGTCACGCACTCGCACAGCCCGCAGAAGCAGCAAATCTGAAACTCGAGTGAAGAATTTATTCATATTACTGGCGTTTTCCAAGACCTGAATCTGATGAATTTGCGTTTTCGAAAGTCTTTAAATCAGCAATATTTATTTCTGTTTCAAAACAGAAGTCTTGTTGGAAAATAAAATGAAAATCACAACACGGCACACCGGGGAGCGGAAGGCGAAAATTTGCACCCGAGTTGCATTTTGGCATTTGACCATCCAAATACTAAACGGTACTAAAAATAAACACTAAACTTTAACTTGATTGTATTTGCATGATAATTACAGTAATGACAAGACCTAAGCCTAAGCCTCAACCTAAGCCTAAGCATAAGCAAGCCGAGGCCTAAGCCTAAGCCTTAGCCCAAGCCTAAACCTGTTTTTCCAGGGCCTTCAAAGGGTGGCACACATAAACATGAAGCAGCAACCCACACAGCCCAGAATACACATTGCCGTCAAGAAGGCGCCCACGATGTGCCAGGCCCAGCGGCGCCAGCCTGAAAAATGCGTGATTACCGTAATCCTCAAGGAAGAATTTCTTTCAATTTTTTAAGACTTAAGATCATCTGACTAGTGCCGCGTTACACTCCCTTTCAGCTTTTTGAGCTGTTCCGCCGCCTTTAAAACGCACCATGCAAATGTTTGCCGTTTCTGGTGTCTGCATCATCATTTTGCCGGTTACGGTACCTCCCATTCCCCCAGATCCACCCCCAAAATGAGTCGCTATTCGAGGAGGGGTCATCTAAAAATGACAATTCCAGAGCTACCGTAACCCACAAATTACCGTAATTATAGTACTCGTCCTCCTGGTTATACGGTCCCGTGTAGTTTGACGTATAATTCGAAGACTTGGTCGTCGTTGCGCTTGTGTAGTTTGTAGTTCCGGCCACCGTACTTCCGGTGCGGTTACCGTATGCCGTCGTAGTTGTCGATAGGTGGACCGTGGAATTTGTGGGGTATACGGTAGTCGTAGTGGTCGTATCATAGGATTCCGTCGTATTCCTGGCTTGTGTGGTGCTGATTCCGGTTGTGGAATTGGAGGGTACGGTAGAATTCGCAGGTCTTAGCGTGGTGGTGGTGGAGTTTGAGTAGTATACGGTAGTTGAGGATGTGGAATTCGAGGCAACGGTAGAATTCGCTGGGCGTGGCGTAGTAGTAGTGGAATTTGAGAAGGGTACTGTAGTCGAGGTAACTGAAAAATTGGCAATTTTGCTAGGCTAACGGAAGAAATTGGGGAATTGAGGCAGGCTAGCAGAGATTGTTGAGGAAGAGGAGAGGGCAGGTTAGCAGAGATTGTTGATGAAGAGGATAGCGAAGAAAATTCAGGTAATTGGAAAAATACCATTAGCGCGAGTCGTGGCTGTCGTTGCGTTATATGGAGCTATCGTAGTGGTTACTGTAGAACTCGAATTATTCTTTCTGGCGGACGTGGTCATCAAGACAGTCGTGGTCGTAGTGGTCGCTAAATTTGCCTTTTTGCAAGTTTTCCGAAATACAAGAAAAATTTTTAGTCGACAAACAAATGCAAGTTACCTGAAAATGGGCCAAAAATGCCAAAAATCAGTAGGCATTCCCAGGCGCGGCGTCGCATTTTGAATTACCTGAAATTCTCATAAAATTAATCATATTAAATTATGAGGGTGATTTGAGTGGGCATAGGCTTAGGAAGGGTCTTGACTTCCCAACCCCTTTAAAAAACATCAGCCGCAATTTCGAAAGCGGCAACTGGACGTGGGCCGTGGACAGTTGCCCCTAGCATCGTTGCCAAATAGAATATCCAAAAACGGCCGAGGCGTTGCCTATGGTAATTCCCTCGCTCTTCCCCTTTTTTGGGATTTCTGAGCCCAGGAATTTTTGATGTTTTGACCGAGCGGTTGTGACGAAGACGTTCGAAACCAAAATATTGTGTTTTCTTTGCCTTTTCTGTATATTTTACAAGTTTAAACATTAGTAAGAGAGTTTACTGTGCAAATTAGGAACAAAATTCCGATTCAAGATTTATTTCGAAAGGCTTAGGGGGAAAGACTAGGCGAAAGAATGAAAGAGGCACAGAATGTACAGAAAAACAGCTCGCGAATCTGGCTTATTCCTCGTCGCTGCCAACTTCCTGGCTGGTCGTCTCGGAAGAGGAGAAGGTGAACGGGCAGCCGGGATCTGGAATGGGATGTATTTCCGGGGGTAGAGCTTCAAGCCAAAGCCAAACCAAAGCCAAACCTAAGCCTAAGTCTCAGCTTAACCATAAGTCGAAGCCGAATCCTAAGCCTACTAGGCCTAAGCCAAAGCCTAAGCCTAGGTCGAACCTAAGCCAAGCCTAATCGTAAGCCTAGGTCTAAGCCAAGCCTAATCCTAAGCCTAAACCTAAATCTAGGCAAAGCCGAACTGGGCCTAAGCCAAGCCTAAGCCTAAGCAAAGCCGAAGCCAGGCCTAAGCCTAAACCTAAGTCTAAGTCTATGCCTGACCTGGGCCGAAGCCTACGTATAAGCCTAAGTCTAAGCCTATGTCAAGCCTAATCCGCAGCCTAAGCTTAAGCCTAAGCTGAAGCCTAAGCCTGAGCTGAAGCCTAAACCTGACCGAAGCCTAAGCCTACGGGAAATCTATATCTCCACTCACTCTTCTTGCACTTCCGCTCCCTAACGCATCGTCCCTCAGTAGTCCTGGCGTATCCTGGGCGGCATTCGCAGAGTCCCTCGCCCATCATGCGCCACGGGCAGACACGGAACAGCGGGCAGATCTGAAAATTTAGCTGGTCACTCCCATTAATGCGTGAACTTACGGCGCGCTCCTTTCCGCAGACCGACTCGCAGATCGGGCCGCACTGGTTGCAACGTTCATTTTCCGGGCAGCTGACGCGCCAGCTGCAGGTGCCATTGACTGGGCCAGTAGTGGTGGCGGTAGCGACTGAAAGGTACTACTCAGCCTGTATTTGAAGGATTACGAGTAGAGGAAGGAGTTGAGGCGGTCACGGCGATGGTAGGCAGGCTTGGGAAGCCGTTACGAGAAGTTGAAGCTGTACCAGAGGTGCTCGAAGGATTCACGACGACGGTCGGTAGGGTGACGACAGTGAAGTTGGACCCTAAATCTCAAGCTGAATCTGAATCTCCTGACTTACGGCTGGTGGAGCGGGAAGTTGAAGCAGTTCGGGAAGTGCTCGTTGAAGATGCGTTCACAACGATGGTAGGAAGGGTACGGAGGGTGAAACGAGATGTTGAAGCAGTGCGGGCAGTGCTCGTTGAAGACGCATTGACAACAATTGTGGGCAGCGTCGGGAACGTGTTACGAGAAGTTGAAGCAGTTCGGGCAGTGCTCGTTGAAGACACGTTCACGACGATGGTAGGGAGTGTCCGGAAAGTGAAACGATAAGTTGAAGCAGTGCGGGAAGAGCTGGACGGTGTCACGGCAATTGTGGGCAGCGTGACCACCGTGAAGTTGGACCCTAAAAGGTTAGTGAAGTCGGGTTCTTTGGCCTACTAGAAGTGGAACGAGAAGTTGAAGGCGTTCGGGGCGTGCTGGACGAGGCATTAACGACGATAGTAGGCAGGGTCGGGATCCCGGTGACGTTGGTTCCTGAATCTGAGCTCGACCACCACTGCCGCGTCTTACTAATAGTGAAACGAGGAGTTGAAGCAGTTCGGGAAGTGCTGGATGGCGTGACAACAATAGTAGGCAGCGTCGGGAAGGAGTTACGTGAAGTTGAAGCGGTTCGAGAGCTGGAGGGCGTCACAACAATGGTAGGGAGGGTGACCACCGTGAAGTTAGACCCTAAATCTCGGCTGTTAAGCCGATTTTGCTGGCTCACTGCTGGTAGGACGGGAAGTTGAAGCAATTCGGGCAGTGCTGGATGACGACGCGTTCACGAAGATCGTAGGCAGCGTCGCGATCCCGGTGACGTTTGTCCCTAAACAGCGAGTTTAATCCGGAGTTTAGCGCCTACTGATCGTGAATCCAGAAGTTGAAGCAGGTCGGGAGGTGCTGGAAGGTGTGACGACAACGGTAGGTAGGGTGACCACCGTGAAGTTGGACCCTGAAGCTTGGCTTGAACCTGGCTTTTCTGACTTACTGCTAGTTGAGCGAGAAGTTGAAGCCGTTCGGGAGGTGCTGGACGAAGTGACGGTCGGGCATTCAGTGATGCCCACACAGACTCCGAGTCCGTTTCGCGCCAATCCCTGATTACACTGGCACACCCCGATCGTGCTAGTGCTCACGTTGCAAGCCATCGCAGGACAGAACTGAAAAAATTGAAACCACAGTACCGAATTTTCTACCGTAATCGGTTGCCCGCATTTTTGCTCGCATGCTGTTCCACAGGTGTTGCATTGCTCATTTGCGGGGCAGGGTACGGTGGCCGAGCAATTTTTAACGAGAAACGGGGTTACGGTAGGGAGGGAAGGCAGCGATCCGGGGAGTACGGTAACGGGCGGTGCGGTGTTGACGGCTAAAAACGCCAAATTCGCGCCACAAAATTTATTTTTTTACCGGCATTGGCTACCGTAGCCAGGAAAAGGATGGAGGTGATGTTTTTCTAAAAATTGGATTTAGACTATTTTTGCGGCCCAAGAAGACTTTTGAAGCCCAAGCCTAAGCCCAAACCTAGACCTAACCCAAGCCTATAAGCCTAAGCCTAAGCCTAAGCCTAAGAAAAGCCTAAGCCTAAGCCCAAACCCATGCCCAGCCAAGCCTAAGCCTAAGCCTAAGCCTAAGCCCACGCCTAGGCCTAAGCCTCAGCCCAAACCCATGCCCAGCCAAGCCTAAGCCTAATCCCAAGACTAAGCCTAGGCCCAAACCTAGACCTAATCCAAGCCTTTAAGCCTAAGCCTAAGCCTAAGCCAACCTAAGGCTAAAGCCAGCTCACTTACCAGAAAAGCCATAGCGCGAATGGGAAGGCAAAAGCTTGGATGTGTTCCAACTGATGCCTCCTCCCCCTTTTATACAATTTTCACCCCCGTGACCCACAGACCAAAAACACGCTAGGTTTATTTGCATTTTTCGGCGAGCATATTTTCGAACAAGTTTTTCACGTTTTTTCAGCTCAACCCGATCGGCTACAATTAGCGAACAAGATAATATTTAGCCCGGCGACTTGTCGGAATTGACGACATTGAAAATGTTTGCACAGCTGGATGTATGGTCCGGTAACCACCCGGTGGAGAAAACAAGCGTATTTTAGCAATTAGAAACAACCGGTTTTTTTCTGGAGGTCTTTCACGAAGTAGTCTAAAAACCTTAGCTTAAAATTGTACCTGAAAACCGTCCAAAAAAACTTTATATAAACACGATTCGATGTGTTTTTCGGGTTCGAATCGTGCAGTGAGCCGTTATAATACTTGACATACTGTTTTGACATCGAAATATCCTGATCGTGCTTTTCTCAGTATGATTTTAGATATCTGCATATAAAACTGCACTGGAATATGCTTTGAAGAATTCTTAGAAAGCGAGAGAAAGCAGAGACAGCGAGAGAAAGATGCTTTCCCGTCAAGGCCGCAAACATCGTAGCGTACAATTTAAGGGCTGTTTTGCCATAATTTCGTTTGGGCCACTAGTTTAAATTATGATTTTCAAAATCTGCATAAAAAACTACGCCGGAATGTGTTGAGAATGATTTTTCCGAGGCGAGAGAGTGGAGAGGCAAGAGAGAAAGATGTTGATGCATCGTTGCTGTATCGTCTGGCATTGCAAGGCAGTTTTGAGCGCAAAAGTCCCAGAGCAGACCATTCTAACTATGATTTCCGGAATTTGCTTATAAAACTGCATTGAAATATGCTTCGAAATTATTTTTAGAAAGCGAGAGAAAGGAGAGACAGCGAGAGAAACATGTGCGAGCCGCCCCTCCTCAGCGTGGTGATTTCGTTGATCGTTTGCCGATGGTTTCATTTAAGTCCGCTAGTGTTTTTGTGTTATTTTAAACGGAGCGGAATGCAGATTTACTAAGTACACCATCTTTATTACGAAGCAACTTTTATACAGACACAAGCTGGAGTGTTGCTCTAAGAAAAGTTGGAAGCCCGGCACCGCTCGGCAGGCTCACTTTTTGGACACGATGTTGCAGTTGCCCACTGAAATTTTGAATTTGTTAGAAAGTGAGAGAGAAGCGCGAGAGAGAGTGAGAGAGAGGGAGAGAGAAAGGTAGACAGCAGAAGCTCATTAATGCATGATCTTACAGCGGTTACAAGTCGGCTGTGCGACGCAGCGACCATTCGGATGTCTGAAGAATCCGGGACGACACTCGCAATTTCCCTGGGTATTACCGCAACTGGCCTGAGGGTAGAAAGGACAGTTCTGAAAATGTGAGATTGTAAATGATCTTCCTCTCCTCTTCCTCAACAATCTCTGCTAGTTTGCCACCCACCACAAGATTCGCTCCACATGTCTGCTCACACTTCGGGGTACAGTAGTTGCATCTCTCACGAGCCACGCATATCTGCGAGGCGCTGCACACGTAAACGCGACGCAGGTTCACGCCACAGTCCAGTGTCGGGTCGTCGATCGGGATCGTTTGATTGTAGTTTACTAAAAAATACCCAAATATCACTGCTGATCAGCCTCAAAGATTGCTCCACCGTACCCTGATTGCAAGTAGAGGCCAAGACGCAGCGTCCCGAGAAGTCACGCGCGTAGCCCGGGGCGCATTGGCAGTATCCGGCTGCGGCACATCGTTGGTTGGTGAAAGGGCAGTTCTGGAAAACATAGAAAATGACCTCTGCTAGAGCTACCTCTTCCTCAACAATTTCTGCTAGCCTGCCACTCGCTTTATTTCTTTCTCTCTCTCTCTCGCTCTCTCTCTCGCTCTCTCCCTACCGTAGTCCCTTGACCGCATCTCTGCTCACAGGGCACATTGCACGTATTACACATCTCGTTCTGTCCACAGTACAGCCCGTAGTCCTGCTGGCATACCGATAGATAACCTAGGGTATACTGTAACTGGAGTAGCCCTTCAGCTGACCTGCCCGGACATGAAGCGCGAGATGGGAGATGAGAATGAGCTCGAAAAGACGTTGCATATCTGCTGTAGAATACCCGTGTTTTCTAGCAATTTTCAGGCTTTTATAATGGTTTAGCGCGAACATCCGGCTGAGCCAATAAAATGTGGTTATTTTTGCCGTTCTGCCAATTTGCCAAATATTTGCCATGGTGTGGGTACGTTTTGGCGCGCTGTTTTGGACTTTTGAGTGCATAATTGTTAACCAGACAAAATCGATCCAAAGATGGTGAAGGCCTGATTTTAAAGGGAAATGGAAGGTGAAGCGCCTACCAAGCCCAAGCCTAAGCTTGGGCCATCATTGCATCCATAATCTGCGTAAACGAAACCTCAAAATCCTCAAATTTCCCCATTCTTTCAAAATGTCGTTCGAGCGACGGTTGCGTCGGTTCTTCGACGACCGAGATCGGAAGCAAATCCGGCAACACCAGCGGCGCAGCTTTATCGGCGACTTTTTCGTGAGGTAATAGCCGGAAAATCCGGAAATCATGATGCAAATTGCGCAATTAAGTAGATTTTGCTCTTCGGCTTTTGAAGCATTGCAATAAAAATTATGCAAATTAGGCTTGCTAATTTCAGTGAGAGCACGGCCTACTCGAACCTCCGCTTCATCACCAACTCAATCTTTGGGCTTGTCGTCTCGATTTGTGAGTTTTAAAGGGACTGGCAAGTCAGGGGTCAGGGGGACTTCGAAAAACCAAATTCCAGTGGCCTACTACCTCGTTTGGGAGAAGATCAACTTTGCCAATTTCCATCCGGTCCTTTCGCGGCTCTTCCAGGGATTCATGATTTTCGGGAACGCGTTCGTGTTTGCGAAGAGTCAGGTGAATATCTCTCCATCTCTCTCTCTCTCTCTCTCTCTCTCTCTCTCTCTCTCTGGCTTCTGAAAGTTAATTTTTCTAGCGCTATCGCTGCGGATTGGCCATTTTCCTGCTGGGCGTCTTCGGAACCAGCGGCCAAAGTGGGGAATTATGCAAATTTCCCACTCTAAAATTTCCAGACCTAATTATGGTCTTCGTCATGGACAACGCCCGCGAAGGGCCCATCGACAATATTTTTGATAATTTCCGGTTTATATTCTATGCTTTATGCAAATTTCGAGGTCAGAATCGCGACGGAGAACATCGTCTGCAGCGTGAAGATATCGAATGAGGTGCGAAGCTCATGCTTAAAGAGATGAGGACGGCATCTGTTGAACCCCCCTTGGGGAGGGGGGGTTCAACAGGTCCCGCGGCGATCTCGCGCGAGAGATGGCTCCCAGGGGAGAGGCGCAGAGACATTTTCTTTCCCTCGCGTAATCGATTGACTTATGCCGCCCCTATCTCTTTAATAAGCCAAGCCTAAGCCCACGCCTAAGCCCACGCCTAACCCCAAGTCTTTTCAGCTAGCCACCACCCGAGGGAAGGTGATGATCGGCCCGATGCGCGAGGTGCTCGAGCGTGAATTCTGTGAGTTTCCGTTTGAAGTTCTCTTCTCTTCACTCTCTTCACTCTCTTCAGACCGCTAAAAAAAATGTTAAGCCCCTGGCCATTATCCAAAATGTAAATCCTCATTTTTAGCCCGGCTACTCCGCTGGAAGGGCAAATTCCAGCAGTGGAGCTGTGGAGGGGAGTGTGGAGAGGTACCGGAGAATAAGGAGGAGAGCGAGGAGGAGAAGCAGAATCGGCAGATCGACCAGGCCGCATTGGTATGAACTTTTTCCTCAACAATCTCTGCTAGCCTGCCCTTTCCTTTGGCTCATCAATCTCTGCTACTGCTAATGCCTGCTCCCTTCTTCAGGACCTCGCCCAGCGCGCCAAGCTCACCAACTCGGACGACGGCTACGTCAAGGTCAAGCAGCCATTTTATGCAAAATTCAAGGACAAGGTACACAGAATTTTTGATGGAACTTCCCTTAGTTCGTGCGCAACATCGGGGAGAAGATGCAGGAGCAGTGCTCCCGCATCTTCGACAAGGGCACCCTGCTCTGCCACAAGGCGCTGGCGTCCCTGAAGGTGAGCTTTGACCAGTGATCTCTGCTAGCCTGCTTCTTACAGGAAAACTGCCGGGGATCAGCGCCGTTTCTGCTCACCGGGCTTGTTTGCAAGCCGCTGGACGCCCTGGAGTTGTGTGAGGTGAGTGGAAGGGCAGGCTAGCATAGAGATTTAGGACGACAAACGAAAAGAGGAGGGGTACAATCTCTGCAACGAGGCCCTCAGCAACGACATGCCCGACGGGTTCGAGAGGTCATTTTCGGAAAAAGCTTAGGCTTAGGTTAGGCTTAGACCTAGGTTTCGGCTTCGTCTTAGGCTTTGATTTGATGGCTTAGGCTCAAGATAGCGTCCGTTGATTTTTCAGCGAAACCATCGATATGCGCAACATCAGCAAGCAGGTCTCCGCCGAGCTGGAGACGAAGGTCCTAAAGGGCCATTGAAGGCAAAAATCCATACCGTTTCTTCAGCTGCGAATCGCGACCGTCGAGGCGCCGCGCATGTCGAGCACGCTGCACATCAAGTCGCTGCAGGCCAGCGTGAAACGCCTCATCCGGGTGGCCAAGGTGGGCAGTAGAGGTTTTTTGAGGAAACTTCGTAGGAATTTCTTCAAAAACCTCTGCTAGTCTGCCCCTATCTAGGAGCTGGTCGTCGCGATGGGCAAGATGCTGACCGCGCTCCTGATCTTTGTCGTCTACTTGACGTTCAAGCGCGGCTTCCGGATGGTGGATGCCTACGAGCGTGACTTTGAATACGAGAATCGCACGATTACGAGGTACCACCAGGGAATAGTACAAGTCTACAAACAACAAGCAGCTAAACCTAAGCCTAAGCCTAAGCCTAAGCCTAGGCCTGACAGACTACAAGTTCGCGGGCTACAAAGCACATCACCTCATTCCAGCGACTTTTGGAAGATCGACCGCGCGCGCGAGGCGAAACGCGAGCCCTGCCTGCAGACGCTCACCCAGCTCGAGATGAAGCAGTTGGGCGTGACAGAAAAGTGGCTCAGGTAGGCCTACACGAACAGCTTGTTTCCAAGAAACCGCCTTAAACCTGAAAATTCCAGATGCCCAAAATTCGCCGAGCTGCGCCAGATGTGGCTGCCACTCTCCAAGTTCACCATCTTCTTCGTGTTCATCGCTGCCATCTTTGCCATCGACCACTTGCTGTTCCGGGTTATGGGAGCGGTGCGTAGTCGTTTTCAGCAGGGAGGCAGGCTAGCAACGATCATTGAGAAAATTTCTGGCCTTCTGTCACTCTCCTTAGGAAAGTTTCAGGAAAGTTTTTTAGGTAATCTCTGGGATCCCGGTCCAGCTGAACGCCACCGAGTTGCCGACGCTGAATTTTAAGGTAGAGGGCAGGCTGGCAGAGAGTGTTTAGGAAGAGGAGAGGGCAGGTTAGCGGAGACCCTTTGATTTTCCAGATCACAGGCCAAGGGATGTTCCCCAAGCTGCTCAACAACCTCTTCAAGGCCAAGAACAGCACCCAGAAGAGTGTCTACATGCTTGAGGATTGTCTGGTAGGCGTAGCTTAGGCTCGCAGTTAGTCTGAGTTTCGTTTTTCCAATCACTTTTTCGCTTCAGGTCCCTCCAAAAGCCCCCGACTACGAGCGCGCCGTCGTCACCGTATTCCTGCCGCTGGCTTTTATGCTAATTTGCCAGGTTGGCCCATCAGCGTACCTTGCAATGTATGGGAATTTTCTTCAGGTCATCCTCTCCTTTCTCCCGAAGAAGCTGACCATCGCCTACGTGTTGCCGTTCTTTTTCCCGAGGAAAACGAGGGCTCGCCTGATTATGCTCTACAATAAGGTACTTTCATTCAAAGAATCTCTGCTAGCCTGCCCTCTCCTCTTCCTCAATAATCTCTGCTAGCCTGCCCTCTCCTCTTCCTCAACAATCTCTGCTAGCTGCCTTTTAGTGCCTGATCCATCGTCTGATGGGTCGTATCGAAGCACGACGTCGGATTCGCTTCTACGTCAAGTGGCGTAAGGAAAACGAAGCCGATTCTGATGACGACGGTGATGTGTAAGAATTTTGATTTGTATGGCTTTTAAAGGCATCTCTTTCCTTAGTACCTGTCTAAATCGCCGTGCCCCCCTCCGCCGCAAGATCATCGAGAACCTCTTCGCGTTGCATGAATGTTTGTTGTGCATGGTAAGCTAGAGTGATTAGGATCGGAAATACCTTTTAGACACACCTACGGACTCGGAACACGCGCTACTGCAGCGAGTGCGAGGCCACGTTTTGCCGCCCGTGCATGGCCGAGATGCATAATGTCTGCTATGCATGTCAGGTGAGAACGAGGGCAGGCTAGCAGAGATTGTGGAGGAAGAGGAGAGGGCAGGCTAGCAGAGAGTGTTGAGGAAGAGTAGAGGGCAGGCTAGCAGAGATTGTTGAGGAAGAGGAGAGGGCAGGCTAGCAGAGATTGTTGAGGAAGAGGAGGGGGCAGGCTAGCAGAGATTGTTGAGGAAGAGGAGAGGGCAGGCTAGCAGAGATTGTTGAGGAAGAGGAGGGGGGGGGGGGGGTTGGGGGGGGGGGGGGGGGGGGGGGGGGGGGGTGGGGGGGGGGGGGGGGGGGGGGGGGGGGGGGGGGGGGGGGGGGGGGGGGGGGGGGGGGGGGGGGGGGGGGGGGGGGGGGGGGGGGGGGGGGGGGGGGGGGGGGGGGAGGGGGGGGGGGCAGGCTAGCAGAGATTGTTGAGGAAGAGGAGGGGGCAGGCTAGCAGAGATTGTTGAGGAAGAGGAGAGGGCAGGCTAGCAGAGATTGTTGAGGAAGAGGAGGCGGCAGGCTATCAGAGATTGTTGAGGAAGAGGAGAGGGCAGGCTAGCAGATCCCATGTGCGAAAAATTTCCATGTTTTCAGGCCGAGAAGGGTCTCGTCAACTCCACGTACACGAACGTGCCTGAATATTTGCAGGTTCGTGCCCAAGGCGTCTAAAAAATGCAAATTTTAGCCTCCTCCGACCTCGTCGAGCCCGTGACCTAAATCGATTGATATGCCAATTTACTGTTCCCTCTCTCTGTTTTTGTCGACAATTTTGAGGATCGTTCCGATTTTTGTGTGATTCCCCTTCGCAGAGCTGATTTTCGTCGTCAATAAACGTATTATTTTTGTTTTAATGGCAATCTAGTAAAGTTTTTTTTTAAGAAAATGAGGGCAAGCTGGCAAAGATCATTTGAGCTTTTATCCGCTAAAAAATATGGAAATTTCACCCCGCAGCGGGGTAGCTTAACCTAAGCCTAAGCGCTGCGGGTGTTTTTGGGAATGCCCCCGGGCCATGGAATATTTTAGTGGCACATTGCGCGAATCGGAATTTCCTCCACTTCACGGGCTGTCAACCGGAAAATAGGGGATTTTTGGGGGTATACGATTTTCGTTTTTTCGTTTCCTGGAAGATCTCTGCCAGCTTGCCTTGTATTTGCGAGCTAGAGAGAGAGGGAGAGAGAGCCAGGAAGAGAGAGAGAGACAGAGAGAGCGAGAGAGAGAGAGAGGGACAGAGAAAGGGCGACGAGAAAGAGAGCGAGGAGAGGTGGATAGAGCGACAACAGAAATATTGTTTTTTCGCAGATAGTGATCGAAAGAAAATTGTTTCCCACAACGTTTCGTGCGATTTATTGCCCGCTCCGATCCAGCGGTCATTTCGCCTCCATTTTAAAGTGAATCCACAGGGTTTAGCGTATTTTCCAGAGTCGCTCTCTCTTTCTCCCTCCCTCTCTCTCTCTCTCTCTCTCTCTCTCTCTCTCTCTCTTCCCACATCTGGTTTCCGTTAATTCCAAAGCCCTGACCAAGCGCAACCTTTTCGCAACAAGCCCCAATTTCCCGACTGGTGTCCCGTTCTCAAAAGATCTCTGCTAGCCTGGTTTTGGAATTCTTTTAAAACCCCCTGAGGTTAAAGTGATTCTTCATCCGCTTGGCCCCGCCCCTTACAAGCCAAAGAGGAGCAGTCTAAAAATCGAATTTCCCTAGGGACAAAGGCCATTCCGGGGAAAGAGGGGACCTCGGCTCATGGCCTCTCGAAAACCAGAAGCATAATAACGATCGCAAAGTTTGGCAAATGGTCTCTGCTAGCCCTCCCTTCCTAAATGGTCTCTGCTAGCTGCCATTTTCTCCAAAATTGTCTTATAGCCTGCCCTCTCCTCTTCCTCAACAATCTCTGCCAGCCTGCCCTCTCCTTTTGGTCTGGGGGTACTGGTCTCTTAGCGGGGGAGGCAACCAATATAGCCTTATCTCGTTTTTAGTACCTTTTTAGTATTCGTAATTTGTTTATCACGAAAAATCATAAAAACCATTTAGAAAATTCTAAAAATTCGAATATTTTCTTATTTTTATGAGTTCCAATAGACTTTTCCATTAACTATCCTCATTTAGACACCAGTGTCTATAGGAATGTGGCGTAGCGAAGACTGGGAATGGGTCTTCGTCCCATTCCATACCCCTCGAGAGCTGCTGATCCCGCTCGGCGCCCTCTTGCTATGCCTACTGGCCGTTGGGTGTTTTTTGATAGCCTGTTGCTGCTGTGGGGAGCGAAAAAGCGGCGGGAAGGTGAAGCCGAGGAGGTGAGAAAGCTAACAAATCTATGCCTAAGCCTAAGGAAATCTAAGCCTGAGCGAAACCTCAGCCTAAGCACAAGCCTAAGCCTGAACCAACAAAAATCCCAATTTCCAGCCTCTGCAAGCGATGCGAACGCGACATCACGGCTCCTGATATCTTTGTCGAGCCACCTCGAGAATTGTGAGTCTCTTTCGTTTTCTCCGCTAGCATTCCTGGCTTCTCAGTCCCTTTAGAGCATTTTTTTAGTGTTTCTAAAAACCTCTCCCCGCCTCCCCCTCGTGAAAAACGATATATTTTTTCCTTCTCATGCTCTCTAAACCCAAATTTTCAGCCCGACGATGAGCTCCCCAAGCGCCCTCTCCATGGCCCCATCGATGCAACAATCTCCGCTCTACTACCGTATCCCGATCACCACAAAGAATGACAGTTCCTGGTCGGAGCCCTCGCCTCCCCTCCCACCGGCCCCACAAATATTTACCTTTGATACGTCGCGAATATTGAGAGAAATTATTGTTTAGTTCAGCGCTTGTAGGCCAAGCCTAAGCCGAAGAAAAACTCAAGCTAAGCCCAAGCCTAAGCCTAAACCTAAGCCTCAGCCTAAGCCTAAGCCTAAGCCTAAACCTAAGCCCAAGCTAAGCCCAAGCCTAAGACTAAGCTCACGTTAAGTCTAAGCTAAGCCTAAGCCTAAGCCTAAACCTAAGCCCAACCTAAGCCTCAGCCTAAGCCTAAGCCCAAGCTAAGCCCAAGCTAGGCCCAAGCCTAAGCCTAGCCTAAGCCTAAACCTAAGCCCAAGCTAACAAGGGAACCTCAAGTTGGCACGGTGGAATTTCGAAAAACGCTCGCGGCTACCCCTAGGTTTTCGACTATGGCGATTCCAACGGTCTAGTCAGAATTTCCTAAATGGGCCTCTGGACAGAGATACAGCACTTCCGGAAAATGATGATTTACATCCGAAAAATTAGCATTAGCGATAGGTTTATGAGGCCCTCCCATCACTATGGAATCACCAGTTGAATGGCCGAGTGGTAAGCGACTCACTTGATAGGATGCTGACCAGGGTTCGAATCCGCTCGCAATTTTTTTATTTTGCTTTTTGACCGGAAGTTTCTGCTCAACTCTAACTTTTGGTTTTTGCTATAAGAAAATTTTTTGGTTATGGCTCCAGGCTGGCTACTCCAAAGAAGCCTCAAAAATTCGCAAAAATTATGCGAACAGCTGGGTGTTCCCATCTCCGGTTTTTTTACAAATGGGCCACTCGGATGAGATTTTTGAATTTTTTTGGCTTCGCTAACGTTTTTCGAAAAATAAAAGTAGCGAAAACTTGGAGTTGGGCAGAAAGTTCCGGTCAAAAAGCAAAATAAAAAATTGCGAGCGGATTCGAACCCTGGTCAGCATCCTATCAAGTGAGTCGCTTACCACTCGGCCATTCAACTGGTGATTCCATAGTGATGGGAGGGCCTCATAAACCTATCGCTAATGCTAATTTTTCGGATGTAAATCATCATTTTCCGGAAGTGCTGTATCTCTGTCCAGAGGCCCATTTAGGAAATTCTGACTAGACCGTTGGAATCGCCATAGTCGAAAACCTAGGGGTAGCCGCGAGCGTTTTTCGAAATTCCACCGTGCCAACTTGAGGTTCCCTTGTAAGCCGAAGATAAGCCCAAGCTTAAGCCCAAGCCCTATTGGATTCGAGCCAAAATTCCCTTAAAATAGTTACCTTCTTCTTACTGTAATTTTGTTTTCCTGTCTTAAAATCGAGTTAGATTCGACTTTTGCGGGTATTTGCACTACAGGGTGTCCCAAAAAAACCCCCCCCCCTCTAGCGGCGCCCAGACGGGTCCGATTCTCGCCGTTTAGGTATCTATCGAAAGCTCTCGAAAAGGCGAGAAAACAAGGAGGGTTCATTTTCTTTATTATGTATTTTTATTGGCGAATTTTACCTCCAAAAACCATGAAAACGGCAGATTTACGCGAGATCTGCATGCTAATTGCGAAATTCCTATTGAAAAGCTGCCTGTTTTTTAGAAAAACGTTAAATATCGGACGAATAAGAATAAATCTTAGAAAATGAAGCCCGCTTGTTTTCTCGCCTTTTCGCGGGCTTTCGAATGGTATAAAAATTATCCTGATCGGAGCTTCCCACGGACCGCAGGGGGGGTTTTTTTGGGACACCCCCTATTTCATGCATTTTAGTCAAAATAAACGTTTTTCATGTATTTTTGAACATTTATCCCGATTTCCAAAATAAATAAGTTCAAATATTTGCTTTGATATGAAGTGTCGACCATTGTCCAGAATACGCAGCCCCAAAAAAATATTTTTCGGGGGGCTGGGGGGATTTTGTTTATTTGGATTGGTCAGCCATAAAAAAAAGAAGAGGCGTTTTTCAAATGTTTTTTTAAATTAATTTAAAATTTCAGAATTTAAACTGAGAATTTGGGCTTTATGTGGTGAGCAAAAAACCGTGCCCCGATATCTCTGGACCGCCCGCCGCGAATGGGCAAATTTTTTTCGCAAAAAATCGGGGCTTATCTTCGAAATTCGCCGGGCGCCGTCTGCTTCCGAAAGGTCGGATGGCGTCCCAGCTGGCAGATGTTTGATGAAAAGGTGAAAGTGAAAAAGGGCAGAAAAGGTTCCAAATTTGCAGATTTCTTCATCTTTGCAAACCTAAAACCAGGGCAGGCTAGCAGAGATCATTTGGGCCTCCAAAAATGAATATTCTGGTCATGCACGAATTTGCTGACACGGCAGTCTAGCAGAGCTTCTTCAGGGAAATTGAAGCAATTGAGAGAGAGTGCGAGAGAGAGCGAGAGAGAGATAAAGAGCGAGAGAGAGTGATAGTGAGAGAGAGAAAGAGAGAGATACAGAGAGAGAGAGAGAGAGAGAGAGAGAGAGAGAAAGAGAGCGAGAGCGCGAGGCAGAGAGTTACGGTGAGAGAGAAGGGGTGCTGGCAACGATCCGATGAGAAATCCTTCTGTAACCGTTTTGTTGACCGTGGGGTTTCGATACGTGAGGTATACATTTGTGCAGAATTTTCCTTTGATTCGAATCCGTTTCCAAATTGCGGAACCCCTCTAGATAAAAAAGTTACAGCCGGTTTTCTACCCCAAATGACCGAAAATTACAAACTTTAAATCCTTATAAAAAATTCGTGGAACATTTTGTGGGATAAAATACAGCCTCCAGGGGTAAAAACGTGCTCTTTCGAATGGGCTACCTCACGGACCCGTAGCTCAAAATTCACAAAATTTCAAAATTGGCCATCCAGGGCATTGGTCCACCGGAAAACTTTTTCGTGAATTTTGAGCTACGGGTTCGTGGGGTAGCCCATTCGAAAGAGCACGTTTTTTACCCATAGGGGGCTGTATTTTATCCCCCAAATTGTTCCACGAGTTTTTTATAAGGATTTAAAGTTTGTAAATTTCGGTCATTTGGGGTAGAAAACCGGCCGGACGTATCTGAGGGGTTCCGCAGCCTCAAAACGGATTCGGAATCAGCGAAAATTCTGCACAAAATGTGCTATCTCACGTAATCCCACGGTCAACCAAAAACGGTTACAGTTAGTGACTGAGTTGTATCTGACGTTGAGAGTTCATGCGTACGCCCCGCTCCGTAAGTACAAACCAGGTATTTCCTGCCTCTCTCTCTCTCTCTCTCTGTCTCTCTCTCTCACTCACTACCAAAAATCTCTGAAATCCAGCGAGACAGTGTCGTACGTTTTTGGGCCACAAAAGGGCAGATAAGAGGTGAGAGGGCAGGATTGTTCATTGGAATTGGGCAAATTGGGCGGAACGCTAAGGAGCAGTTTTCATAGCCCTAGGATTTTTAAAAAAATTTTCTAGGATTTGGCATGCTTGGCTCGTTAAATGGACCGGAATCCAAAAATTAACGAACAATCTCAAAAACATCGATTAATGGCTTGAAAAGCCAAGGATTCCTCGAATGTTAGATCCGCAGCCTTCCACAATAATCGCTGCTAGCTTGCCCTCACTATAAATCATTTTCTCAGCTTTCCGGATCCGGAAAACCCCGGACCTGCCTCCCTTTTTTGCCCGATTTTTTCGTGGGGAGCGTGATTTATGGCCGATAAAAGAGGGGGGAGGGGGTCGGGCGCCAATCAGATCAGATTTCTAAAGAGTGCGATCCCGGGTGGTCTTTTCAAAATATTTCTCTTTCCCTCTCTCTCTCTCCTCTCTCTCTCTCTCTCTCTCTCTCTCCTTCTCTCTCTCTCTCTCTCTCTCTCTCTCTCTCTCTCGACATTTCCGATTTTTGCTATTCGTTTTTGAGGTGCTGAGTAAACAACATGATCTCACCCACCTGTTATTATTATCGGTATCGGCGCCCCCGAAAAGAGTTGCCTCGATTTCCTAAATTTATAGTTTACCCTTTCCGCTCAAATAATCTCTGCCAGACTGCCCTCTGCTCTTCCTCAACAATCTCCGCTAGCCTGCCCTCTCCTCTTCCTCAACAATCTCTGCTAGCCTGCCCTCTCCTCTTCCTCAACAATCTCTGCTAGCCTGCCCTCTCCTCTTCCTCAACAATCTCTGCTAGCCTGCCCTCTCCTCTTCCTCAACAATCTCTGCTAGCCTGCCCTCTCCTCTTCCTCAACAATCTCTGCTAGTCTGCCCTCTCGTCTTCCTCAACAATCTCTGCTAGCCTGCCTTCCGTAAAACAACCAGCTTTTCAGCAAATGGGCGCTGACAGTATGACAAAAGTCTACCCCCAAGGCTGGGAGCTCCAAGAGAAGCCGGCATTCGAGGAGGGGTAAGTACTAGCAAATTTTAAAGGGAGAGTGACACCTGGAGCTTTTTTTCAGAATCCCGCCCAAGCCCGACGAAAACAACGCGCTTGGGGCAAAGAAAGGCGGGCTCACGTACGTTACATTTTGCTGCTAATAATTTACAACGTTTTAGGCGCTGGCAAACGCTTGCAAGCTTATGCAAAAGCATGGTCGGCGCCGGGATCCTGTCGCTTCCATTAGCCTTTAAACAGGCTGGTTTATGGGTGAGTGGGCAGGCTAGCAAAGGTTGTTGAGGAAAAGGACAGAGCAGGCTAGCAGAGATTATTTGAACCATTTCAGACTGGCCTAACCCTGATGCTAATCTTCGGCTTCATCACCTATCAGAGCTACAAGAAAATTGTCGTCTGTTCTCATTACTTAACCAGAGAGTAAGCTAATTGATTTACGTTAGCTTAACTACTTTGTGTAGTTGTTAATTACGTACAAGAGGCTTTAATGGCGGAATTATTTTTTTAGGTACGGTTTCGATCGGCTCGATTATGGGTGGATGGCGCAGCGGGCTTTTGAAAAGAGTCTCCCTCCATTCCACCGATTCGCCGTCCCAATGAGGCAGGCTGGCAAAGAGAATCCCAGTCATCTTTCCTAAAAGTCATCTTTCCTAAAGTCATCTTTCCTAAAGTCATCTTTCCTAAAAGTCATCTTTCCCAAAGTCATTTTTTCCTAAAAGTCATTTTCCCAAAAGTCATCTTTCCTAAAGTCATCTTTCCTAAAAGTCATTTTCCTAAAGTCATCTTTCCTAAAAGTCATTTTCCTAAAACTAGGTAATCGTAAATTTTTATTTTTCCTCAATCATTTTTTTCTAAAAACCATTTTTTTCGAAGATTAACTTTTTCTGAAGTTAGGTAGGCGAATAGGGATGCCACCTCCGCCTAACTCCCGAAAGATCTAGTACGGCGTGGAGACCTTAAAATTCTAGGGCCCAGTCCTCTCCAAAAAAATTTGCTTGCAAAAAAAAAGCAACTGAGAAATATTGATTTTTAGGAAAAATGACTTTTAGGAAAAATGACTTTTAGGAAAAATGACTTTTAGGAAAGATGACTTTTAGGAAAAATGACTTTTAGGAAAGATGACTTTAGGAAAGATGACTTTAGGAAAGATGACTTTAGGAAAGATGACTTTAGGAAAGATGACTTTTAGGAAAGATGACTAAAACCCTGGCAAAGAGTATTAGGGACGGAAATCGATTTTTAGACACCTCGTCAACATTTGCATCTTTGCCATGCAGCTCGGGATGTGCTCGGTTTATGTCGTTTTCCTGAAGGAGCACGCGAAAGAGGCAAGCTAGCAGGGCTCGTTTAGGAAGGCTAGCAGAGATTTTTTGAGGATTTTTTGAGGATAAGCCTAGTTAGAGAATGAAATTAAGTTTTTTAGTTAATCGACGAAAAGGCGCCGGACAACCACATCAGCAGCGTCCTGTATTATTTGGTGGGATTCCTGGCGATTAGCATGCTGGTGATGATCCGGAATTTGAAGTAAGTCTAAGTCTAAGCCTAAGCTTAAGCCTAGGCTAAGCCTAAGTAAAAAGGCTAAGCCTAAGCCTCAACCTAAGCCTAGTCCTAAGCCTAAGCCTAAGCCTAAGCGTGCGCCTAAGCCTAAGCCCACGTCTTTCAGAGTGATGGCCCTGGTGTCGATGGTGGGGAATGTCCTGATGCTTACCGCCCTCGCCATCATCATGCAGGTAAAACCTGTCTTTTTTCAATACTAAAATTATATCCCAGTACCTCGTCCGGGCCCACCACGTCATCGGCGAGATCCCAGGGTTTACGGTAGATGATCAAGGTTTTCAAGGTTGATAATTTTAGAGCATCAACGGTTTGGTGCTGTCCGCCGGATCGATATTGTACGCTTACGAGGGACAAGCTGTGGTGAGTTTTTCGGTTTCTAAATGGCCTCTGCTGGCTTGCCAAACCTAAGCCTAAGCCTAAACCCAAGCCCGGCCCGCCCTAGGCCGCCGGCGCGCGCCGAGCCAAGCCGCCAAGCCAGGGCCGGCGGCCTAGGCCTTGCTTGAGCATATCCCCCGAATGATCTCTGCTAGCTTGCCAACACTACCAGTCTTTTCAGATCCTCCCCCTCGACAACAAAATGAAGCGACCGAAGGAGATGCTCGGCGTGGCCGGCGTGTTGACGATCGGATGCTCACTGGTTACGATAGGTAATTCATTATTCCTTTTTATTAAAGTCGCAGTTTACACAACGATCGGCTTCTATGGCTATATCACTTTTGGCGACGACACCAAGGCGAGCATTGGCCTCAATTTTGGCAAAGAAACGTGCGTTTTAAAGGGTTTGTGAAGTCAAATAGGCAGCTAGTTTTTAGACGTCGGCAAGCTAGCAGAGATCCCTAGGAATCAGATCCCGCACTAATAGCCATTTTGAAGGGGCTATGACAGCCTTAAAAATCTATTTTTAACAGTTTACTCACCTTCCTAAGATCTTGAGGCGTAGTTCCGCATTCCGAAATGATCTCTGCTAGCTTGCCTCAACCGCTTTTTCCTTAAATAAACGCTGCTAGCCTGCCCACCACACCCCTGATTCTTGTCTTTTTAGGGAATACTTCATCATGAAAATTCTGCTCGTCACCGTCGTATATTCGACATATCTGGTGCAACAATTTGTGAATGTGGACATTGCCTGGCCGCCGATTAAGGTTTGGCTCTCTCTCGCTCTCTCTCTCTCTCTGTCTCTCTCGCTCTCTCTTTCACTCTCTCACCCTTTACCGCAAATTTAGGCTGCCATCAAATCGCGGAACCTGGCACCTCATTTGCATCTGCTGTGGGAGGCCCTCTTCAAGATATTCCTCGTCTGCCTTGCTTGTAGGTTTTAAAGGAACCTGAAACCTCCTAAAAAATCTCTGCTTGTCTGCCCTATACCCAATTTTAGTCGGACTCGCCATCGGGGTGCCGAATCTGGACGACATCATTCCGCTGGTGGGCGTAACGGCAGGTGGGAAATTCTCTAATGAATCTCTGCTAGCCTGCCCTCTCCTCTTCCTCAACAATCTCTGCTAGCCTGCCCTCCCCTCTCCCAACAATCCTCTAGCCCCCCTCCCTTCCCAACAATCCTCAGCCTGCCCCCCTTCCCAACAACCTGCAGCCTGCCCCTCCCTTCCCAACAATCCGCTGCCGCCCCCCCTCCCAACAATCCTGCTAGCCTGCCCCTCCCCCAACAATCCTAGCCAGCCCCTCCCCCAACAATCTCTGCTAGCCTGCCCCCCCTCCCAATCCTGCTAGCCAGCCCTCTCCCCCAACAATCCCTAGCCTGCCCCCCCTCCCAACAATCCGCAGCCCCTCTCCCTCCCAACAACGCAGCCGCCCCCCCTTCCTCCAACTCTGCTAGCCTGCCCTCTCCTCTTCCTCAACAATCTCTGCTAGCCTGCCCTCTCCTCTTCCCAACAATCTCTTAGCCTGCCCTCTCCTCTTCCTCAACATCTCTGCCTCTCTCTGCTATGTTGTCTTCTAAACCAAATTTCTTTAGGAATGATGCTCTCCCTAATTCTCCCGGCTCTCTGCCACTTTGCCACCTTCCTTCCGGAATGGCTGCGTGACCGGAAGTGGGCGGAAATGGCCTTCCACACGACTGTCAATGCCACTCTGCTGGTTCTCGGAATCTTCTTCTTCTGCTATGGATTGTACACAAACATGAAGAACATCATCTCCGGCAAGGACGATTCATAGACACTGTATTTTATGCATTTTTAATTTTTTAATTGGTTTTCCGACGTTTTTATCCCATTTTTCTCACTTGGTCACAACTGTATTTTGAGGCTTTCGTGATTTTGCTGAATGATCGCATCGGGTATTTTTGTTTTTATGATGTGTGTATGTTTGTTTTTCTATTTTTTGCTCTGGTTGTCTGGTCATTTGGCTAAATGGATTTCGATAAAAGAATTGGAAGCAGATGCGGTAAAAGTTGACAACGCATAAGCCTAAGCCTAAGCCTAAGGACAGGGATAACCTTGCTTCGCGAACCAACTTCAAAAACTGATTCCGACAAGCTCTCTGCTAGCCTGCCCGGGCTGATATCTGATTTCCCCAAAAAGGATAGAAAGTGAGAGAGAGAGGGGAGAGAGAGAGAGAGAGAGAGAGAGAGAGAGAGAGGATACATGGGCCCGGGGGCTATGGTAATTCCATCCGCCTTTTCCGGTGTGGGACCGCTAATGGGCGGATTTGGTGGAAGAAAAGCAACCAGCGAAATGCAGCTTGATCCCTACGATGTCGCGACAATTTCGAAAATTCTATTTCTTAAGCTGTATTTAGGTTTAGGCAGTCTTAGAAATGCCGCGGCGGCGTCGAGTCGATGATGTTGGGCACAGCATCACCTCGGATCACATACAATTCGAGCCGGATATGCTCAAGGTAGGGCTGACTAGCAGAGATTGAAGGAAGGGGAGAAGGCAGGCTAGCAGAGATCATTTCCCCCCGTTCCAGCCCACCCTTAATCGATTTGCTGAGGACACCTCGATGCTGGGTTTTCGATACCTACACACCCGCTACAAAACATGGTTCCGGTAGGGAATTTTTGGCTACTGTATAACTTACAAATTCTAATTTTCTTTTTTCAGCATTTTATGGGCGTTCATCCTGTTCTTCTTCCTCGGGCTGACCATCTACCAGGTGACGGATCGCATCAGCTACTATTTTATTAGGTATCAAAATTCTCGGAGTTCAAAAATGCATTTTAGAAACCCCTTAAAAACACAACGGATCTATGACACGCCGACCGAGATGCCATTTCCTACCGTCATCATTTGCAACAAACTGCAAATCAAGTAAACAAATGATCTCTGCTAGCTTACCCTCTCCTCTTCTTCATTTCAGGGCCTCAGCGCTAGCCACAATGGCCCCGGGTCTTCTCTCGTTGATGGCCGAGCTCAGCGAAGATGACGGCACCGTGACGGCTGATCAAAAATTGATGTAAGAATTTCACGACCCCTTTCAGGTACCGTATCGCAGTCACTAAAAACCGAGAAATTGCGGAAGAGTAAGAGAGAGAGAGAGAGAGAGAGAGAGAGAGAGAGAGAGAGTGACACAGACTTTCATTCATTTTAGAGCCTCCCTCTCCCGCTTCGACAACATCAGCAGCTTTGACGTCTACAGCCGGGGTCGGCAGAAGCTGGAGGATCTTATTATCAGGTGGGCAGGCTAGCAGAGAATATTCGAAGTATCTTTACCTAACCTAAGCCGAACCCAAGCCAAAAAAAAAAAAAAAATTTTTTAAGCCTAAGCCTACACTTACCTTTAGCTGTGAATACGGCAAAGCCCGCTCTTGCTTCGATGACATCCGTCCCATTTTCACCCCCAAAGGGGTCTGCTACGAGGTGGCCCCGAATATGACTGTACGCAGGCCAGGTACGGATTTTAAAGGCACATTGAGGCAAGAAATCCCGTGTTTTGGGCCCGGAGACGACGTTGTCACTGCTTCTGAACCTAGAAGTCAACGAGGCAATACCAGGAACGGTGGTCGAGCCGGGCGTGATGATTGGGCTATATGACAAACGGTAGAGCGGGCTAGCAGAGATTGTTGAGGAAGAGGAGAGGGCAGACTAGCAGAGAAAATTGGAGATTCCAGCGAATTCCCATCTACAGTCTACAGCGAGGGTATACATCTTGAAGCCGGAAAGGTCGTGACAATCCCTGTAAATGACGTCAGAAAGGTAGAATTTTCAGCATTTTTCCCGAAAATCCTGTGCTAGCCTGCCCTCCTCTTTACTACTAATTTCCAGCTGTTTCGCTACGAATCCGAGTGCGGGCGACGTGGCGTCGGCCCCTTCAACCGTACGCAGTATTCGCGGGGAGCGTAAGTGTTTATTTGCCTCTGACTTCCCGGTGCCTTCTAAGGAAATTTCACTCGCATTTAAATATTTTAATTGTGATTAAATTTAGCTGCCAATGGGCCCGACAGGCTGAAGCCGTAGAAAAGCTGTGCGGCTGCCGACCGGCCATCAGCCCCCATCATCGGGCCAAGTTTTTCGCGGCTGACTCGGATGAAAATCCGCATTTTGATAATAATGTGAGTTTTTGGAGCTGGGCAGGCGAGCAGAGGCCATTTAGGATAAGGGCAATCAAGCAGATATCATTTGCGCATTTTCAGATTCCGGCGGCACCGCATATGAAGAAGAAGAAGCGCCGTACCAAGGCCCCGCCCCCATGTACGATACGGCAGGAATACGAGTGCGCTTTGAATGTTACGGTAGGTTTTTGTATCAATGCATTAATGGCAGGGAACCATTAGACGAAATGTCTCTGCTAGCCTGCCCTCTCCCTCCTATTAATGCTTGTTCCAGACCAACTTCCCCCTCGTCGACCACCACGAGTGTCCAGAGGACTGTGAAGAAGTCTCCTATTCCTCCGTTGTTTTTGGAGGTCAGTGGACCCGGCATTTCCTCAATAACCTCTACTAGCTTGCTCAAAAGCGCTCTAAAGAGATAGAGCCCCTATGAAAATGCATTTCCAGGCCGCCTCAATCCAAATGACATCGAATCTCTGCTGCCCTCGGATTGGGAGGATATTAAGGAAAGGAAAATCGATCGAATCCAGGTATAGATTTTCCATTAAAGGGCCATTGAAGAAGAAATCCCCAAAAAATCCACTATTTAGCCGGCCCTCGAGCTGATCCCGAACCACCGGATCCCCGTCGTGCGCTCCGTGCAGCAGCTGGCTAGCGAGGCCGGCAATTTTTTGGATATGGCCATTAGTGAGTCAGTTAGGCTTAGGCTTAGGTTGGAGCTTAGTCCTAGCATTTGACTTCGGATCTTCGCGATTTTCCAGAAATCCTGAACGTCACCTCGTCGAACAGCTCGCTAGTACCATGCCTCGTCATGGACGGAATCCGCGTAGCCGACCGGACGATCGGGCAAATCTTCACGCGCGAGCGGATCTGGCGTAACATCGAGACGTAAGGCAGGCTAGCGGAGTTTATTGGATCTTGCCAGTTCCTTTAAACCCAAAATCCGGCAAAAAACCGATGTTCAGCTACCTCGAACTCGTTTTCCCCCACAACATGGAGGCGATTTTCGGGGTGCTTGGGCTGCATATGACTCCAAATTACACCCTGGAATATGTGGAACTTGGAGGGAGGGTTGATGATCGATTGGTGAGAGTTCGGAGACTTTTTGATCTAAATACCAGCTGGATACTGCCCTGCATAACATTGACCAGATCGAGATTTCTCTCCGGGACCCAGCTACCGTATTCGGGCTCAAATCGATGGATCCGCATGATAGGGCGCCGGTTGTGCACGCAGGTATTTGCGAACAATCCCTGCTACTGCCCTCTCCTCTTCCTCAACAATCTCTGCTAGCCTGCCCTCTCCTCTTCCTCAACAATCTCTGCTAGCCTGCCCTCTCCTCTTCCTCAACAATCTCTGCTAGCCTGCCCTCTCCTCTTCCTCAACAATCTCTGCTAGCCTGCCCTCTCCTCTTCCTCAACAATCTCTGCTAGCCTGCCCTCTCCCTTCCTCAACAGTCTCTGCTAGTTGCACCTATGGATTTGCCTTTCCGTGCCCTTAAGCCGAATTTTAACCACATGTTCAGTCCGTCATCTCTTCGTCGAGGCCGGGGTCTGCCTGTCCAAGGTTTCAGACGAAATAAATCGGCTTGAATCTTCAGAATCCACACTTCGTACCCTTATCTACCAATGCAGGACGGTAATCTGCAGGTCCCTATTACAGTTTTTAAAAATTTTCAGGACTTTGCCGCTCAATACGAAATGTTGGCCGAGTCACACCGCTTCATGACGAGCTTGGATTCACATGGTAGGCCTGAGCCTACCTCTGCGCCTAAACAGTTGATTTTCTAGTATTCTCCGACTACGAAACTATGGTTTATCGCCTCACCTCAGCCCTGCAACGCGTTCGTTTCCAGACCCACCCTAAGATCTTCAACTGGCACGACCACCGCATCCATTTGCGTGACTTTGTCCAGTTGTACAAGTATGAAAGCTCAAAAAACGTGAATTCTGCGCGTTAAGGGAAGGCGGAAAAGACCACCAAGAGATGGGAGAGCTGATGAAGTTAAGAAAAATCATCAACCTCGATTTGGCGGAAGCCGTGAGTTCGTAAAAGGGGTGGGCTAGCAGAGATTGTTGAGGAAGAGGAGAGGGCAGGCAGCAGGAGGGGAAGGGGGGGGGGGGAGAGGGTTGGGGAGGGGGGGGGCAGCAGGTTGTTGGGAAGAGGGGGGGGCGGGGGGGGGGGGGGGGGGGGGGGGGGGGGCTAGCAGAGATTGTTGAGGAAGAGGAGAGGGCAGGCTAGCAGAGATCATTTGCAGATCAGCTCGACCAGCCAGGCCCTAGACGCCGCATTAATGTCACGCCAATACTTCATCGATCGCCTGGGAATTGCTGAAGCATCGACTGAGCAGGTATATTTCTGCCTTCCCCGGCCCTTTAACCTGTTTTTAAGGTCCACCACCTGCGCCAGATGAAGCAGTGCATGAAGGACATTGTGCCGAAGCTGCAGCCGTTGCGGGTAGGCAGCTTTCTGGGCGTAAAAGTTCTCTGCTAGCCTGCCCCACCCACCTTCCTAACTTAACTTCCAGCGTTCCCCATTCGTGCGTGCCGAGTGGATGTCACGACTCGAACGGCTAGTAGAGCAGGCGCAGGCCTATTCACCGGGGATACAGTACGATCGGTGAGTAAGCCTAAGCCTAACTCTAAGCCTAAGGGTGAACTTTTAGCGTAAACCTCCTCCACGTCAAGCTCTACTACGCCCACTTCAAGCAAGAAATCATTCGCCAAGAAAAGTCATACAACCTCTTTCTCCTTCTTGGTAGGGTACCAATTCCGCAAAGGATTTATGCTAGCGTGCCCTCTGCTCCTTCTAAACAATCTCTGCTAGCCTGTCATAATTTCCATTTTTAGCCGAGATTGGTGGCACGATCGGGCTCTACGTCGGGGCGACGCTGCTCACCGCCGCCGAGACGTTCGTGTTTTTCATTGAGAAAAAGACTCGGCGCATCTTGTTGAAGCCACAGTTTTGCTGAATTTCCGCCTATATTTTTAGTGCATTGGCTTGGAATTTTTGTAATAAAGGTGTAGTTGGTTATCTAGACCACAACAACAGGAAGTTTTATCGAAAAATGGCCATTTTTGGCGCTCAATAGCGGCGGCGGGCTGCGCCAAAGCGCCGTCCGCGCCATCTCTGGATGAGCGGCGAGACGAACGGGTTCTCGATGTAGCGGGGCATGTTGTCTAAATGCCCACGAAAATTAGCCAGAATCCCGACAACCAAAAATCCCGACACCGGAAATCCCGATAGCCAAAATACCGACAGGTCGAAATCCCGACAGCATGTCTTTATTTTGGCTGTTGGGAAATCGACATGTCGGTATTTTGCAGCCATGATGTCGGGATTTCGGGTACCGAGATTTTTCGCTATCGGTATTTTGGCTGTCAGGGATTTTGCCATCTTATTTTGATTTTTATCTGCCGGTATTTTGGCTGTCGGGATTCTGAATTTAGACAAAATGCTACCTGTTTCCCTCGGAATCTCGGCTTCGACCGTCAGACGCTCCAGCGGCACTTTTCCCTCTTCGGCAGCATCGAAACTGGGCGCTCTTAAACTAATTTTTGACATTTTTCGTCTCTAAAAATCTCTGCTAGCCTGCCCTTAATACGCCGATCGCGGAAAGAGCTGAAAACCAGTAAAGAAACGCACCTCCTTGCCGGCGACACGTCGAACATCTGGCGAATGTTCAACGCCTGCGTGTACAAGGCGCTGACCGCCAAGAAGAGGCATGAGAATCGGATCAGCGCGCCCAGCATTGCCCTATTAAAGCCGCGAAATTCAGTGAGAGAGGGAGAGAGAGAGAGAGAGAGAGAGAGAGAGAGAAGAGAGAGAGGAGGAGAGAGAGAGAGAGAGAGAGAGAGAGAGAGAGAGAGAGAGAGGAGAGAAGAAAGAAGGTAATTTCAGAAAAACTCAAAAAAAAACGAAAAAGGCCTCGTAACAAGGAAGAAAATACGGAACTTCAAATGGACCACCAAAATTGGCATCGCCAAAATGATGGGGGGCGGGGCATAATTTTGTGAGGATTATAGGGGAGGGCAGCAGGACACCCTATAATAACAGCTACATGCATATCCGGCCATTTTTGGTGTTTTGTGCCCAAAATCTGACGCCATCCCGGCACTTTGGATTAGGCAGGGCAACTCGGCCTTTGACAAATTTTTGGCAGGCTTCTTTTGCAAAAAAAAACAAGCGTCCGATTTTCCAACAAAATTTCAGAATTTTAACGTTCACTGGAGGTAAAAACGGTTCTTGTTCGTTAACGGGGAGGGGGAGGCGCTAAAAAACCCTAAAAACCTTGCGACTTTGCCTAACCCCGAAAAATACAAAAAAGACCCACTTTTTTCGGTGCAAGCCTAGATTTTTCAATAAAAATTTAATTTTAGGCCGAAAAATTGGAAAATTTGTCGAAATTCGAAACGGTCGAAAACTTTTTTAACTTTTTTGAAAGTTGTTCTACTTATAAAAACCTTTATTGGATTACTAAGCCAACTGAGATCGCCAGGAAAAAAAATTGTTTTTGGATTTTTAATGTTATTTAATTCGCCCCCCCGATATTGCCAAAGCCCCGGCGTTTGTGATGAGAAGGTAAGGAGGGTAAAGTGAAGCCCGGGCTGCCCCCCAGGGCGACACTCGGCACTAACAAATTGCTTATTCAATCAAGGGCCTCCCATTTCAGGGCCCGGGATTTCGTTGGAATCACCTGTTGAGCGAATTGCCACCGGGGGCCATTTGAATGGGCGATAATGTGGTGGTAAAAAATAGCCATAACTATCACGCTATTGCAAATTGGAATTGGTAGGCGGAAGTGAAGTGGAAGAGCCAAAACCGAATGGAAAAAAAGAAAGAAAAAAGTAAAAAGCGGAAGACCTAATTTTTTACAATATTCCCAGAAATGCCTAATAATGGTGTAGGAAGTATTTTAATAGTTTTTTCGTAGCATTTAACTGTATCTCAAGTAGAAAATGCTAAAAACCTTTTTAAAGTGTCTAAAATATCTAAAATTCGAAATTTTCATCGAAAACTTGGCCATTTTTGGTCTTGGATGATATTTGATGGTTGATGGTTGATATTTTTAATATTTCGTAATTATTAAATACGATTTTTAATTTACTTATTTACGAATTCGGGCATTTAATTTTTATGTAGTGCATTATCGTCGTTATTCGTTCATTTTAGTAATACTAAAAATAGTGTAGAAACACCCACTCTATGTAAAAATTGGATATTAAATAAAACGATTGGTCCCCCCTGCTAATGCCAAAGGACCTAGAATTTCACCGAATTTCGAATCGTGGGAGTCGAATTTCATAAATGTGAGACACTTTCCATTACAGTACACTCTACACCGCAATTGTAAGGTGTATCGTACGGAAATTTCAGGTATTGCTGTTTGTAGCTTTAGAAGATTTTCTCTTTTTCATAATTTTTAGTAAAACTTAGCAAAATCGTTTATCGAAACCAAATGAACTTTCCCAATTTCTTTTTTTCAGGCGGCCCTCGATGCTGCTGACATGCTTTGATTGCCCAAAATGTAAGAAGCCGTTCGACCGCGAGGAGGGCAAGCCGCGCACCCCCGTACTCTCCGGACACAAGGCCGAGATCACTTGCCACACTTGCCAAAACATGGACGCCAAGAAGAAAACTGCCTGGTGCCTCATCGAGTTCCTGAAGCAGCCCGGGATCGCCAAAAGTGATGAGGGATACACGTTTGACGGCACGCCGCCGATCCTCAAGTGCCCGGATTGCAAGAAGCGGATCGTCACCTTGAAGACGTACGTGGCCGTCCTGTTGCCCTGTGGCCATCTAACATGCTCGGGATGCCAAACGAATAAGGTTGACAGCGCATCCCCGGCCAAGTGTGCCGTGTGCGGGCTCGGGCATGCGACCGACATTTCGAAGGGATACAGCTGCTTTGATGCCTACATCGAGAAGCTTCTCGTCCATCAATATGACATGATGGAGAAGGATGCGGCGACTAGGGTGAACTCGAAGCCCTGCGAGGAATGTCGCGCCGCCCAGCCGGTCGAGCGACTCTACAAGTGCGCCGACTGCAGCAAGGTGATCTGCGGGATGTGTTGCGTGGATGCGCACAAGGCCCACGGCTGCGCAAAATATCTCGCGCCCGCGCTGACGGAATTGGAGACGGCTACGACCACACGGATTGCGGCAGCGGGTGAGGTGATTGACAAGAATATTCGCAGCCTACAAACCGAACTCTCCCAGAGCACCACCGAGCTTTTTACATCTCTAGCCTTGGAAATCACGCTCATCGGCCGGCAGACGAAATATAACGATGCGGCGGACGTTGTGACGAGGGTCGATAGCGCCGTGGCCGAGGTGGAGAAGGAATGTCAAGTCTACTTCCCTGTTCTGCGCAAGCTCACCGAACGCGTCAAGCAGCTCAAGGAGGGCCTCACGGCTAAGCCAGACTCTACTCGGTCCGCGCTTATTCATATTCCTTAAATTCACTTATCAATGTGCTTTAAATTTGTGAATCCATTCAAATTATATTACATGTGAAACCGTCTCGCATAATATCGCTCGTCTTCTACTCGTATACTGGGGAATTTCAGCACTCGCTTTTCCTGTAAAACAACTTTTTTTACAATGTATTAACCCTTTTTTAACATAAACATCTTTTTTAGGCTCTACGACCCGGCATTAGTTCTACTCGGTCTCTGCCCCTCTCCCCTGCCCTATCGCGCGCCTCCCAAACCGTAGGCCTGACCCCGGTTTGAAGGTACGTGATGTATTTCAAATCAAAATAAGTTTATAAAAGTTTTATAAATGCTTATAAAAGAGCCTTTTCGTCTATTTATTCGATTTAACAAAAATCAAGTTCTTTTCAGATGTCCGGCCTCACCGATGACGTCAAAAAGCAGCTGGCCGTGTTCAACGCGGCGATTAGCAGCCTTGAAGAGCTTCTGGAACAAAACCTCGGCAGCTTTGATGAACATCTAAGGGTATTTTTCTCATATTAACCGCATTTTTGCAAATATTGTTTTAGCGGGACGCGTTCGAGATGTTAAAAATGGACAACGCGGCCCTGTTCACAGTAAACGCGCTCACGACGGCCATCGTGGCGACAACGGGCCGAAATCCAAAGGACAATGAAGAATTACAAAACGAAATGGTCCGTGTTCAAGGCTAATCGAAAAATATTTTTTTAGCAACGCGTCAAATCGTTGATGGTGCGCACGAAGGAGCAGGAAGATAGGCGAAACCTGGCCCCAGAGGTAATTTGTACTTATAACGTCATTATCTCAAATTTAGATTAACCAACGCGCATCGAAGGCCTTCGTGCGGAATGCACTTTTTGACGTTGACGAGAGCACGCAGCGGATCCAAGAAAAGCGAGCAGCCGAGGCGGCCGCAGCGGAAGCCGAGGAAGCACCACCTAAGATCCCGAAGATGACCGACTAAACGAAGCAGAAAACTAGAATTCTTGCCTTCAAAAGATTTTCCGATGTCATTCACGTTAACGGGTCATTTTGAACATTTACTTTGTACATTAGTTGCTATGTTGTTTTGTTGAGCTTTGTTACAAGTTGTTCTTACTAATAAATTCGAGTCATTTTGATTCTATGGTACCAAATTTCGTTGTCACACGGAATCTATTTGATGTGTTGACCTTGCGGTCGAGAAAATGATTATAGAATTCTATTTGGAAAACTATGTTTCTTTAGAGAAACGGTGAGTGTGGCTCTTTCCCATTATTAGGGGGGGAGGGGTCACATAATGTCAAATTTTTTAGTAAAAAAATAAGTATATTGCAGCCATAAAAATTGGTCTTATTTGGTGGAAAAATAGTAAAAAACCATTGATAAACACTTCCACTATTTAGGTTTGAAAAATTGGACGTAAGAGAAAAGTCCCCCCCCCCCCCCGATAGTGCGAAATAATCTAATTTGCTATACTCTAGGATGGTGCGTGACATCATTCCGAAGACAGTTTCGGATTACCTCATCCTGGCGCAAATGGCCGTGTCTTGGACATCGGGGTGCCTGTCGGCTTTTGCCCGCTTGTTTTTCTTTGCTATCGGCCGGCCGGCTGACCGTTTGAATGCATCGACCCACGTCTCGCTTTTCCCCCCCACGCAGGCGTTGCCTCAAAAACTGGGCGGAGTTCGCGCTATTTTGCTTAGCCCCACCCGCGCTGCCCGTCTATATAACGTCCCGGTCTTTCGCGACTCTGTAATGCCATTTTGAGGCTTCACCTCAATATTGAGCACTAAATTTTGAACTTGCGCTTGGGAGTTGTCTAGTTGCTAAAATCTCCCCAAACATCATTGCTCCCTTCAAAGAAAAAAAATCCATTGGTTATCAATCCTTTATAGCGACTCGAGCTGTACCAGGTCGATCCCGCTCTTTTCACGTCATTTCCCCCTTACACTCGGCGGGCCTCCCGGTTTGCTTTTTGGGGCTTTTTGTTAGCGAGTCGCTCGGATTGACCGTCCGCTCTTTTGCGTTTTGCCCCCCAGTCCGCCGGACAAACATGCCGGCCGGCTGTAAAGGAACGGATCGACGTGGCAGGACGACGTTTATACTATTTCCCTGATTTTATAGATTACCATGATGCTCTCTATCGTTCTACTGTTTTTGGAACAATGTTTTTTTTACAGAAAAAAATTCCGTCCCGTCCCCGGTAATGCGAAAGAACCACTTTAATTTCAATGTCTTACCCTGATTTTCTTTCGAACGCTTTTCTTCGTCAACTTTTCAATCCGTAACTTCCGTGCTCTTTAGAGAACCCCTATGATCCGGGAGGACCAACTTTCGCTCGAGAATATGACGGCACGGGACGGGGAAAGCTCCCCGGAAACGAAACGCGCACGGGTAATTCGTAATCGAAGCATGCTCGTCCATTTTTCTGTAGCTGTGGTCGCTTTGATCTGTCTAACCCAATCGGTTTCCCGTCAAATTATCACGCAGATGTTTGACGTTGTCAGTTCCGATATCCTAGTATCGTTTATTGATACCCCGGAGGCTCGTTAATTCTCCCCTCACATCCTCTAAAATCCCCTTCTTGTCTGGCCCTTGGCGCCCTGTCTGGTTGGCTGGCCAATTGCCAATAGGGGAAAGCTAATTGTTTGTGCCTGGCGGGCAGAGTTGCTGATAATTGGGAACGTTCTTTGTTGCGCCTCAGAGGAGGTGTGAAAGTGCATCCTCTTTTTTTGCGATTAGCGGGTCGCCTGCGTTGCAACGGAGATGGCATCTTGGACTTAAATTGGGCTATTTGCGGCCCGTTTATTCGCTTCAAAAATTGGCCCAGTTTCCGGGGGCTGTTTCTAAAAGTGGGCGCTTGATTCGTGTACCATTGCCCTTTCCTGTGTTTTTGCGGCGTATAACTCTCATGCGCATGAATTCACACTTTCATTTTCATTTTCATTTCTGAAAATTCCTTGATGGTATCCTATTTTCCAGATGGCTCCGACGAACGGTTCCGCGTCGGCGGGGTTGTGCTCCGTGCTTCTGGGCGCCCAGTGGGGCGATGAAGGCAAGGGCAAGATCATCGACTATTTGATTGAGAATTACTCGGTAAGTCGGACTCGGTGGGGAAACTACTAAATTAAAGGTTTTACAAAGTTTTCAGGGGATAAATTTCGTTTCGTGCCGCTTTTTTTTCGGCGTCGCGCCAAATACAGAGCTGCCAACCCTTTCCGCTCGGCCGATATCACGGCGGTCGATCTTTCCGGGCTGGGGGCTGCGTGTTTGAACTCTCGGCGCGACCGTGGCCAGGGTGATGGATTAGGGCAAGAGATCGTTGAGCTTTATCTGTCGAATTCTGTAGTTGAGTAGATTTTATCCGCACGGGAATGACGTATGTCTGGGGGCTGATTCGAAGAGAGATTGAGATATGCGAATACAGAAAGAGACAAAAATTCAAGGCAAGTTTTTTTAGATCGACATCACTGCTCGTTGTCAGGGTGGAAACAATGCTGGGCATACCGTCGTCGCCAATGGCCGCAAATACGACTTCCACATCCTGCCCTCAGGTAAATAATGATTTGCTGCAAAAGCTTTACCTTTTTTTGTCTTTTAGTAGGTTCTACTACTAAACCGTCATAACAGGTTTTCGAAAATTCCAAAAAGGGAAATTTTTTACGAAAATTTTTTTAGGAATCATCTCCCCGCATTGTACGAACGTGATCGGCAACGGTGTTGTCGTCAACCTCGACGCCTTCTTCAAAGAGCTCGACCACAACGGCGTGACGAGCGAAGCCGGATGGGAGAAGCGGTATGGACCTGTTTTCGTGCCTAACTTTCGCTCAGGATCATCATTTCTGCCGAGGCGCACCTCGTCTTTGGGATCCACCAACAAGTTGATGGACGACAAGAGGATTCGCTTGATCAGAAGAGGTAAATTGTTTGTTTTTGGCAACAAATTGTTTTTTGCAGCAAAATTGGCACGACAAACCGCGGCATTGGCCCCACCTATTCGTCAAAATGCTTCCGCAACGGCATACGAGTCGCTGATCTGATGGGAGATTTCGAAGAATTCGCCAACCGGTATGCGCACACTTTTGGATCGAATTTTGTAATTTAGATATCGATCGCTCGTCGCTCACTACAAGAAGCAGTTCCCGAGCATCGAAATTGACATCGACGGCGAGCTAAAGCAGTTCCAGGTAATTTTTAATTATTTTTGAAGCTCATTTTTATCTTCAGGCCCACGCTGACAAGCTCCGCGAATTGAATCTCGTCGGGGACACTGTTGGGTAATTTTTTGTGCTTTTGAGCTTCTACAAGTTCTGTAATTCAAATAAAATTTCTTTTTGCAGCTTCCTGCACGAGGCTCGCGCCAACGGACGCGCCATTTTGGTCGAGGGAGCCAACGGCGCGCTGCTTGACATTGATTTTGGTTAGTCCCGGGAAATTCCTTCATTTTTCTCCTTCCAGGCACTTATCCGTACGTCACGTCATCAAACGCTACGGTTGGCGGCGCGTGCACGGGTCTCGGCATCCCGCCGACCGCAATTCAGCAGATTATTGGCGTGGTGAAAGCATATCAGGTATCATTGGGGACAAATTTCTTCTTTAGTATCCAATTTGTATGAATATGAATAGAGCAGGTTTTTCTCACTCATTTTTTACTACTCCTAAACCAAAAACTCTACAAATTTTACTTTCAGAATCCAAAAATATAGATTTTTCGACAAAAAAATGGCTGCTTCAAAAGGTTTTCAAAACTTTGTTGGGTGCTTTTTGCGCTTTCAGTCTGATTAAATTTCACTAAAACCTTCTTAAAATACCTATTATTACGTTACTAGACATTCCGGTTACCCCCTGATAATGCAAAAGAGCCGATGGTTGCACGAAACCGTTTTTAGACCCGTGTTGGCACTGGCCCGTTCCCCACCGAGCTCTTTGATGAAGACGGCGTCAACTTGCAACGAATCGGGCAAGAGGTCGGCGTGACGACGGGAAGAAAGAGGAGGTCTGCATTGCAATTTGTTTTTATTATTTGCAGAGTTTTATTGTCGACCAGATTATGTTTCCGGGCGTTGGAAAACCATACTATTTTAGGTGTGGATGGCTCGACCTGATCCTCCTGCGGCGCTCGGCCCAAATCAACGGCTACACGCATATTGCGCTGACGAAGCTTGACATTCTCGACAGCTTCCCTGTGATCAAGGTCTGATCTTTTGGTTTTGTCAAAAATTGAAATAACTAGCCCACTGTTTTGATTTCAGAAATTCTTTTTAGAGTTTCATTCTAATTTTGGAGAATGTTTTAACTCTTTCAGGCTCTTCTTGATGCTTAATTTTAGATTGCCGTCGGCTACAAGGTGAACGGCAATAAGGTATCGACACCTCCAGGTATGTTTTACCCGTTTTTGCCTAAAATCGAGCTTTTTAGCAAAGGCGTCTGACTGGGATCGCATCGAGATAGAGTACCGGGAGTTCCCGGGCTGGATGTGCGAAACGGCAAAGATCAGACGGTTAGGAAGGTTTTAATATTTTAAACGATTTCTTTAGTTTTGAGGATCTGCCCGAGAAGTGCCGCGAGTACGTCACTTTCATTGAGGAGTTTATCAAGGTAATTCCGGGTCCGTTTTTCAAATTTATCTCGTTTTCAGGTGCCAATTCGCTGGATTGGTGTGGGCGCCGAGCGCGAGTCGTTGATCGTCCGAAACTAGGCTGTGATGTTCAGTCGAAAATATCTAGATTTTTGTTCCCCTTCTATCCCTCCTCCTCCTCCCGCCCATACTCAGGATTGGCCCCCAGAATTTTATATTGTGATCCCTGTCCCTCCCTAAATTCAAATTTCCCCCCACGTCGTTCCTCCCGAATTTTGGGTAAAGTTAAATTCTTTGTCCCCCAGTCCCGTTTTTATGATCTTTGGCTCCGGTACATCTCGCGTATTAGTAGTACAATTTGGCCCATGACGCTGTTCCGCCCTCCACTCCTCCGCATCTTCCGCCGATGAATACGCGTCAATAAAGTTGAGAACGTTTTTGCGCATTTTTTTGACATGGTTTAATAAGGCTTGTTTCGGCGTTTTGCTATTTATAGCAGTACAAACTAGGAGCTTCACTTTTTGAAACTCAAGAATAGCGACTTTTCGACAACATACACCGGATTTCACCGAAAGCGTTACATTTCCGTTTTTTACTATTCCTAAACGCTTTGATTACAAAAATTCGATAAATCAAGTTTTTTTGCGCGCAAAATTAAAATTTATTGAATTTTAAGTTTTCTAAACGGCTATCTATTTATTCCGACAAATTCCCAATGACGCCGGTGATCATAAAGAACAGGCCGCACGCGACGAATAGGCAGTTGCTGCTCATGTGCAGCGCGATCGCCTTGAAGTCGCGTTTTTCAAGCCACTCGGGTAGAAAGGTGGCCGTGTGGATGCAGGGCGGTATCAGCAGCGCTAGCAGGTTCCCTAAGCATTCGTTTAGTAGATGAACTTGGCTAAGGTTTTCCGCTTTTCATTGCCTTTAAAATGGTATTTGGTATTTTCGCACTGGTTTTCTAACTCTTTTTTTAGCAAGACGGATCGGAAAGATTTGTAAAAATTTTTTAAAAGCTTCTCGGACCCTTTCAACGCAATTTGGTACTTTAGATTTTTTCTAACATTTGTATTCAAGCGCAATCTATAACAGTCAATCACGGCTTTAAAGATAAAGAAAGGCTTTGTAGATCCACGAAATTTTGTCAAGTTTAGGTCGCAAAATAGCCCCCTCAAGCTTTATAAATTTTTATGATAATTCCCACCTGCCGTCGCGCCCACCAACGAAGTAATCTGGCCCAGATTCGGCACACAGGCGGCGAGAAGAACTAAAATTCGGGGCGCCCTCTGTTTTTTTTGGAGCCTAGCGTAGTCCTACACGCGATGAGCACGAGCAGCACCTTGTAGCCGGCCTCGAAGAGCAGGTGCAACCGGTTGAACAGCGCAAATTTTTCAAAGTGAGCCTAAAGGGCTTAGGCTTTATGCTTGAGCTGACTTGGGTTCTAAAAACTGTTCTACCTACCGTAATCCCTGGCCAGGACATGTCGACAATGATGAATTGGTTGATTAGATAGGTAAAATAGACGACGATCACGAGTAGCACACGCACGAAGAAATAGAACCTAGATGCGAAAAATGCAGGAAAAAAGGTAGCATCTCAAAATTAAATTTTTAAACTTTAATTTTTCATATTCGAAAATCATAAAAAAGTATAAAATCGAAACTACCGGTTTACAAACTTTATAACTTTAACTTCAAAAAATCAATATATCTCGCTTACTCGGTGTCGGGCAAATTCAGCGTAATCGCCCCTCGGACCGCTGAACCATACTTTAGGAAACCAAAGAGGCCGATGAGCTGGTATACTGAAAAAAAAGGAATGTTGAGGGGTGGCAGGCTAGCAGAGATTCTTTAGAGAATCGCAGCTTCAGGGGCAGGCTAGCAGAGATCCCTCAAAAATTCACCCACTGATGGTGGTGGCCGAACAGCCGAGTGACAACACGCCGCGCAGCCCAAACATTTCCCCGGGGCGCCGCATCTTGTTTTCGAGAGGCAGGATCTGGAGGGTACTGTAGGGGTGTTAGTTAAATAAGCCGTAAAACAGTTTAAATATGAGCACCAACCACAGCCTGAGACTCAAAGGCGTACATGATGTTGCCGGCGGCCAGGATTATTCCACCGAGGCTTTCGAATTTCGGCAATGGGCCATTGATGTAGGGAGGGCCGACCAGGTCCTGAAAACGGTCTCTGCTAGCCTGCCCTCTCCTCTTCCTCAGCAATCTCTGCTAGCCTGCCATACCTGAACAACCAGCAATAATACTATGGACATCACCACGTTCCCAGCCAACGACACATACGATAACGTTCTAAAACTGCGTTTAAATGTGACTGGAACATCACCCACTTGATATGCCGCACCATGACGATGAAGCACAGTCCCACGACGACCACACCGAAAAAGGCCCACGACGAAGGCGCGGGGCTACTCGATATGCGAGTCCAGATCTGGAATGGGCAGGTTAGCAGAGATTGTTGAGGAAGACGAAAGGGCTGGCTAGCAGAGATTGTTGAGGAATCATACCTCTTCCAGGTGCTCCTTCAAAAATACGGTAAACACTGAGCAGATCCCCATTTGCATCAACAGGATGGAGAAGTTTGTGAAAAGCCTAAAAATTTTCAGTTTTAAAGTTCGAAACGACGGACCGAAAAAAATTCCCGAGAAATCGAATCTGGGGGAAGCTCTGTCGAAACGAGACCTCGGCCACCTCACCGTAGTCCAGCTTTTTCAGTTTGTGCCTGAAATAAAAGATAAATTTGCTTGATGTAAAGACAGTTGACAGCCTAGGAGACCTGGCGGTCATTTCCCCAACAATCTCTGCTCGCCTGCCTCTATTTAAAGGGGTGGTGCCAACAAAAATCTGCCAACCTTTTCGAGAGGGCCTGCGACGACTCGACGAGCTTGTGGCAGCTCAGATATGTAAAGTAGCCGGCGATGACGATTAGCAGGAATCCGCACTAAATAAAATTTTCATTTTGGGGCCAGATTTCGCAAATAATTTCTGCTAGCCGGCCTTTCTAGCTACTTTTCCTCAAGAATCCCTGCTAGCCTGCTCTTTACAATTAGAAGCTACTTTTCCTCTAAGAATCCCTGCTAGCCTGCCTTTCCAGTTCCTTTTCCTCAAGAATCCCTGCTAGCCTACCCTTTCCAGCTACTTTCCTTACAAATCCCTGCCAGCTACCCCGACTCACCCATAATCCGGCCTGCTTGAAGGCGAGTGGCAACGACAGCACGCCGGTGCCGATGGTCGCCCGGCACATATTCATTAATGCTTGGTTTGCCCTAAAATAGATATACCTATTTTCTTAACAATTTTCAATCGCCGATAAGCCCATTCAAAAACCTACGTAATTCCATTCGGCTCCTCCACCTCCTCAGTTTCTCGTAATTTCTGCGAAACCTGCGCCTCGGTATCCGAGTCGGCGGTCGTCTCCAATTTTTCCGACTTTTCCCCGCCGTTTTGCATCGCTTAATAAAGTTAAGGCTAGAAAATAATAAACTAAAGACAACTGCACTGGCAAGTAACTTAGGGGATGTATTGTCTAACGATGACAATGCGCTGCAACGGATTTGCCCGGATTAGTGGGAAAACCACCGGAAAATTGCGCGACTTGATGATTTTTCGGCACCTGAGATTTTGGCAGACTAGCAGAGATTATCAGGGATTTTTGAGGAAATTCGCGATCGATAAAAAGGGCAGGAAAGAGGATAAAATGAATGTTTTGGTTGCGGTCGGTTTGTGGATCGTAAAAATAACATATAGCCTTTCAGTGTCAGAAAAACATGGGTGGAGCGCCAGACGATGCAAAAACGGGTTTGGAAAGCGGTTAAAAAGCGGGCACGGGGGGTGTTGGGGAAAGGGGGGGGGGGGCGGGGGTGTTGGGGGGGGGGGGGGGGGGGTAGGAGAGGGCAGGCTAGCAGAGATTGTTGAGGAAGTGATTCACAGGATAACAGGGATCAACTACTAACCATCAGAAAAACCAAACCGAGCGAATTGATACTTGATAGCGAGGTGGAGAAGCGCAAAAAAGGGAGCAACCCGTGTTTCACCCAGGGTGAAAAGAGGCTTTTCGACCCGGGCAGTGAGAATAGGAAGTGGGTGGGTGGGGGTTCGCGTGGCCGCTCCCAGTTCAGTTGGGAATTCATGTGTTTCACTGGGAAAAGTGGACACGAGTGGAAAAAGGAGCCCTCGGGTCACCCATCTGCAAATAGAGGGCCCATTCTTCAACGACCCGACCCGAAAGTTTGACCCGAAAAGCTAGTTGCTAAAGTGGGTAGCTTCCTCAACAATCTCTGCTAACCTGCCCTCTCCTCTTCCTCAACAATCTCTGCTAGCCTGCCCTCTCCTTCAAAACACGCCAAATTTTAAACCTAACTGTGCTTTTCAACCCAGAGATTATAATAAAATCATAATTTATTCAAATCTTCCCTCAGGGAGGCGGGCACATATCGGCCGGGATGCAGACGTTCGCCCCACGGAACATCTTTGCAAATCCCACATCGCATAGGCAATCCCATCGCAGATCGGTAGTGCAGATCTGAGAATTCCTACATAACGCTCCAAATAACCAACCGTGAGCACGTCCGGATCATGATCATTCACCACTGCGCACCAGTCGCAGATGTCAGTCTGTTGCCAAGTGGAGTTGGCCGAGCAGCCCTAGATTTTCACCGGTTTTTGCTTTTCTATTTTAACGGATTTGGTATCAGAATATCGAGTGTCTGAATGTCGAAATGCCGGGGAATCGCGGAATTTCTCCAAATCAGAATCCCCCAAATCGCTTACTCAAATTTCGACATTATGAAATGTCGACATCATGAATTTCGACACCCAGATTTCGAAATAACCATGACACTGCAATACCTGACTGGGTGGCGGCTTCACGTCGCGCTTGCCAAGCTTCGGCGGGCACGAGTCGGCCCGGATGCACTCGTCTCCGCCATTCAGCGACAATTTCGCGAAGCCAACGTCGCATACGCACCGCCACGTCGGCCTGATTGTGCAGAGCTAAACAAATTTCTTTACTTTTTGAGCCTCATTTTTTAAAGTATATTTTTAATTTTCCTAATGCAAACAAAATAAAATTTTTGCAGTGCAAAATGCCTTTTTTGGCCATTATTTACTTAAACATTTCGAGCGTTTTTTTGCTTTTTAGATATAAAAACTGTAAGACGTCATTGGTTGTGCCAACGCGTAAAAAACATTTACAGGCCTCTCGCCCACGATCCGGCCACGTATTGCGCACGTATCACATTCACCACTGTACTTCCACCGCGAGTGCTGGGGACAACTCTAAGAAAATTAACAACGCTTTTCGCCATTCTCAAACCAAATCCAACGCCCCGGCGACGAATCCAAGCAGTGCAAGCACTAAAATACTATGGTTGTCATGACCGGAAACAACCTACCAAAAGCCAACGGAAAAAGCCGCATCCCGCTCAAATCAACTGGGATCCCTTGAAGATTTCCCCCAACCCGCAATCACAAATTCAAAATGCCGCCCCTGTTTTGCATATTTCGAGCAGCAAACTGAATGGAGAAGAGATTTATACAGCAGACCGGGACATCACAAATAAATACAGGATCTACCACTAGAAACTCGGGCTTTTCACGATATTTGTTCGTTACTCGCCCTTACATCTTTGTCACGACCTTGCCGGCGTCGCGGTCACGGTTGATACGGCGCGAGTTCCATTGCTAAATCGGTGATTTAGAAAGATTAGAAAACCCGAAAGCTAACCTCAGCGGCCAAGAAGAAGAAGAAGAATCCGGTGATGCCGACGACGATGAAGACCACCCTCATCCGGTCGTGCATCCGGTCCATCGTTCCATGCCTAGATGACACATTTAACAAATGATTTTTTCGCAAAAATGAGGAGATCACTATTGTTTTATTTAGTTTTATTCCGAGCTTGAAAATCTTCACATCCCTTCAAATATAGCTAAATTTTATCAAGACCATTAATCAAATACTGGCTTTCTGGACCGGCAGGAAAAATAGGTCCCCCAATGATATTAGAAAAGCACCAAATAACTCACTGAACGAGCTCCGGAATGGATTCGACGCTAGGGTAGAGCCGGGTGAGTACGAGGAAGCGCCGTTGCATTGCCGTTGGACGCTGGCCACCGCCTAAAGCACATAAATCATGAAGCTATGATGGTTTTGGGCTTTTTTCTTTGGTCGAGATTCCATTTGCTTGAAAATTCCATGCCTGTTTCGCTTAGATTAGTCATCTCAGATATTTCGTAAAGTAAAATTCCAGCAAATGAAATTGGACCAAATCCAAATGTTCGGTTCGACAGTTCGGAAAACTGATAGCAAATCGATATTTTTTAATACGCTCATGACCACAAGCATCCTCAAACTATTATAGCCATTTTAGACCCACCAACTTCAGCAGCTTCTTGTCGCCGTTGCGTCTGGTGGCGCTGGAAGCTGGCGGCCGTCGCATATTGGGGCTTCGGGGTTTCCTTAGCTGTCTAAAACAAACAGTTAAAAAATACAATTAAACGTGCAACACTAGCAAGCCAGCCTAAAAGATTTACCTCGATTTCTTCGCCCTTCTTTTCGGACAAGCGGTATCCGGAGGTGCTCAAGCGGGCTGAAAAGACATAAATTAACGTTTTAGAAAATTAGGTAGTACCTTTATAAAATCCTCTCAAAATAGGGGTTCGAATGGCGAGGCTAGACGCACGAATCGATGACGGGAACATTTCTAAATTTCAAATATGAGCAGATTTTGGGTTTGGAAATAAGGTTGGAGCTATTGATGTTTGGGGGCATCTTTTTTTTAGGGGCTTTTTCTGGCCTAAGCTTGTCTCGAAGCCTAAGCTAACGAAGCCAAGCCCAGCCTTAGCCAAACCTAAGCCGAGCCTAGGCTTAAGCCCAAGTCTAAGCTAATCCTAAGCTAGCTCTAGGCTAAGTCTAAGCGATGGCTAGGCGACGCCTAATGTAAGCCTACACTAAGCCTAAGCTATGCCGAAACCAAGCCTAGGCCTAAGCTAAGCCTAAGCCTAAGCCAAGCCTAGGCATAAGCTAAGTCTAAGCCAAGCGTGCGCAAAGTTAAAGCTAAGCCTAAGCTAAGCCTAAGCCTAGACCTAGGCCGCCAAAAAAAGATGCCCCCCCCCCCCAAACATCAATAGCTCCATAAGGTTTTGCGAGCAAACGGTCGGAGTAAACAAAATGCACGCAACGAACGCAGGGCCGTGTAGTGGGCGTGGTGGGTGCTTTCTCTAGTTTCTGCCGCACAACCCCAACGAGCAGAGAGGCTATATCCGCTAGACCAAAGAAACAGCGCCTCGCTTTTGAAGTAAGTATCTCGTTCTTTACCAATAGCATCGAAACAACAACGTTCATTTCGCGGGGTTTAATTGAGTAGATTTCCGTTTACTCATGCTAATGAGATATGCGTAGAAATACAAAGTTTGGATCTTTCACATTATCGTGGCTAAATCAAAATCGGCGAAATCACCACAAATGACCTTTTTGGGATTTTGAAGCAATGTAAACTCATCCAAATACATGATTCTGCTTCAACATCAGCGCCTAGAAACCAACATAACAAAAACCTTTATCAAGCATAATATCGCAAAGTATCAAAAGTATATGCAAAATGAATGGAACCCGATTAACAAATGATATCACTGGGAGGGAAGGGTCAAAACGAGGAGAGACAATGAAATATATAAAGTTTTAGTGGGATCGAACCGCCGCCTCCGATCTTGTGCCCTCGTCGTCGTTGACGATGCGCTCAATCTCCTTCAGAATCACGGGCTTCCAGAATTCGCGGCACTCGTCCCAGATCAGCTCTAGCTGAATTCGACGTCCAAAATACTTTTCGGGAGGTACCTCATTTTTCTGGCGTCCGATCGACATTACGCATATCTCGCCGTGGAACATTTCGATGCCATCCTGAAAATGGTGCTTGAAAAAGACGAATTGTATCAGTTTGGGTTGTCAAGAATTTTTACCAAAAGCGACTTTTCGACCTAAATAAAATTTTGCCTTATAATTGGGGGAGTCTTTCAGCGCAAGAATAGTTAAAATTTGCTGTTTTCGGTTTTCAAGTTAAAGTAAAATGGGATGAGAAGTAATTCGTCGAAATCAGCCACCAAAATTAACGCCCCACCTGTTTCATCTGCAGCTCGGCGTCGTGCTTGCTGAGCCCTTCCATCAGCTTCTCCCAGCTGATGTCCCCCTTCGTCGTCACTTTTTGGCTGAGCGTGATCGTGTGGAGGGGCACGTTGAACTCCTTGGCCACCTTCTCGTAGGGCACCACCTCGAGGCTGTTGAACTGGCGGTCGATGACCAGACAGCCGCGGAACGGACACGACCGTTTGCCCGGGGTCGGGTCGAGCGCGATGCTTCTGCTCACCATATCAGCCGGCACGCTGATGTCTCTGCCAATCTAGAAGCCAACGATTTTTAAAAAAATTAAGTTGAGCAAACCTCTGTCGGAATCGAGACGCTTTCTCCGTTTGCTGGGCAAAAAACACGAACGCCAAACTCCTGAAAAAAACGTTGACCTTCACGAAAACTCCCACCTTTGCAACTTTATCCTTCAGGAAATCCATTTTCAGTTTCTCGCCGTGGACGAACATGACATGACGTGGGTTGCAGTCCCGGATCAACTGCAAGAGATGATCAGATTTCACCCAAAATGAGTAAATACCTGCATAATGCCCTTCGCATCGGCGTGCGCGCTGAACGACATGTACTCGACGGCGAGGTTGATATCGTGCTAAACAAAAAAAAAGTTAAAAACAATGAAAGGAAACAACCATTCGCCCCTCGATCTCGATCTTCTTCACGCCGCCGATCACCTTGGCGCCCACCGTGCCCGCCACGCAGTAGCTGAAAAAAAAATAAAAAAATAAAAAAAAAAAAAAAAAAAAAAAAAAAAAAAAAAAAAAAAAAAAAAAAAAAAAAAAAGGAAAAAAAAAAAAAAAAAAAAAAAAAAAAAGGAAAGGGGAAAGGGGAAAAAGAAAAAGTAAAAATTATTTAGGAATAAGGAAACTTACCCGGGCATAATAATCATGTTTTTCGGGTTGTCGCACCACTGCTTGAAGACGCGCAGACTTTGGCCGCCGTGTAGCATGCCTGAAAAGATTAATAAACTGATAATGGAAGCTGTAGCACTCACCCGGCGTGGAAAATAGCACCATCGGGCCCGGGTCGTTCGCCAGTTGCATGTCGAACGGGCGGATATGCTTGAAGTCGAACATGTTGTGCTCCACAAACGTTTTCTTGATCTTCTCGTTGGTCCAGTTGATGAAAAGGCGATAATACTAGAAATAGGGGGTCATATCAAAAAAGGGCATCGGCACCTGGTTCGCCTTTTCGGCCAAGCCCTGCGAGAAGTAGATGGGCACCTTCAGCGCCATACGCTCCCAGTAGGACTCGAGGAGGATGCAGAGCTCTTGCGCACGGCCGAGGGCAAAGACCGGGATTAGGACCTAGAATCGTTCGAAACAAAAAAAAAAGATGTCAATCACTTTTCCGCCATTCTGCACGCATTCGTGGACCTTCTTCAGGAAATCACGTTCACGGGCGCGTTTAGAGTCGCGAATCGTCGTGGCGTAGGTGCTCTCACTGGAAATACGTGACCTAAGAAAGAGAAACCGTCACCAACCTGATCAGCAAATCAGGTCGCAGCCCCGGCAAAACCCTGGCGGCTCCGAGGTGGCGATCCGGAGTCATGTTGTAATCGCCTAAAAGACAGCATTAGAAATCAAGGAAAAATATACCTGTATACAGCACCGAATGCTTTCCGACGCGCACCTCGAACATGGCCGCGCCGAGCACGTGTCCCGCATAAAAGGCCCGGATTGATAACTCATCGTCCACCTGCACCGTCTCGTGAATATTGACGGGGACGACCTGAATAAGTATAGATAGATAATTAGCTACCTCAAATAATAAATACCTTCTTCATGCAATTCTTGATGTGCTCGCTAGTGAAGAAATTCTTGTCGCCCCGGAACTCGGTCTGCACTTTCCGGTAGTCCTCCTAAAATCGAAAAATGGAATCGAAAACCCACACAAACCAAAAGCACAGGGGCGATCGCCTTTGTCGGGTACGTCATGTAGATTTTTCCGCTGTAGCCGACGATCTAAATCCGAATTTCATGAAATTACGCTCCAATCACCTCGCTCATATGCGGCAACGATCCGCAGTGGTCGAGGTGGAAATGGGAGATGATGACGCAGTCTAGGTAGTTATCCAGCAGGCGATCCCGGTCTGCTTGCTGCCCAGGCGGTGGGATCGGGTGCCCGCAGATGTATCTGTAAAAAATGGCGTTTAACGTTTAACAAAAAAACTGACGAGAAATCCGGGAAGCGGCGCTCGTCCTGGTAGCCCATGTGCATTCCGCAATCAAGCATAATATTCTTGCCGCCGATCGTCACCAGGATGCAGCTTCGGCCTACATCCTGTCCGGCACCCAAGGGAACGATCTGCAAAGAAATAATTTATACTTGAAAATTTGAAAGCCATGAATTTTTAACGCCGGTTTTAAATCTTTTTGTCAAAGCTAATCACGATTTGCACAAAAAAAGAAGCGCCTCTGAACAGTTGCTTTTTTAACCAAATTTCGACATGTCAAGCATTTCCATCGCCTCAAATAATTTGTCATTTGAAATTTTGGTTTGATAAATTTTGGTAAAAAGCGTCTAAACGCTGGAGAGAAATAATAAATAACCAACAAATCAACAACAAGAACGCTACCTTGATATCCCGGCCATCGGCTTGAATCATCCCTAAGAAAATTGCAATTGATCAAAACACCCAAATCGCGCCAATAGCATGTCACCAGCGTCGCCAACACCTTTTCTGCACCATCCATCTCAGGGTCCATAGTTAAAACTTTATTTGAGAGCTTCACGAATCACCCGGAAAATCGAAAGTGGATCACAAATGAGATGCATTAATACACGCGGGGGCAGTGAAATGAGACCAGATATCAACTGAAAAATACAGAAAAAGACAGAGGCACCGAGATTCCTAGACAATAAGAAAAACACTATTGATCCTCGAAACCGGGCAGATCAAAGTTGTGGATGCCGTGCAGCGGGGTGCGCCCCTTCTTACGCTGCCCCTTTCGGCTGGCAGGCACGTCGACGGCGGTGCCGAACAAGAAGCGCAGATCGTCTAGGGTCAGCTTCGCGGATCTAAAGGAAACAGCCAATTGAATGGAATCGGGGGGCAACGTACTGTTTTGTTGCGTGGCCGGTGAGCACGCCGCCGGCCAGCTGCTTTTTGCGCTCCTGCAGTTGAAGCACTCGCTCCTCGATGGTGCCCTCGCAAATGATTCTAAAAAAGGAAACATTAGAAATTCTGGCCTAGCTTAAATGTTTGAGGGTGTTTAGAGAGTTTGTAAAAGTTTCTAGAAAACTTAGAAAACGTCTAATTTTATCAGATTTTTGTCGAAATTGCCTTTTTTATAAAAAAAATAGCAAAAATTAGTGTAAAATCAGTTCCAATTAAGATTATAAAAATTATATCCATGCAAAAGCACGGAAATCTTTGTAAAAAAAACTATCAATAGAAACGCTCACTTATAGATGTTGACGGCATTCTTCTGACCGTGGCGGTGGATGCGAGCGCAGGCCTGTTCTTCGAGTTGCGGGTTCCAATGCGGGTCGACCATGATCAGATTGGAGCCTACAACGAGGCAGAAAATATTTAGTCGAATCCACACAAAAACTCACATGTCTGCAAGTTCAGCCCGACGCCGCCGGAAGCCAGGGAGAGGAGGAGGATGGGGATCGTCTTCTTTTGCACAAACTTCCGCACCACCTCGGCCTTTTCATCCCGGTTCATCGAGCCGTCAAATTTGGCGTAGCGCACGGAGGCCTAAATCAATAAAATATGTATAATAAAGTAAATGTGAGCATTTACCTCATCGAGGTGATCGGCGATTAGGCCCAGCACGCCGGTCCATTGGCTGACGACGACCACCGATTCTCCGCGTTCCACGATTTCCATCGACAGCTCCAGCACTTTCGCTATCTGAAAAAAACGTCTTAAGCTAAAATCCATCATTATAAAGCGTAAATTCTACGTGAAGGCCGAAGTTTACAATAGCTCGGTTCATAGGCGTTCATTATTAATTTTAGAGTGCATCGTTTTGTTTTTAAAGATTCAAATTGTGCCTAAATTGAAGCCAATTTTCTTTTCCAGCAACCGCTTACCTTTGTGCTCGGCTTCTTCGCGTCAAAAATGCTGTACTTCTGGTTCTCGCGACCAAAGCTAAAAATTGACCAGTTTGAAAATTGCTTATAATAATCTACCTGCGCGACATGTCCCCGTCGAGCTTCTCCAAGTAGTCCGTGTCCACGTCTTCTAACAACCCATCGAACGCGTCCATGTTCAGCGCCTGAATACGAGTTTATGACCACGCCAAACGCAATACCTCGGTGGTCAACGAAAAATGGATGGCGGCCTGGCGGAGACGTAGCAGGACGACGAGAATCACGTGCATCTTTAGCTTGCCCTCTTTGCCTACGACGCCGCCGAATACGCTGTTCTCCGGGGCGGCCCGCGTCTTCTTCCTGTTGCCAAACGTCGAGTGGCCTCCGGCGCGTTCCTCGAGGAATTCTTCGACCTAAAAAGCAAAATTTTAAAAGGTAAAAATTTTCGATTTTGGGAAGAAGTTCGAAAATATATAAAAAAGGTTTCTTTAGCTGGCTAATAAAACGAAGAAACGATCCAGAGCTAAACAAGCACAAGACGGAGAAAAGGATAAAACGTTTTTACCTTCATCTGCGCCGAGTCGAGCATCATCTCGTACGCCTTCTTCTCGTCGCCGTCCATTTGCAGGCGACAATCGTGATTGACGCGCTCGGGCAGCTTGAGGATGTCCTTGTTGCGGTGGAGCAGGATGGTGTGCACCAGCGTGTTCACACGGTTAGCGCATTCCTCTGGAAGAGGGACTTCACGATGATGAAAAAGTTATAGCTTACTTGACGAGCCCTCCATCTTCTCTTTCCAGAACGTAAAGTCGGCAAACGGCAGGATGTCCATGAACCTGGTAAACCAGGCTTACGAAAAGAACGCGAAAAGCTTGTATTCGGGCGGGCCAAAAATGGCACAACTAACAATAGTAATGGTAAGTACAGGCCACACCGCAAAAACCAATACTTACTTGACCAAGGCGTAGAGATCGGTGAGCTTGTTGTGGATCGGCGTGCCGGTGAGTGCCCAGCGACAATCGGCGGGCACGGCACAGATGGCGGCATTTCCGGCGGTAGACGGATTGCGGATGACGTGCGCCTCGTCGAGGATGATGCGTTTCCAGAAGATGCCCGCCAGCTTGGACGTCGGGTCGAGGTGGTGCTAAAAGAATAATGATAAAAATAAGCTTCTGACGATCAAAATTACGAGTTTCTGAAAAAAAACAGCCAATTTTCACCCAAACTTTCAAACATTTTCTAGGTTCCCGAGTTAATCTTACCTCCGGGCCCTTCCTTAGCACGTCGCCGCGAACGATGTCGTAGGTCGTCAACACGACGTCGGCCTGGCGTAGCCTAAACAAAGTATATAAGTTCGCAAAAAAAACACCAACACTTTGTCATCGAGTCGATCCCGTTTGGCCCTCGTCTGCGTGTAGCAGTAGACGCGCAGCGCGTACTCTTTCTGAACCTGAACAGCAGAAGAAGATGAGGAAGAAGAAAATTCGTACCTTATTCTCCATTTCCTCGTTCCATTGGTTGACCACGGAAGACGGGACGACGATCAGCGTCGAGAACGTGCCCTTCAACTTCCTTCGATTCTCCGCGCTAAACAAATTAAAATCAGTACAACAACTGCCTAAAAAGGGATACCTCGCCAATTTCATCGCCTTCTCGCGCCTCGCCTTCTGCTCTTGAAAAAACTCGTCGGCCTCCAGGGCCTTCAGGTACGAGACGACCAGGGAAATGGCTGATGTCGTTTTCCCAAGGCCCATCTCATCGGCTGCAACGTCAATTTAGAAATGATAACGGGCATAAAAATACCTAGCACGCCTCCATTGCCTTGCTCTTCGCGCCACTGCATCCACTTCAGGCCGTACTTCTGGTGCGGGAGCAGCTCCACGGACATCCATTCCGGGGTCTCGGCCTCATCAGTCCCGGCGACTGGGATTGTTTCGAGTTGTCTAAAAACAACCGGTTTAAATGAGCCCGAGCTCGGAAATGTTGCAAAACGGGTTTTTCAATATCTATTTGAAAAGTTAAAATCCTAAATTTTCATAGAAAAATCTATCATTCAACTTTTTAACGAAAAATTGTGCACTTTATACGTTTATGAATTGCAAAAAAAATCTGAAAGTACTAAAAGCCCTAATCCAGTCAATTACCTGAAAAGACCACGCAAAAATCGACTCTGCTGCTCCTTGGGCACTTGAGGCTGCGCTCGAAAATCTGGGCCCGCGCCGGGCTCCTCCTCAACCACCGAGTCGTCGTCCTCAACTTTCGTAACAGTTGGGGACGAGTCGCTGTCGCTGTCCGAGATGTTGACCACCGGTACCTTTTTGGTGGGGCGTGGCTGAAATGGGCAAAAATTGAGAACTTTTAAAAAAATTTTGTCAGGGTTTTATGAGGATTAACCGAAACAATCAAGAAACCAGTCCCCAATCTATTTTAGAAAAATCTGATCCAAAAGGCAAAAGAAATTCGATTACCGGCCGAGCCCCAGTATCGTCGTCATCGGAGTCGATGATCTGGGTCGACAAGTCCGATTCTTCGGCGGCGGTAGGCGTGCGAGTCGCATCTAAAAAAAATTTTTGATAGTAGCTCAGCGACCAACCTGTGGGCGAGAGAGCTTGTCTGCCGGAAATGGTGAATGTCGATCGTTTCCCGCGCCCAGGCGAATCGGAGTCGGAGAGATCGAGTACGACGATTGGCTTCTTCGATCGATCATCATTTTGAATCGGCGAGTCTTCGATTTCGTGATCCTTCTTGACAACAAAGGTGCCATCGCGGCGAAAGAAGGATTCCGGTGTCCGCTCGGTCTTTGCCTCCGTGTCATCCTCTTCGATAGTAAAAACCTCTTGCGCTTCCCGAGGACCATCATTTTGGCCTGGCGATCCATCCTCCTTTTTGACCACGCACGTGCCACGGCTGCCAAAAAGGGATTCTGGTGTTCGCAAGGGTGTTCCCTGCGCATCATCCTCGTCGATCGTGAACGTTTCTTGCGCATCCTGGGGACGACGAAATACGAAGGTACCATCAAGGGCTAGCTCGCTGCTAGGCACGGAACCAATCTTCTCTATCACGTCGCCTTCGTGTTCCACATAGAAATGCGTCGAAATCGTCCGGCCGAGGTCGCCGCTGGGGTCGGAAATATCCATTTCATCATTTAATGGAAGAGTCGCGTTTGGAGACTTCTTTGCCGACGCATTTTCGCGGGTCCGAGAGTCTCTTGGCGTAATGGCAGCTTCTTCTAGCATCTGAAAAGGGTCGCAAAACTTAGACCGAGAAAAGAAACATACCTGAATGCTCTCGTCCAGCATAACAGTGAACGTCTTCTGCTCGCCGGTTGAGCGGGGCGGCGGCGTCTCATCAATGCTAGCGATTAACCGACGCTGTGCCGATCCGCTGCCACCAATCGAGAACGATTTCTAAAAACAAATATTTCTTCGAAGATGCTAACAACCTTATTAATCGGTGAGGGGGTCTGTTGGACCGATCGAACGAGACGTTTCTCGGTTGCATGATCGTCATCGTTGTCAGTCATCGGCCCATCGGAGATCAAGTCCCTTTCCAAGTTGACGAAGCTGCGACGAGAAATTTTTCGACGGGCCTTTTCTCGTTCGTCATCACTCGATTCCGAGAATGTGGAAGCCTAAAAACATGATTGAAGTAATAAATCGAAACATACCCTAATGTCCGAATCGTCGGCCGCCTCGGATCCACTTAGCTCTTCATCCGAGCTGACTATTTGGACCTTCTTTTGAAATTTCGGAGCGGGCGAGTCCAAGGCTTCCTAAAAACCTTTAAATAATAATGGCAAAGCAGAAAATCTAGAATTTTTGAAGCAAACACACACCGAGGGGATCGAAACATTGAACGAATCATCAAGCAACATCGCACGCTTCTTCTTTTCGTGAGGTCGCTTCTTTTCCCGGTCGATGGTGGCGCGTGGGGTCGGCTTGAAGGGCTGATCATCATCGTCCGACTAAAAATCAGAAGAATGAGAAACACCCCTAAAATTACCGAGTAATATTCCATTTTTTCTTGTACTGCCGAGTCTATCGAATCGGGCGGGGTCTTGAACGACTCGTCTGAGCTATCCATTTCCCTAAAGTTTTATTCAGTGTAAACTGTGGATTTAGGAAATTCGTGAAAACGACAAAATCATTTCGATAGATCAAAGGGGCGGAATTGGCCCTGTGAAACGGGTGAAGGAGTGAACAACAAAATCATACGCTCCAGGAGATGAACAATGAAACAACGTTCGGGAAATATTGAAACAACAGAAATATCAATGGTAACCCAGCCCCATCCCGCGCGCGGTATTCGACGCCTCGCGTGCCATGTTGAACTGCTTGTCTAGGGAGGACAACAGGTTCTTTTGCTTCAGCTCCTCAGACTTTGGTGCTTCCGCGGGCTTTTGCTTTGCGGCATCGCCCTTGAAGCCGAGTAACCGTTTGAATTTCTCAGCTTGTGCGTCGGCGACTCCAGATGCTGCGATTGCGGACGACCACATGCCCATATTCTTTTTGGCTTGTTCATCAACGGGAGTGGAGGTGCCTGGCTCGGCTTCCTCCGGCTTGTCTCTAAACAAATTTATTAATTAAAAAAGTGGAAGATTTGCGCAATGTGTCCCAAAAAGTATCCCATCTAGAGGGCCAGTAGAGGCTGGGATGGTGTTGATCCATTTAAAAGCTCGCTACTTTTTTCAACTTTTTTAGGATTTTCTCATATCAAGTCTTACTAAAAACAAGCCTTTTCTCAGTGATCGATAGATACCTAAATCTTCAAAAATGGGACATTTTTCCGACCGGCTATAGGGGATACTTCTTGGAACACCTTGAATTCTACGACTAAAAACGGTAAAAACCGAGCAAAGTAAGTTACCTCTTCGCTTGCCAAATCATCTTCCTCTCCTTCAGCTTCTCGGCATGTTCTTTCACACGAGAATTCGCCCATGTCGGCTCACCGCCAGCCCCAGGGGCTTCGTCTCGATCCTTGCGCTCGTCCCGCAGCTCGTCTCGGTTCGGTTTCTCGCGCCGACGCTCATTATCGTCCCTTCTGTCCCGCCGCTCCTCATTTCTGCGATCTCCACCCCGCTCTTGCCAATCACGGCCCGCACGCTTGTCATCGCGGTCGCGGTCATTTTTGCGATCCTTCCGGTCATCCCGTCTTTCCGAGCGATCCCGATCCTCTCCACGTCGTCGGTGGTCACGATCGCCATCGTGCCTTCTTTTCTCACGATCCCGTTCTCTTTGGCGGTCCCGATCGCCATCAGAAGACCTTTTCGAGTTGGAAACCGGCTGATCGACCTCCTCGCCGTCAGAGTCGAATTTTTTGTGGTTTGGCATTGGTGTTCAGTCGCGAGACGAAGCCGGATAACCACTGAAGAGCTTCAATATGTTGAAAAATAACCGGCCAAAATCGGAAATTTGCAACGATTTTGAAAACCGGAGCGGCAGTGGCTGCGAGGGGGCTCCACAGACGGCGCGTAATTTGTTGCGCTATGGACCCAGGGATAACATGGCCTAATTGGAAAGAGCGGGGATATTGCGCCCCGCACAGCGGCCCGGCTCCTAATAAAACGTCCGGTAGCTTTGGCCAGGAGGGAAGACCGCAACGCGTGCGATAGACGCGTCGCGCAATTGCGAAAGCAGGCCTGCGCAGCTAAAAACCGGTTGCTATTCCGCGCACCCGCACGCAACGCGCGAAAAACACGTACAGTACGCCCTTTCCCTTGAACCATCAGGACCGAACCCATGGGCGGTTGTGCCCGCGGCCCGATTACCGTAGCAGATTTCGAAGGATCACGGTAGGAGATTAGCTTTTTCCTTCCACGCTTTTTCTAGCTTTTTTTGCTGCGGGGCGGCGAAACTTCTTCTGGCCTACTGTAACCCTTTCTTTTCTAAACTGATGGTTCGGTTCTTTCGCATTAGCGCGGAAACGAAATTTTGTGTCCAAGATTCGAAATGCCTAGTAAGAAATAGAAAAACCATGTAAAACTTTCAAAGGGTCGAAATTTTGGCCAAATCAGTCATTATAAAACCAGCCGCTGCAAGCGGCTGGACTTCGGGCTCCCGCTTGGGGCGCGCCCTCCCCTTCGCCGAAACACGCGCGACCTGGCTCACTATGTCCAAAATCACCAACCTCCGTCCCCCACCCCTTTTACTAAGGAAAAAACTTTAAAAGTTAAATTTAATAATTTAAACGAAGACTTTTTCAAAATTTTTTGATCAGTTTAGGGGTTTCTGACCACGCTCTATCCGAATCCGAAGAGAGCTAAGCTCTAGCTCCTTTCCCCTTCGAGTTGAATTCGGCTTCACACGGACAGACGGACGCGCCAAGAAAATTATTATAGTTGATAGGGTTGGTTTTTTTTTTAATAAAATTTTTTAGTTTGGACTTTTAGGAATAGTAAAGAACGATTGAGAAGCATTTCCGCTATTTATAGTTGGTAAATTAGATCCTGGGGAAAAATTGGCCCCGCATGCGGGCCTTTTGTTCTTTTACCCTTTTTTCTTGCTCAGTAGTTCATCTAATTTATAATTTTTTTGTCATTTTCAGCTAAATGCCCGATTCGGAAGATGATACTGAGGCACTCGACTGCTCGGGCAAGAATCTTCGGGTGGCTCCCGACTTGAGACGTTACGGCAAGCTGACGACGCTGGACCTGAGCAACAACAAAATAAAAGTAATCTCGATTTGTATTTTTTAACGTTCTCTCTCTTAGAGCCTCCCGAGATGGCAATTGGAACATCTGACGGTCTGCAACCTGGCCTCCAACGAATTCACGGAGCTGCCCGACCTCGGCGGCCTGCTAGTGCTGGAGAAGCTCAACCTCGACAACAATCGGATCACTTTCTTACGGAAGGGACGCTTGCCCGCATCTTTGAAGGTAGTGATTTGAAATTTCTTACCTAAATGAATTCTTCGATCAGGAGCTCTCGATGGCCAACAACCAAATCGCATCGGCATCGGATGTGGGCCTGTTGCCTGAAGGAATTCAATGTTTAACGTTGACTGGGAATCCCTGCATGAGGTTGAATTTTTTGGCAGTTTTGCAACTTTTCTTCAGTCCCGAGAATGTGCGCAGCTTCATCTACGCGCAGCTATCGCTTGATGGCCAGGCAGAGCTCGAGATACTCGACGGCATTCCGATCAGCGAAGACGAAAAACTGGATGCGGAGAAGTTGTTCTTCGTCAAAGGCTTCAAGCGAGGATGTCCCCTAGAGGTAATTTTCATTTTTCTTCAATCGCTTCGGTTTGGGCTCTGGACACAACGGCGCTGGCAACCCTTGAAACAAGCCTTTTGAATTCCACCTATCGAGAAGACCTAAAAGAAAAGCGCCGACGTTTCCAAGGATCGGCCTGCACGACGCCGACAACCCCGGGCAGCGCAAGCTCTTTATCCATCCACAGCCCATTTACGGAATGGAATTCTAGGTACAGCACAATTTTTTTGGTTCAGATCCCGATTCAGGATGTCATCAAGTCAGAAGGATCTCCGTGTACTCAGCGATCGCTACACGCCCAAAATGCGCCGGGACGCCTGGGACGTATTGGAAGAGCAGGAAAACGAAAGCCCAAGCTTCTCGCAGCGGGAACCTTCAACACCAACCACTTCGAGGAGTAAGCGCTTTTCATTTTTGCAAAGCCATTCTTTCCAGCCTCGCGTCCGCCCACAACCTACACCCGTTCCCCGAAAGCGCGATCGAGAAGCCGTGGCAGCGATGGCTCTCGGCGGTCTAAGGTTGTCCCGATCTATGCAGCCGCTCGAAGATCCAATGTAAGGAATTTTGCAACAAGAAAATGTGTTCTTTTTATTACAGGAAGAACCATCAAGGGATGAGGTGACGCTGCACGATGTGATGGATCGGATTGACGAATTGGCGAAACAGACGAACACACTCACCGAGCTCCTGCAAACCATACTCGAAAATTTGGAAAAGATGGAGAAGCGCATCGATCGGCTTGATGAACAATATGAGGCGCAGCGACGAAGAGAGAAGTGCATCGAAATGGTCCCGGAGCGGGTAATTTGGAAGTTTCCCGGGTAAATCGAAAATTTAGCTATCGACGATGATCGGGGATGGGAAGAATGTCCAACTCCGCTGGACGGTCCCCAAAAATGCTAAAAACGGTTAGTGTTCTCGGCTTTTTTATATTGAATCATTTTAGGGTACGTGTTGATGATGGATGGAGCAGTGCTGGGCAGACCGAAGGGCACCAACAACACCGTCAGGATCACCGGCGTCGAGCCGGGGAGCCACGAGGTTCAGCTTGCCCTCGCCGATGCCGACGGAAATCCGGGTACATTCTCGCGTGTACATGTCTTCACCTATCCTTCTTCGTCGTGAGATTTGTGTAGGTTGTGTCTTGTTTCTTTTGGAAATGTTCTTTATTTCGCACTTTGGTTGTACATGCTGTTTTGGGCATCATTTTGTCAACAATAAATGTATGGCTTTATTTCCGTCGTTGTCGGGCACAGTGGCCACAGTAAGCCAAGTGGAAAATTCTTTACGAGCGACGTGGCGTACGCGAAGCCTTAGCAGTGCTATTTTTTTCTATTTCTCGAGAACTTTTTGCCGCTTCGTCGAACCTCGACTCGTTGCTGGCGTACGTGAAGCAGTCGTTGTAGTGCAGCTGGTTGGCGAGGTTCGGACTAGAGGGGAAGCACATTTCTGCATTGTCAGCCGTGATTCCCGAGCTCTTGTTTTGCGACAGAACTTCCGGTCTGCGCCTGGTTTATAGCCTCACGCTCTAGGTCTAGACTTTGTGCTTCACATTCGGCTTCTTACCATTTCTTATTCATTTCTTACCAAACCTATGCCCAGTTTTTGAAAAGTAGTTTAAAATTTCGAAAAATATAGTAAGAAACGATTTTTTTATTCGGAACCAGCGCCCAAAACCCGCTTCGCGGGCCTTGGGCGCTGGAATTGGGCCTTTTGCATGAAAAATTGACTTTCCGATAGCTCGGGTCCTTCGGACCCCTTCCCCCACCGTCCACACACGCGCGGGCAAATTGCAAGAATGAGGAAATTTGTATTTTTTCATATTATGCAAATTACCCCCAAAAATGAATAAAACCGGCTTTAACTTGGTAAACTTGTATTTTATCGAAATTCTGAAAACGTCATCGGAAAGAGGTGGACACGGGAAGGCCCTCAAATCGGGCCTCGAAAGTGACATCCACACACACACACAGAGATACACCAAAATTATATTTTTATTCGGAATTCGTTTTTGCTTTGATAAATTCAAGCCGCGGCGCCGGTTACCTAAAATACGGTACTCGTGCTTTCCTACCAAACCGATGCCCAGTTTGAAATTATATTAAAACTTCGAAAAAATATTGTGATCTACTGTATTTTTGTATTATAAATTAAATTAAAATCGGACATGGTGGTAAACCAATTGAAAAATTTATTAACGCTTCAAAGATGCACATCAGGATTTAAGAGAATTAATGGATTCTTCTTTTTCTCCCTCATCGATAAGTTCTATTGGCCGACGGTCTTCTCTTTCCGCTCCCGCGCATTCCGCCCGACGGTGAAGATGCGTACCTGTCAAATGTGAAGGGGTTTTTGCCGTTTTGGGCTTTTTTACTAATTATTTATTTAATTTAATTTAAATTTAACTTCAATTAATAACCTTATTGTCGTTGACGATAATGCATGAGGCCTCGTTTTTAATATTGCCAGTTTGTGATGAGGAGTGGATGGAGATCAATCGGCCGCTACACTGCATGTCGATGCCATGCGGGCTCAGCCGATTGCCGCGCACGAAATGCGTGCAGCCGATCGTCGTCAAGAATCTGAAAGCAAGTTCTGGGTACTTTCGCATTATCTGGGGGGGGGGGGGGGTTCTTTGTTCGGTTTTTCGTTTCCAATTGATTTTACTATTCTAAAAACGCAGATTTTACAAAAATTTTTAAATGTCAAAAATATCGATTTTTAGGAAAAATTTCTACTTTTTTTTTAAACTCTGTAAAGCGTTTTAGAACTTTTTCTAGTTGAAATAAATACGCAAGCCAATAAGCCAACAAGCTAAACCTAAGCTAAGCACCCAAGCCCGACAAGTTTACTTGTTAACAGCTTCATCGGTGTAAAAGTAGCATTGGCGCGACTTCGAGAAGGCGAAGCTCTAGAATTGCTTTTTTTCACGCTTTTTCTCCGGCACTACCATTTCGTCAAACGTCAACGCCTCGTTGCTGGCGTACGTGAAGAAGTCGTTGTAGAGCAGCTGGTGGGCCAGGGTGCGAGGTTCCAACTGGAAGACAAGCTCATTTTTCTCATTCCTCAATTTCTTATGCCACCTGATCGGAGAGCACTTTCGGCTGGCAGGCAATCTTTTCGAAGAAATTCCCGTCCTTGAGCGCATGCGGATGTGGTATGCCGGAGTTGGAGCAGAACATCTTCTTGTTCACCACCGCGCACAGGGGCATGTTGTCGAAGACACGGGTCAGCACCGACACCGCCTCCGGCATGTGGGCCTCCGAGAATTTTTGGTTGATTTCCTGAACGGGTTCTTTTGCGTTACCGGGGAGGAAGTATTTTCATATTTTACGAAAAATAAAACCGTGTGTTAACTAAATCCTATCTAAAAACTACAAATAAAAATACAAAAAAATACCGATTTTTCGACCAAAAATGGTCATTTCTTGAACAAAATTTCGACTCCTTTTAAACATTTTTAAAAGTTTTTGTAGTTGAAATATAGTTGTATTTTGGTCAAAAAGCGGCCATTTTCGGTCGAAAAATCAATATTGTCAGTATTTTTTCATCAAAATTTGTAAAGTTTTTGCGTTTAGGAATAGTAAAAAACATTTTAGAAACAGTTCCGCTTTTATAATTAAAAAAATTTGTTCGTAAGAAATAATCCCGCCACCCCCGATAATGCACGAGAACCCGTTCCGGTTTGATTGACATTTTTCGCGCTTTCACTCACGCTCGAAAATGGCTCGTCCATCAGCTTGACGCGCACCTCATCGCCGCCGCGGACGAGGAAGACCTTGTGGGGGAAGAGCACCTTCAGCGCCAACAGGTACGAGTACAGCTCGAAGGAGGCCTGCAGTGCAAAAAGTGGATAATATGGAAAGCGACAAGATCCAACCGGTCCCCGCAAATTGTTGCCCATGAAGAGAAACGTCGAGTTGATCGCGTCACAGCCGATCGGGAAGAACACGCGCTCGAATACTCTAAATTAGGCTGCTCAATTAGCATTAGAAATCCTGACTTTAGGTCGTCAACTTTGCCGCGCAGATCCGAGAAGATGCGCACACGGCCGTCGAGCTAAAGTCGGGGGTTCTTTCGCATTGTCGGGGGCCTAACCTTTTTTGTTAAGATCCGATTTTTAAAATATAAATAGTGGATGTGTTTCTCTCTTACAAAATGGTAAAAAGCCTTTAGAAAACTGGTAGTTTTTATGACAAAAAAATAACAAATACCGCTTTTTCGACAAAAATGGACGTCTCTAACCAAAATTTCGACTTTTTCAAAACTGTTTAAAAGTTCTTCCTATTAAGCTACTAGACATTTCTAGAATTTCGCAAAAAAAGTCGGCCCTCCCCCGATAATGCGAAAGCACCAACATCGAATTATTGGGCGGAAACGGGCTCGAAACTTGCCATCAAACAGCGCGGGTCGTTGTACACGACGGCCGCGGCATTCTTGGCCGTTTGCGAGAACTGTTGCCAGACGGCATTCATACGGGTCGGGTTCGGGCCCCAGCTGAACGGCTTCTTGTTGGGGGCGCTGCGGCAAAAGTACCTAAACGAAATGTTTATACTGTTTTTAGATTCCTAAACCTAAAAAGGTGACAAATTTTAATTAAAAAATGCGAAAATCACGATTTTTTTTCTATCAAAAATGACTAATTTTTACCCCAGTTTTTAAAAACAGCTATTTTAAAGTCTAGATATTTTAGAGATATACAAAACCTACGTGATGCTCTGCATCAGGCCGAACGCGTCGTCAATCATGCGCGGGTCGGCGTGGTGGTAGATGAGGTGGTTTTTGCGTTGACCGATGGCGTTTTGCGACATCTCCAGCTGCGAGTCCTCGCTCATGAATTTAGCTGAAGCAAATAGGAAAGGTAAAAGCACGATTTCCACTTACCATTCTCCTTGGTGATCAGCTCGTTGACGCAGGTGAGCGATGGGGTGGCGCGCAGCAGGTAGGGGTTGATGGACAGCTCGGGCTCGATGATGCGGGGCGGGATGTTGGCCGGCTGAAGAATGAGGTTCTATCGCATTATCGGGGGGGGGGCAGCTTTTGTCTTTCATGTCATTTTTCAAATATAGATAAAAAATGCGTTTCTAAAATGTTTTTTACTACTACTAACCGCAAAGACATTACAAATTCTGATTATAAACACTATACAAAAAGGATAGAGATTTTTCAATTTCGATGCCTAAACGTAAAACTTTACAAAAACGAAAAAATATCGATTTTTCAACGAGAAATGGACGATTTTAACAAACATTTGCAACTTTTCATGTTTTTAGATAGTTTTTCCACTTGAAATTAGTTACATTTTACTAAAAACACTATTAAAATACTTATTATTCCGTTACTAGACATTTTTAGGCTTTTACAAAAACATTTCGGTGCCTCCACGTCCCCCCTCCGATAATGCGAAAGCACCGAAAACGTACCGGTTGTGTTGGAGGAGTAGTGGCCGGCGGCAGGGGTTTGCGCCCAGATACTTTTCGTGCGCCTAAAAAAAGGTAAAACTCGGCAGAATTTACGAACTTTTGGCGCGCGGCAACGTCGACGTCCTGACGAAGCCCAGCTCCACGGGGTCGGTCAGTGGTGGTTTTGGCGGGGATGTCAGGGCCTAAGAATTTAGCGTAAAATCGACAACTAGGTAAAGTACCTGCTCGCTGACCAGCGTTCGCACCTGTTCCCGCACCAATGTGCCCACGTCGATCGGCTCGAGCAGTAGGCGAGGGCGACTAAACACAGCATGCGGAATGCGGTAACAACAGAAAGCAGAATGCGGTAACAAAAGAAAGCGGAAAGACACCCACGTGTCCCGCTCCAAGTCGGGGGCGAGCGGGAGGTGCATCCGCAACACATTTGATGTGCCATGGATCTGTAAGGAAAATTGGCGAAATCTGCCGCTTTTTACGCCGTTTCTAGCTGGAAGTTTTCTTAAATTCGTCTAATTTTCGAAAAACCTTGATTCTTGGTAAAAAATCGCTCAAAAATAAAACTTTTCAAGGCTTCTAAACAGGTTTTTTTTTGAGAACACTGTAAAGTGCTCAAATTTTGGTAGGCAAGTAGAGGTTAGTGAGCCCCCGCTAAGAGTCTAGTACCAAAAAAATCAACCTTCAACTGGCCAAGATGCTGCAAAAATGTGTGCAGCGTGAGGGGGCAAGCGTCGAGCAGTGCCGAGACTTCGGCAGGCGTGTTCGGTCTAGAAATTTCGGAAATTTTGTTACAAAAGCATCTATTACTGTGTGTGCAGCCGGTTCTCAATCTCGTTGAAGAGGTTCTGCATCTCCTCGCGCTTCATCGCGCCGCCCTCCTCGTCACACCCAGCCGCAAAATATCTAGACAAAGTACGTTTGACTTTAGTCAGGCTATAAAATACCGAAAAATCAGGCGGCACCGAAATTCGCCAATCGTGCCGCCGTGCCGGGATGTTGGTTGAAAGGCGGCAAGGCCTAAACCAACATTTTAGCTTCTTCTGTAGCGTTTCCGGTGGATGGTTCTTAGAGAAATAGCGGAAAAAATTCTCTAAAATCTTTTTAGTATTCTTCTTGTCAAAACTGCAAACAGTTTTAAAAACTACAAAAACAAATACGCGTGAAATGCAAAAATACGGGGGTCGCAGCGTTTCCAGGCTGTTTTTAGTATTCCTGAACGCAAAACCTTTACAAAATTGTATAAAAAAACTACGCTTCAAAACTCCTACCCAGCACAAATTCATGAAACGACACCCCGCGGTCGTTGTAGATGTTCATCGCGCGGAACAGGGCGCGCATATCGTTTCCCGAGCGCATTTTGTACTAAAGTGAAGCTAGAAAAAAATTAAAACCCTTCTCGAACCTTTTGAAAAAATGCGCAAAACTGGGGATAGCACATGACGTTATTCGGGAAGACCGCATCGACAAAGATCTCGTTGAGGCGCATGATTTGAGCCTGGAAACAAAGTTTAATCTTGGCTTAAAGCTTGCCTCAAAAAAGCCGGCCGCCGTCAGGAGTTGTTTTCGATGGTCCGGAAGCTGGGAGCAGATGTTTCTAAAAAGAAATTATCCGGATTTTTCGAGAATCGAGCAGACTTGTATAGTTCCTCTTGTTTGACGGTCGCCTCCGTTACACACCGGACGGGTAGATACTAGAAAAGTAGGTTCTTTGGCGATATCGGGGGGATAGAAGAATTATGTCTAAATTTTTTTACCATGCCTAACGTCGAAACTACACAAGCTATGATACATAACACATAAAAAGAGTTTTTTTTCGAGCAAAAAAGTCCGATTTTCGATCAAAATCTCGATGTAACTCTACAAAATTAAACGGTAAAATAATTTGAAGTAGCTACCTTGAAATCCACCAAGTTCTTCATCGCCTGGTAGACGAGATCGTGCAATTTTTTGTCGAAAAACTCCTTGGTTGCCTCGTCAAAGGTCAGCCAGATGTAGCGCGAGCTGTTGGGCAGGCTCAGCCGGAAGACCTGGTCGGCTACCTAGAAAATGACAGTTTCGGCGAGCGGAGGCTGTACCAACCTGAACGGCGGCAATGGCGATACGGGTCGTCGTGCGCTCGCTGACGATCGTCGAGTGGATGTTGGTGATCCCGATGATTTCGCAACGTCCCTTCGGGAATTGGCCGGACAGCGCCTGCTCGATGCACTCGTTGTTGAGGTGCTCGACGCCGAACGCGTACAGCGAGCTGGTCAGCAGCCCCTCGCCCTCGATCTAGGTGAGTTTAGGGCTGAACTTTTCCCTAATTTATCTCGGCGGGCCTTGAACCTACAGGGCTGTAAAGTATACCAAAACACTCGCCAAAGCAAGACGAACATTTTGTTCTGCCTGACACCTCGGCAACACCACGGTGAGGGAAGATACAATCGACTGGGCATACTCCAATACAACCCCATGCGTATCTCCGCTCCCCCTTTGTCTACAGGCGTGTAAAGTACACCAAAATGTTCGTCTTGGTCTGGCGAGTATTTTGGTAAAGTTCACAGCCTTAAAGGTTCAACGGTCGCCGAGATACATATTATTTCTAGGCTCTCACCTCAACCACTTTATCCTCGTTTCGATTGCGCACGAGGAAACTGTCGACGGGGCGCGAGGGGTTCTGCTTTTTGCCCTTTTTCTCATCCTTCTCCACCTTAAATGAGCAGCTTTTGAAAACGCTTTTATTTTCTAGCGTTTTTAATAGATTTAGATTGCTAAAAGGGTAAAACTTTCGAAAATTTCCTGAAAATTCGGAATTTCATTGGTCACCCTTTTGGTAAGTCTAATTTTTACATGTTTTATGATCCTTCTGTGCCTAAAATGTCATAGGGCTGTACTGGATTACTTGGAAGGTTCTCTTTACGTAATTACTCGTATACCAAAATACTCAACAAGTATAAGTAAAGAGACCTGCTTGTTGGCGGTGTGGAATAGGCATAGTACCCGGTATACCATAAACCTGGGAGTTGACCATAAAATGGGCGAGTGATTCAGAAGCCGCAATTTTTGCGCCTTACGACAGTATATGTAAATCGTTTTTATTCACGGGAGGGTTTTTGACCCTCTGACGTAAGTGTGTGCCGGGGCGCGCTTTAGCAGTGACAGAGTTCCGGGCGCGCCACATTACGCATGGCCGTAAGGTGTATAGAACGGAATACTTTTTTAATTAATTTATTCTACTTTAATTTATTACTTCTAACAAAGAGAATATACATGTAATAGTAAAAGAAGCATGTAGAAAGCTTTTTACTAACCAGAGGAGAGTGTTTTCGCGAGTTGGGAACTGATGATTGTCACCTCATAGGTTTATACTGAGGAGAATCATTTACGTTAGCTTGGTGTTAATGTTGGTCATCATATTAGTGTATGAAAGGAAAAGAACTTGAAATCTCTAAACTTAAAATGAATCATACAAAGAGCCCACGGCAAAAGCTCGCGTGGCTTGACGGAAGTACAACATAAACTCGAGCCACTCCTGGACCCGCTACCATGTAAGTATTTTAGGCTTCTTCGAAAGAGTTAAAGTTTTCGCAATTCTTCACCTGTCTGTGGTTTTATATGATTCTTCATTGGCGTTTGTATCTTGTATCTCCTTAGCTTTCATTGGCCATTCACAGCCTACTTTGCGAAAGTTCCTGCGCCCCTGCTTCTTTGTAATGACTGGCTTTTTGTAATTAAAGACATCGCGGTAGCTTCTGATTTAGAAAAAGTATTTCAGACGAGAGTCTACAATTAATATCGGGCAGAAGTGAACCAATCAGCAAAAATACTGGTATATATTCCCAAAATTCCGAAAAGCCATGATACTGACCATTAACTGTTCCAGATTTACCATAAATAGGTTCTTTTATTTATTAAAAAGCCTTCTGCATACTTCCATATCCACTTTGTAAAAAATAAATTCAGAAGAAAGTATTCCGTTCTATACACCTTGCGCCCGTGCGTAATGTGGCGCGTTCGGAACCCCCTCACTGCTAAAGCGCGCCCCGGCACACACTTACGTCAGAGGGTCAAAAACCCTCCCGTTTTTTATTCAAGTTTCAGCGCTGTTATTCTTTTTTTTTCGGTAGCCAGCATCGATTCGTTGCGTTTTCCTGTTTCCCACTTTCAAAAAGCCCAAAGGACTCAAAAACCCCAAATTTCCTTCCTTTTTATCGTAGCTGTTTTTTTAGTTTTTCTTCTCTTTTAATGATTGTCTCATAGAACTCGGCTAGCTTCCTTCGTCTGAGTTAGAAACAAAACAAACCAAAAAATCCATTTGTTTTTCTTTCTCTACTTTCTCAAATAATCTCTGCTATAGCAGCAGCTATAGCTTCTTTCAGTTATAAACTACAAATCCGTTTTGATGTTCAAGTTCTTCACTTTTTCTTTCCAGGCTGAACCGATTTGCGATTCAGGGCCACTTTGCGAGGTCCAAGACGGGCCCATCTCCCGCTCATCTCATAAAAGCAAAAGCGGGAGCGAGATGCGAGAGAGAGAGAGAGAGAGAGCGTGTGTAAGAGCGAGAGAAAGAGAGCAAGCTGGGGCGGGGAGCATGAAAAGAACGAAGCTCGCAAGATCAATAGGGCCCGGTGAAGTGGGGGGAGGGTGTGAGCACGTGTAAGATGCCCCTCAGAGGGGCACCCATCGCTTAGCACCTCAATGCGCTTCTCCATTTCGGGACTCATCTGCTTTAGTGACGGTTATTACGCCCAGAAAATGAAGCTAAAGTTGGCGCATTTTTCAAGCAATTGAAATTCTATAACTGGCCTATCTTTTCGTTTCTAGATTTTTCTATTTTACAACGATTTTTAGTTTATAGCTTTAGCTTTTTGATTTTTAGTAACTTTTTATGTTTTTCTGAACCGTGGGAAAACTACAAATTCTTTTTTACTTCTTTAAAGGGGCTAGCTTACGATCTTGCTTTGCTGAAGACATTGGAAACTTATAATGTGTTTTTTTTTGCCATTTTCCATCACTTATTTTAGTTTTTGATTTTATGAAATAATCAATCGAGAAAAAATTGAATTCCGAACATTTTCAGATGAACCACTCGTCGGGCGTCGGCTCGATGCACTCTCACTATTCAGGTAAGTGATATCACTCACTCTCTCTCCCCGTCTCTCGCTCTCTCTCTCGCTCTCTCTCTCTCTCTTCTCACAAGTGCGGAAAATTCGTGAAATAATTTGTATTTCTGTAATCCCGTAATTTAGGCAGAAACCGCTCACGAAGCCGGCAGCCCGTCTACACCTCCGACAAACGGGCCAAATTCACGCAGCGCGAGAGCAAGAAGTAAGCGTTATAAAGCAATCGATAAATGATATTTTTGTATTTAAATATATTTTTGTAAAGATTCTACGTTTAAAATAGTAAAAGAATAAATTCCTCTGTTTTTATTAGCAAAATTCGAGCCCTTGAAAATAATTCCTTAGCAAAATGAGATATATTTCAACAGATATAACTATTTAGAATTCGTTAAAAACTGCTTAAGATTTTATTTACTATTTGAACAAAAATTGGTCATTTGTTCTAGAGAAAATTTAATCGTTTTAAAAACAAAGTCGAAAAACGAATTCTAGGAAATATCCCCCCCCCCCGTTTAAATAGGAAAGTACCGAAAAGCATTCTTTTGAAAAAAACTGTATTACCACCAGCTTCCCCTCTAAAATATAACGCTCGTCCGGGGCTGGCTTCTAGATTCGGTAGAAAGGGGTGAAGCTCGAATTTCGTTAGTGGGCACCACGGTTCGGCCGGCGGGGCCCAATCTCTGGAAGGAGCTTTTCCCTTGGTCGTCCCCCTGCTCCTCCTCACGGCTCGTCCAAATCCTGGGTCCTCCTCCCAAATCCTTGTGACCCGGCCGCCGGAAACTGGGCCCTCCCGCCCGAGTCTCACCGCCCCAAAAAACAGGCCATCAAATTCTCGGCGACACCCTGCATTTCTAATCGATCGCTTGATACTGATCAACAACTGGCGCCCTATTTTTCGAGATGCTGAACAACCAAATTGATGGGTACGTCTAGAAACTATAGTTTGAGCATAGCAGGCTAGCAGAGATTGTTGAGGAAGAGGAGAGGGTATGCTAGTAGAGGTAATGTTTTGCACTTTTAAAGCCCAAATATCCTGTTCTGTTTCATTAGCGGGGGGGGCTAACTTGCTTTATTCCTGGCCTCGCTAAAAGTTGTAAAAATTGAGGTTTTTGCTTTCACGAAATTTTAATAAGCTTTTTATATCTAAATAAATTTTGCTTCTAACAATTTTCAAACTTTTCCAACCTGAAAACCTTTGCAGATGGATCCGGTTCATCACGGTGCTCGGCTATATCGTGTTCGTCTCGCTGCCGGCCGTCTGTCTGTCCATCTACTACGTCTACATTTGGGACCCGCAGTACCTGAAAAACGTGAGTTAAATCTACAAAATCTAAAGAAGAACCTGAAAAGTAAAATCTTATCACCAACATTCAGTTCCCCAACCACACCATGGTCAACAAGTCGTACACGGTCTACAAGCCGAAAGATCAGCGCCAAACGCGGCAGACGTTTGAGAGGTTGGGAATTCGATTTTTGGGCTTTTAACCCTGATTTTTAGTCCCCTCTACGATAAGCCACCATCATACGCCAAAAATAATCAGGAGGTAGGCTATTTTTTGCTATGATCTCTCACACGTTTTCTCTCTCTCTATCTCTCTCTCTCTATCTCACTCGTTCACTATCGCTTGCACTCTCTCTCGCACACCTTTAAAATCCAGACTTGAAAATATGCCTAACTCGGACCAAAATAAGCTCATAATTTCCAGTGTACTTGCGTCAACCCGGTCCCCATCCGGCCCACCCAAGAAATCTCGCCAAGCTTGGGCCACATTTTGTCGAGCTCGGGTAGGTGAAGCTACGATGGAAGCTTATTCCCTCTTGGATCAGACTTCATGCTCATTTCCAGTCTCCCACGAAGCCGACGCGAGTTCAAAAATTGAGCCCGAGCGTGGCCAGCAGCTTCCGACATCACAATCCTCCGAATCTCGGCCAATATCGTCGAGCAGCGAGAGCTATTCGGCGTCCCAGGAGTTCCGGTCGAAGAGTGTGGAGGCCGGCTGAAGGCGCGGCTTTGCCTCATGTGTTCAAACCGATGTATTGGACCTGGTCCACCACTAGTACTAGTCACTTTTTCGTTACGAGTGTTCTTGCGGTGCTTCTTCACTATCCCATCATTCCTGTCCACATTAAAATACAATTCCAAAGTCCTCCGAACCACTTTTCCTCTTTCTTTATATGTAATGAGCCCGAAATATGGGCGATGACATAAAAATGTGCAATAAATTTGAGTGTAACAATGAACAAAGTAACAACGCGGAAATGAAGAGGAGGGGGGGGGCAAAATCAACAACGTGCTGGCGTAGCAGCATAACAAGAAATGATAACAAGGGAAAAGAGTATTTTTTCTAACTATCGAGTGGCAGGGCACACGGTCCATCGAACGGGTTGAACGGGTCGAACGATGGAGCTCGATCCTCACGACTGTAACAATTTTGTTCTTTCGCCTTATCGGGGGACGGATTTGTGGTATAAGCCCAGAAATACTTAATAACGTAGTAATAGGTATTTCAATAGTTTTTTTTTTTTGAAAAGGTTAACTACACTAACTACACTGGAAAACCTTTGCAAAAACTTTAAAATTTCGAAAATGTGGTAAACATCGGCCATTTTTGGTCGATTAATGTATATTTTTGGTAATTTTTCTCAAAAGGTATTCTTTAACGTTGAAAATAGTTAAAAACAATTTAGAAAATTCCGCTGTTTATATCAGAAAAATCAGATTCTTAAAAAAGTTGGTGGCCATATTTAGAAAAATTAGTAAATTAGTAATAGTAGGAAAAACCGAAAAAACCCACTTCCGAATAAAACGATCACGGCCGCGATTTGGACGTCCACCGCGCCGGTCACCTCGGTCGTAGCGGTCATACGTTTGTTCGTTGCGACAGCGCT